AATGTCACAAACAGCCCAAAAAATATTTGGGGCTGCTGCAGCTGTGTTCTGGCTGCTCCCCCTGGGTGCTGTTGGCCAAGCCAGCATTATATTTACATTTTGCAAGCATGTCTGTAAGGAAGTGGTCTTCATTCAATGTCAGANNNATTGTGAAGAAATGGCTGTTAGCTCGCAATGTATGGGATATTGTCAATAGTATACAGTATCATCCTTCCATCCTTCCAGTCATGCAAAGTAGCTGAGTTACACAAAGAAGTCCCTCTGCATCTTTTGCTCTGCCAGGGTACAGCGACTTGACATTGAACGAAGACCACTTCCCATATAGCATCATGCTTGCAAACATAAAGGTGCCTGTATCTCCAAACTTTACAATGAAACGTGGGGTTTTGAATAGAGCAATGTGCTCGGCTTGGCCAACAGCACCTTGTGTGCACGTTTCGCGTTCAATGTCGCAAACAGCCCAAAAAATATTTTTTGGTCGTCGTCATCGAAGAGGTCGACCCCCAGATCCAGTTTGGCTGGTAGCGACATTGCGAAATCTGGGATTGGCATGCTTGATCGTGAAACTGGCACCCAAGGTGCAGTTGGCCAAGCCGAGCACATTGCTCTAATAAAAACCCCACGTTTGATTGTAAAGTTCGGAGATACAGGCATCTTTATGTTTGTAAGCGTGATGCAATACAAAAGATGGTCTTTGTTCATTGTCAATCAACTAGACCCTGACAGAGCGGAGATGCAGAGGGACTTCTTTGTGTAACACAGCTCATTGGGTGGTGCTGGAAAGGATCAATGCATGATAATACATACTATGATAATACTTCATAAAATGCCAGCTAACGGTCCGTTCCTCCCAATTCCATCTTTTTTCCAATCCACTGCATGGGAACGCTTCTCCTGCTCCAGCCCAACGTTTCCATCATTCAACTTCCTTGATCCGAGCTGATTTGGCTGAGCTACGCTGGAACAGCAAACATGTAAATTCTTGAATCGCAGACCCTGCGAATGTCTCCGTCTCTCCAACTTTTGGACACTCCCATTCAAAATTGTGATAATGGACATGGAGTCTTTATTGGAACAAATTGATCAGCATGCTCGAGAGCATCCTTCTGACTACTTTTCAAGTTGGAGGTGGGCAACTTCGGGGTGGTGGGCCGTCCGCTCTTTTGTTCGTGTTATCCACCATTTGGACCGCCTCCGCATTTTAAATCTTCACAATGAAGCCTGCGGTTTTTAATTGAATGAAGTTGATCAGCATGTTCCAGCGAACCTCCTGACAAAGTTTCAAGCTCGAAATGGGGAATCCCAAGGTAATACATACTATTTCGATAAACCATGAATCTGGGGCTGACCTCCATTCCGCCTTCCATAGCAAATACCACATTATACACCCCCATTCCAAATTTTCAAATGAAACATGAGATCTTTTTTAGAACAACGTGATCAGAATGTCCAAGACCACCTTGTGTGAGAGTTTCAGGTTCGAGATGGGCAATCTCAAGGTCATGGATCAATTAGAGTGTTCATGCATTTATACAAGAGGTGTCCCAACAGCCCAGCCTACTTTAATTTCCACTTCTTCCACTTCCACTTTATTTCCTCTTCCTCCCATTTTCAACTGTTGCCCCATTCAAGCACAACTACCACCATGCGATCGATTGTCCTGCTTCAACCCATCATGTCAATCCTACAATTGTCTTGATCCGATTGTCTTTGACTGGATGGCAACTCCATGACGTGCACACAGCCTTCTTGTCACTCTTCTACAACACGAGTCTCTTCACGCAACACACGCTCTTGCTCGCTTCTCCGCCACGACCAATCGTAACAGCATCCATTCCAGCAGCTGCTATTAGCGAGATCTTTACTCCATTGCCTCAAGTTCCTTGCATCGACTTGCTTTACAGCCTTTTTTGCGTGGACAGCAGATAACCATTGTACAAGAGCAACTTTATTTACGCGTAGCAACTTGCTTCAATACATACGCATTCTTATGGATATGGATATGGATCTGTTACTGCTTGAATGATGCGATATTAGCTATCAAGTACGCTTCCATACAAGCAATCTTTACGTGGTTGAGCTGCGAAGGAATCGATCAAGAAGGTGGATGACCAACAGCCGGATGGAAAAGGTAGCATGTCAGCATTGACTACATGGCTCGTTTCAACCAACGTATTGGATTTTCAAGGGTTACGGATGGATGGATACAATCAACTGCAGTGATGGGAATCCTGGGATTTTTGTTATTTGACGCGTCTTCATCAGGAGGGAGGAAGGATCATATCACGTGGATACGGGTATGGATGATTATGGATTGGAACGGGATCGACGAGAGGCTTTGTCTTTGACGAAGGTGTTTTACAGCCATGGATGATATTGGAATACTCGAGTCAGGGCACTCAGCAGCTATTTTACAATCATGGATGAAGATGTTTACATAATATCGGCATACATCAAAAGAGGGTAAACGAAGGGATCTGTACAAGAACGAGGAAACATTGAATCTAATACTGCACTTTTCAACTTAGGCCAATACCAATGCATGTTACCTTGATGAACCAAGAATGCCACAGCTTACATATTCAATTCCGTGGATTATGGGTATACGCGATGTCGAGTCAAGTCTTACAATATGCACGCCACTACACGCATTATCGTGATGGTAAGGGAAACCGTGAAACTTCGGTGATCAAACAAGATATTGAGAGATGCTCCTTAAAGGAAAGAGGGTAACAAGGATCTTCGTGGCCATACTGTATATACCCAAGAAGGAACAGTGAGTCTGGATCAGCAGCAGCTCAAGGGAGTGGGGCCGGTAAGAAGGACTCATTCGTTTGAATGGAATAGCCAAGCTCATCTTTCTATCCTTTGTAGGCTCAGTGGGCGAATAGCTACCATACACATAGTATTCCCCTGTTGCTTGCATTAGTATACAACGTCCACATTATCCAAAGCCATATAAAAGAAGAGTTATGTATCATTGGAGGTTACGAAGAGAGACAATCAAGTGGATCTACGGGATAGCAATATGAATCTTTCATCATCTTGACATATACAATGTGAATGTGTAATACCATCGACCAGCAAAAGGAGGCACCAATTTATCAATGCATCATCTCCAACAAACATTTGTCATTCTTTATGACCACAGCACTTCTCATGCCCACCACCCCAATACATAAAAGAATGCTGTCACTGCTCATCATGCTCCCACATCTGGATTTCTCTATCATTGCCTACGAGGTCAAATGTCCAAGGTCTTGTACGTATCCCATTTATCGCAACCATGTGAATACATAAGCCCTGATCCTTGTGGTCAGTCATAGGGCTTCTTTGTTATCCTGATCTTACGTATTGTTGTCGTCGTCCTCACTCTGATACATTGGATTCTTGTAAAAATGTAAAGGCTAATCATGTTGTTCGATGAGTCGCCGTCTCCTACACACATTATGTACCTTGTTACTTATTTCTCTATAGCTATCTCCCGTGTTGCATCTGCAAAAGTTGGGTTCTGTGCCATGGCGGACATACTTAATGTCACCTACAAAAGTCACCTTTCAAGTGGCAGGAGGATTTATCAGTTTTTGACTTTCCATCATTCGGCTCAGTACACTAAGATGTTTGACCACTTTATCAGTTCGATCCATCATGACAGCAATTCCCACACCAGCCCACATATATAAACAAGGCCGTTGTTCATCAATACTATCCTACGCCTTTTTTTCTACTTGTACACATAGCATCATCATCAATGATCTTTGGTAAGTCTCAAGGCTAGTCTTTACGTGATTCCCAAAAAGAGGTTAAAGGCATCCTTTTAACAACATCTACAAATGATAGTTATACATACCACAAAGGGTCCATCAAGGAACAAAGCCAAATGTCAACAGGCAGCTGCAATGACAGACCAAGTTGTATAGCAATCAAGTGAGCTGCATAATAGATGAAAACGAAAAAGATGAATGCGTCAGCTTTGCTTGCTTTCTTTGCCTGCCCCACCCGAGAGCGGTAAGTGCACTTCTTTTTATGCTTTCATCTTGCTGAACTGACATCTCTTTTATTGCACATAGGTGAGGGATGGGCATCCCAGGCGGCTTTCTTTTCTTTGCTTCCCCCTTTCCCTTACCCTTCTCTCTTTCCCTTTCCCTTTCCTTCTTTCTTGTCTTTTCCCTTCTCTCTTGTCCTTTTCCTTCTCTCTTGTCCTTTTCCTTCTCTCTTGTCCTTTCCCTTCTCTCTTGTCCTTTTCCTTCTCTCTTGTTCTTTTCCTTCTCTCTTTCCTTCTCGTTTGCCCTTCCTTGCTCTCTTTCGCTTTTCCTACTCTCTTGTCCTTTCCCTACCCTCTTTCCTTCTCTTTTGCCCTTCCTTGCTCTCTTTCGCTTTTCCTACTCTCTTGTCCTTTCCCTACCCTCTTTCCCTTTTCCTACCTTCTTTCCCTTCCCCTACCCTCTTTCCTTTTCCCTACCCTCTTTCCCTTTTCCTACCTTCTTTCCCTTCCCCTACCCTCTTTCCTTTTCCCTACCCTCTTTCCCTTCCCCTACCCTCTTTCCAGCCGTCTGGGAGATCTTGATGGCAAGCTTGCGATGACGCAAATGATACCTTCCAATACTAATGATGTCTTCCATGTGTGCCATCCTTTTGCTTTTGTACCATATCCACCTCTTGCTATTTTGTACTATAATACTTTATCCAATAAACATTGTGAAACAAAGAAGGGTCTATACCACCGAACATACAAATCAATGGCACGTAGTAGCTGGATAGTAGGATCATCGTTATTCTGTAACTCCAGTGCATAAAGATGTTCGTGTGTCTTTGTGACAAGTTGAACAAAGAACAATCCCATGCGCTGTGTGCTGCTGCTATGGTGTGATACGGAATCAAGATTATTGTACAAGATGAACATGAAAGGTTTATTTTTCACAAATGCAAAAGTATCAAGGGGGGGATGATGGGGGATAATGTAACTATGAGGGTGGAAGGATATCTTTTTTTTTTCATTATTATTCACAAGTGAAATCGTCATCAAAGTTTGCAAATTCGAACCAGCCATTATCGGATTGATCTTGCTGTGCATTGGTGACGATTGAAGACGGGGTCATTAAACCGATTTCTTCTTCCGGAAGCGTCAATGGATCCGAAAACAACAGGGAGGGTGGCAAATCAGACAAGTTCCACGGTGAGGTGTCCTCTGTGACTGGAAGCATGGGCCACCAATTTGGATCTTGCATATCCGCCGTGGGTACAAGCACGGGTGTCGTTTGTTGTTGTTGTTGTTGTTCGTCTTGCTGTTGTTGTTCCATTTTGACGACTTGAGGCGGTGGAGGTGGAGGTGGAGGAGAGCAACGTGGACATGAGAATGATTCATGCGTGGTGATTTCAACACATGCTGTATGGAACCAACAATCACAAGTATCACAAAGGACCATGGGCTTTTCAATATCCTGCTGATCACAAATACAATTGATGGTAGCTTTGCAACGTTGAAGATGGTACATCAAGCCGCTTCGGTTCTTGTATCGTTTGTTGCATGGTTGACAAGCAAATGGATGTGTTGTAGCTAATCGTTACATATAAGTAAAAAGAACAACAAGGCATAAGAAAGGGTCCAAAAAGTCATTACCATCTTCTGATTTAGTCTTGTTGGACTTTTTGGCAGCATTGGAGGTGGCCGGTCGTTTGCGTTTTTTGCTGTTTGCCGGTGAAGCGGGTGGAGTGACAGCCACAGAGAGTTTACCGGTATCATCGGTGACGAGTCTGACATTGTTACGCAAAGAAGTTGCTGCGGATGATCCTGGTGCACGGCGTTGACGTGGTTGGAATGTAAGATTCTTTCCATTGCCGACAGTGACTGGAAGCGTGGATTGATGTCGTTTATGAGACAGGGTAATCTTTTGACGCATCATCATAGTAAAAGGCCAAGAGTCATCGCTTTCGGTCTTGAGTTGTGCATAGAGTGGATCATTACGGCCATCATCATTGGCTTCGAGAGCAGCAATCAATCGAAACTTGGCTTGCGAAAGACGCACCTTGAGCAATTCACTCAAACATTTGACATTATCATGATTCAAATCACCCAATGAAGGAGCACCAGGCCATATATCAAAACATGTCTGAAAGAGTTGAGGCTTTGGTGAATGAAAAGAAGGGAGCGTAGTGGATGGTATAGGACATTTGGGTTGTTTTTGTTGAAGGCGACTACGTTTGCGAGGGGAAGGGCTGTAAAGTACAGGTAAAGCTGGCTTGGAAGGCGATGTATGGGGTGATGGTAAAGGCTGCTTTGGATCAATACGACGACTCATCAATCGAAGCTGTTCAGGTGACATGCGTTTGCGTCTTTGTTGAATCTTTGGCTTGATTGTCGCAGTGGTAATACGTGTGGAAGAAGGAGGAGACAATGAATGATGAATGCCGTTCAAAGGTGATACATCACCAAGAGCATTGGATAATCGACATCTTGCAGCCCCTGGACTTGGCATGTTCTCTACATCATCAACACCTCTTTCACCAAGGCTGCTGGAGTACTTTTCCACCTTACGGAGGTCATCAGGTCGATTGTCAAGCGATGCAAGTGCTGCCATTTTTCTAGACAAGTCAACGCGCCATTAGAACATGACACAAGAAGCAGATTGACAAAGGAATGAGGACATGGGTTGAGCAGGGGACAACATACTTTGGGTAGACTTTGGGAGTAGCAAGCATGGCGAGAAACCACACAAAAGACAAGTGAGGAGTGTGTGTGAGAGTGAGAGAGAGAAAACAACGCGCCGAGACGGCTTCTTCCAAGGACTCTCCTTTTTAAATCGACAAATTTTGAAAGCACAGCTACACACGCACCCAACTCAGTTTTGTTTTCGCCGCTTAACGGAATAACAATAAGGATCAATAAAGAGAGAGAGAGAGAGAGAGAGAGAGAGAGAGAGAGAGGGTAATATGGGTCTGGAGCATGTTGTATGCAATGGCGATATGCGGTATCATCTTGTATATGAATGACGTTAAACCTTGGACACACCTCACTCTCACACACCTACCAACATACAAATATTAAGCATGCATGCAGGGTTTGCATACTTGTTAGTTGACCTGTGCACTACTACGAAAAGTCTTCATTGCTTCTGGCTCTCCCTCGATGTATCGTTTTCATTCCAATCACCACCCATAAATCTTCATAGTTACTACTGTGATGCTATCTTAATCACTTGGATGCTACCGCTCGTCATTGTTGATCTTGGATCAAAAAATAATCATGCAAAAAGGGGGAGATCTTCTGCTTGTCCCTGGCTACTCGTCAATTCAATCAGTCCTTTTTGAAATAGTTTGCCGCTGTTGCACATGTGTATATTACTGTAATGCGCAGCAGCTATTTAACCAAAATGCCCTCCTACATTGCAATGCCTTGACGTGCAGTGGCATACATGTGGTGGGATGATCCATCCATCATCATTCATTGATAGCTTTGGTTTATATGTATAGCCTCATCGTTCATTTCATTTTGTACATGTTCCGGTGATTCATATCCAATAGTTTAGGTTGGTTAGCACATTGTGTTAAAGTGTAACGCTGATGTTGATCTCTTTTGCATCACCACCAAAAGTTGGTGGCACCATGTGTGTTGTGTATGTGTTTGTTGTTATTGTGTTGCATGGATTGCTGCGCAAAACAAGAGAAGAATACATATCAAATGACGATGACTCTTTATTGTTATGATGATAATGAAGAAACAGCACACGTATAAAAATGAAGCGTGTTTTATAGAGAGGGTGTTGAATGAATGCATTGATAATGAAATCATCGGGAAAACCGGATTCGGAATTGCCGTGACGTTAAGAGGTGAAATGGTCCGGACAATCCAAGGTCCGGTGGGAGTTGTGCGAGCAGCGTGGGGAGGGGGCATCTTGGTGGAGGAGGTAGGTGGCCCAAAGATTGCCTCCCCCTCTTTCATATCGGTTCGCGATGGTACGAATAAATCAGCAACAAGATAGACGATGAATGGATGGATGGATGACCAAGAAGGGATGGATTGACTAATGGATGGATGGATTCGATAATTTCAGGTTAACATTCCCAAGACCAGAAACACCTTCTGCAAGGGCAAGAAGTGCAGAAAGCACACTCCCCACAAGGTCACCCAGTACAAGACTGGTAAGGCCTCTCTCTACGCCCAGGGTAAGAGACGTTACGACCGTAAGCAATCCGGTTATGGTGGTCAAACCAAGCCCGTTTTCCACAAGAAGGCAAAGACTACCAAGAAGATCGTCCTTCGTCTTGAATGCACTGGTAATTGTTATATACAATGTATTTATTCGGCTCATTATCGGGTGAACTAAACTATGGAATGTTCTCTAGCCTGCAAGTACAAGATGCAACTTCCTATCAAGCGCTGCAAGCACTTCGAGTTGGGTGGTGACAAGAAGACTAAGGGTGCCGCTCTCGTCTTCTAAGCTCGTTAATCATACGTCGCGACAGAATAAACTTCAGCTTGATCCAAAAAAAAGTCCATGTTTTTATTTAGTCGTAACGTGTGGGATCCCATTCGGTCACAAAGTATTCATCAAACTTATCCAACTGCTTCATATCCTCTTCGCTGATCTCAAAGTCAAACACTTGGGCGTTACTTTCGATGCGTTCCTTGTGGACTGATTTAGGCAATGGCACATAGCCATGTTGGATGGACCTAAGATAAGGAGTATACATGAGTAAGAGAAAACGTAATGAAAGAGATTGCATTCATTACCAGCGGATCAAGACTTGGGCGGTTGTCTTGTTGTATTTCTTGGCTATTGCCACCAAGCGATCATCCTTGAGCTTCTCACCCATTGTCAGTGGAGAAAACTAAAAGCAACCAATGATTGTTAATCGTACAGCAATCGATGGTCATCATCATCCCTGTAACCTTACAGCTTCCAACAAGATACCATGCTCCTTGCAAAACCTTTCAATCTCGGTACGAGCAAGATAAGGTGAGATCTATTGACAATGGTTAAGATGACGTATCGTGTATGTAGTCGGCTTGTTACTTGCCTCAATTTGATTCACTGCAGGCTTGACAGTGCAGACCTCAAGCAATTCCTTGAGATGATGGATACCATAGTTACTGACACCTGTTTTCTCCCTCTTTGATGAATACGTTTTGCTTGGTGATGACCTTTCTTGTTGCTTGCTTACCAATGCTCTTGACTTTGCCTGACTTTTGGATCTCTTCCAAGGCTTTCCAACTTTCGAGACGTAGCTTCTTGCCAGGGGAGGGGCTATGCACCAAATAGAGATCAATGTAATCAAGACCTAGGGCCGTGATGCTCTTCTCAAAGGCTGCCTTGGCTTCTTGATAACCCTGCGATGTATCCCACAACTTTGTAGTGACAAAGATCTAATAGATGCATGATTAAGTTTTGTATCTCGCGCCATTAGCATCTGCTTTACTATACCTCTTCACGTGGGACGTTGCTAAGTGATTGATGATAGCCAACATGTTTTAGATAAGATAATGCGTACATAGCATATACCCATAAGACACCTTACGTTTTCTTGAGCGCATCACCAACACTCTTTTCGTTTTCATAAATAGTGGCAGTATCAATATGACGATAACCAGCCTATGAACGCATGGCAATGTGGGTTAGCTGGGAGCATGGACGTGGGTGGCCATGGCATGCAACAAGAACTTACATCAAGTGCCCAAAGGACCGATTGTTCTGTCTCCTTTCCAGGTCTGGTATTGTAGACACCAAAGCCAACCAAGGGAATGGCATTGCCGTCGTTCAAGAGTCGTCTGCTAGCGAGGCCGTTCATACGTGAAAAAAGTGTACGTGTTGGATTCATGGAAACGCGACGCTGGATAATGCGTGTTGATTTACCGCCGTTTCCCTTTCTCCAATAAAATCCGCAATTTGACTCATCGTTTAATTCTCCACCCAAACCGTTTGACGTAGGTGGACCATCATCATGACATGTATACCCCTTTATCATCAAGGCTTGCTGTACAGCTTCAACAGGACCATCAATGTCACTGTAATACACATGCTCCGCTTTTTACATCTCACTGGCAACAATCATGCAAGACAATAAATCTCATAGTATCCATAATTACAGAAACCTGCAATCCTTTTTTGGCAACCATGTTGACCGTGTAATGATTAAAGCCTGAGGCAACAACGTTCATGACAGCCAATAAACCTGATTCATGGCTTTGTGTCTCTTGCTGTTTTATATACTACTTGTCTCTGTAACTTTTATGCATGTGGTCCTTAAGTTTCAAACTAGCAATTTGCTATCACCCTTTCCTTTTCTTTTTCTGATCACAGAAATATACACGTCCACCTATACATATAAAAGATGCCGTCGCCCATCCTTTTACCCCCCCCCCATGCATATGTACATCTTTCTTTCATCATAACACTCTTTGATTGTAGACTCCTTTTAAGGTCCAACGAGTTCTTTGTGGGCAATCCGTGTACTAGTACTCTTTGTGATGAGCTTTAGGTTTATTCATTGTTATCCCACTTTCATTATCGCTGTAATCATTGTTCGTCTACTTGGAGGATCTCTTTATTAGGTAAAACCCTGAACATGTTGCTTAATGAAGCAACAACACCATCGTGTATGTAGGTTTCCTACTACAGCAGTTGAAAACTGTGCTCCACCACCTAAGCTAGTTTCACGCCAAAACACAATCCCAAACGACCCATAAAACCCGATATAGGAATACAATAACGCGTTATTTGAAAGGAATGTCTATTATGTATTATGAATGAATGATGATATCAAAATCAAACACAAGGGGGAAAGGTGTATGTATAGTACATAGATAGCACCATGTATTCTTCATCTTGGGATCCTTCTCGACTGGTGGTCATCTTCCTTATGAGTGCGCCGGGCTTCATCTTGATAGCCTGCTGTATGCATAGTAGAGCATTCGGCTTAAATCCCATGTCATTCCACTTTGTCTGAGTCAACTCAGGTGACACATACTCGATGCGTGCGTTGAAAAGCATTTAGGCTACCTTTCCTTTTATCTCTTGTTCCCTTCTCTTTCTCCTTCTCTTGCACACACCTACCTCTTTCAGCGATAAATGGTAACGCTTCGCGATATACAGCGTTCAATAAGCCATGCCATTCGCACAGCCACAGCTGAATCGGACGGTCAAGCAACTTTGGACGAAATCGACGAGTATTTGGTGCAGCAATCTGACAACTCCAATCCAGGCACTTCAACATCGACCACTGCTACAGCCGAGACAGCTGCCATTGATCGATTGTCAAACGAACTTGTTCAGACATGTCATTCCCAGATTCTATCGCACAAGCTGGTCAATGTCGTGTCAGCCAAACCTGAAGCTCAACGAGTGCATAATCAACACTACCTGATCCTTCGCTTTGTTCGGCAACTTTTACCTATTTTGCAGCCTCGACGAGTGTGTAACGACTGGTGGAAGCCTATCTTGATGCCGATATTGCAAACGACATCGTATATCGACAAGGTGAAAAACGAAGCCAAGAGTATCGTCACTGAAAGCATGGTGCTCGACTCGAGCGATGAGTTTGTTCGCATGATCGTCAATGAGTATCTTGCATGGTCCGAAAACCACCACAAACGCGAAGAGGATCTACTGGAACAGTCGTATGAGCAGGATGAAACAACTCAACTACGCCAACAACATCAAGCATTATTGGATCTGGAGCAGGATGAATGGTCAAAGAATCTTGTAGCTGTACTTTTAAACTATGGAGCATCCGAGACTAAGGTACGTTTGTTGTTAGCAAGGAATCGTTCGTGATATTGATACCTTCTTTTGTTCGATCAGCGCCTTTTCATGGTCTTGAATGATTATTTCCTTTCCAGTAAACATCGTCTTCAAATCGTGTACTTGTTGAGCGAATTCCTCTTACGCAAGGTTGGTATGGCGACGAGATAGCGTTTCTATGGCAATGTTATTAATCTCTGGATATAGCGTACGCATTTGCATGAAATCTTGGAGACCGAGCTCTTTACTTCTATGCTGAAATCACTCATGGTGAGTCTATTCATCCAAGTTGCTTATCGTATGGAGCGATCTCATTGAGCATTTTTTCGCTAGTACGACAACTCTACAACCTTGATCGCCATTTCTGTGACCAACTTGATTATGCTCCTCCCTCGTATGTGTACATCGTTGCCACCATACCTTCCACAACTATTCTATATCTTTGCAAGAGCACTCTGCTGGGACCAACTACGTGATTTACGCCAAAAGCAAGGCATTACAAAGGAAGAAGAACCCAACAGCAGCAGCACATCGGCGACGCGGAAAGCAGCTGATGGATGGGATTGTGCTGGTAAATATCTCTTTACTAGTCAAAGGCTATACAAAAAGTAACATGGATGGCTTTTTAGATTATACCTTTTCGAAACTATCAGCACCTCCTTCCAATCCGCAAACGGGTCCTTTCTTTACGTCACTCTATGGCCTTTATCCATGCAACTTTTTGAAGTTCCTTCACAAGCCATATGCGTACTTTGAGGAGAACAAGTTTGATATACCTGAAGAATTTGATGAAGAAACATTCCGCACGCGTACAATTGTAAGTGATCCTCTTCGGCGCATCTTTATTACCCGATGGCGAGTAACCAACCTAATCATAGGCACAAGTCTCACGGCATATGTTACATCCAAGCTTGGTGACCATGGATACGGAGAGTGAATTGACCGACCGATCAAGGTGGATGAAAATGGAACCACCCGATGTGATAGCGCAAATTATGAGTTTGGATTTGACCAATGCGGCATCACGTGTGGCATTCAGCACCGGCAAGGAGCAAAAACGAGAACAACAAGAGGATTTGCTTGATGAATCCGTGTGGGCTCACACAGAGAATGTATCCGAAGACGATCAGCAGTATACCCATCCTCCTCATCATCATGAAGAAGGAAAACCATCACGTGATGAACCACCCACAGCCACAGTGCAAGTCGACCTTGGCAACGATTCATTGATGACCCGTGACAGGAGATCCAACAAGGCTATCAAGAACATTTTGGATATGCATCAAGCATTGAGGAGCGGCACTGAAGTATTAATCGGCGATGATGTATGGGTACGTTATTTGCACAAAGGGTATCCATGTTATGGGATGATGAAAACCAACACTTCAAATTCATAAAGGATGCTGGCCTTGAATCTTTTGCATCACCATCCCCATCGACATCGACATCACCTGTCATTGCAGATCCTATCACGCTCACAGTATCAGCAGCGACAGCAGATGAGCTCCGTGCAAACCATGGCAACGCGTCCGAGACATCTTTGGCATCTTCAAATATATCCCCTGAAACAAGGCTTTTGATTGCTGCTCTCAAGCGTGAGGTCCTATTGCTAAGAAATGAGCTCAACTTTGAATTGTTTGTCAAGCAACAACACCTTCAACACATGGGTCGTTTGCATCGTGAACACATGGTTGATAGCTCAGTCGAAGCTGAACGACAACGCACAGTAAGTAATGTGATTGAAATCATGTGATAAAGTCTCTCATGGATGATCGAATAGTATAATGCAACTCGAATGCTGCGAGCACAGCTCAAGCAAGCTACGACAGCCCTGAACAAGCTCAAGACTGAATCTGCACGCACAAAGCAAAAGCACGTCAATTGGGAGAATGAACAATCCGAGAAGCTACGTGGATATCGAGAAGCACGCAAAAAGTGGCAAGCCGATATGGAAGAGGCGAGGCAAAAACTGCAAGAATATGAAAAAGCGGCTGAAGCTCAAAATGCAGAACTCCTTGAAGCTCAAAAGCGGTAGGTATCATGGGATTTTATGATGGAATGCCTTATTGACATGCATGCTTGATATAGCGTATTCGAATTGGAGAGTGAGCTTAAAACACATGAGCCGTTATTGGAGAAAGCGGAAGAAAACGAGCATCGTGTAATGCAGTTGACCAAGCAAATGCTATTATGGTAAGCATGATTTTACGATTTACCATGAACGCATGTATTGATCCTATTCCTTTAGGCAAGAAGACACGACCCATCTTGAAGAACAAAAAGAGTACATCAAAGGACTCCTATCTCAATGGCGAAGCATGGAAGAACTCGTTGAAAGTTTGCAATCGGAAAACCAAAAACTAAGTGCTCGACAAAGGTAATGTGGAGGGACCCTTGTGTGTGTGTTTATGCCCAAAACTAAACATCCTATTTGCTTCTGTCAGTGAATTGGAGGCTGAACAGGACCGTTTAAAGACCAAAATGGCCGAACTGCAAACCGCATCTCCTAGCAACATCCTGGAGGAGGAGGAAAAGGTAACGTAGAACGTCATCTTTATGGAAACACCACTCATTTAATGATATTTTACAGGCTCAAAATCACTGCAAGAAGCAAGTCCAAGAACAACAGCAGATGATAAGCAAGCTGAAAGAAAGGATTGAAACATTAGAGGTAAGGATAATGGATACAACGAGTCCACTCGAATGCTAATCAATTATTTATGTATCTACGAATAGATGGAGAGGTTAGAATTGCTAGCAAAAGAAGAAAGGGACATTAAAGATGAGTGAGATATATACCTGTGTTTACCAAAACAAACGATACGAAGGATCATGGTTTGGATGAGAGGGATGTGAGCCGAATATCGCATTATAGCACTACTGGATTCGGCGTAGTATTCGTTTTTACCAGAAAATGCATTTGGGTTTTGGCTTTTTGAACGCAAGATGGCCTGTAAGCACAACGTGTAAAGGCATATGGCTGTTCGTCGATTACTAAAAAGAAGGCCAGCGGCTCGGGTTACTCGCTTCGCTCGTAACTTTTGATTTCTCGTTGCACACTACCTATGGAGTAATGATGCTACCTATGTTACCGATGCTTCCTTAGGAGTTGGATCTCATCGTTTGTGGACATGTGATGCATTGTATTATAGAAAGATTTACGGTATGGCGAATGCAAAGAAGAGAAAGGGTCTTATTGATTCATTGTGTCTTGAACAAAGCCCAAATTCGATAGTTTAACTCGCCTCCCTTTTTTGTATTAAGATCCTGTAAGAAAGCTCTTTTAGCAATATACGGCGGTTGATGAGTAGGAGGATCATGCCGTAAAGCGGTAAAATCACATGACGTGCATAAACCATCAAGCTTTCACGTACACAATCATGTAGTTGTAGGTACAGATTAAACTTGCCGATGCATACACGTCATTAACTACACCGCACCAGCTTCAACTTCTGCCATCTCCCATATGCTTTTCATTATTATTCCTCATCCTGCGAGAATTGTGGTTGTGAATTGTTACTTACGTATACGTCCACCATACATGCAAATGAAACCAACGAAATCCAGCAAATACGGTGGAAAACATGCCTGTGATATGACACTATATTTATTCATCTGCTTCAGCTCGAGTAGCTTATGGGGTAATATATTGAGGTATGATTTCTTCCATCAATTCTTTGGCGTCCTCGGGAACGGGTCCCAATGCAGTGACCTTGGCGAGATCCTGGTAATATTCTCTAAAGAAAGATTCCAATTGGGTGGCGTTGACTTCACACGAAAAGCCTTTGTCGTTGTCTGCTACACCATCAGATGGTAAATAAGCGACTTTCATAGTGGCTCCAATGCTTTCTTCAAGATCTCGAATATGCTGCATGATATCGTCCTCGTCAAACAATGGCTTGTAAAACACACGGACTTCGAATTTGGCTATTGATTGTTGATTAGTACAAAAAACTCCAGGTGCCTACATTTACTACTTACTTGACATAATGAAGCGATGATAACTGTGCTAAATGGAATGAGAACTAAGGGTAAAACGCAGCATCAATCATCGCCTTTTTATATAGTATGCAAGCGTGTGAGTAATGCAAGGCCGAGTGAGCTGAGAAAAGGAAATTACGTTGCCATCAAGCCTAACCGAGAACAAGACCGAGAGCAACCTCTTGCTGGACTCACAAACAAGAATGCAAAAGATGAACACAGCATATGAGTGGTATTCGAAACGGCGATGTCAAAGCACGCTATGTGACACAGCATACCTCCTCCCTGATGTCATCTCCGCTTATGCCAATCCTTAACGGCCACTTTTCCGAATTCTTGGAGGATAGCTTGCATCAGGTGAGAAGGTTCAATTTTATTCTTAGTGGCAAGTCCGATGAATGTTTACAACAAAGACGCGAGAGGAGGTGTCGGCTACAAGTGATCCATCATGTTGGCGATGGATAATACTAGAAGATGAGTGATCATGGACTTGTACACAAATAAGTTGCTGCTGCATCATCCGCTAGTGGTAACAATGCAATGAGCGATAATCATACCGGGGGTTGAATATGATGTACCTGAATGTGGGGATATCTTTGTGCCTCGTTGAAAAGACGTGCATAATAAAAGCTGATGAACGCAATGCTGAAGCGAGCCTTGGTCATTAATAATGACGGGTCGAATTGATAGTAGCAATTCTGCCGAAGGGCTCTTTACATGTGAAAGGTTTCATTCACTTAGGATGATAGCAATGAAAGCAGCGGGTGGTGTAGTGTGGGAGAAACCTAAAGTCTTTCATCCATGAGAGCAGGAAAGTATTCTGCATCATCAATGATTCATCCGATATAAATGTCTTTATAGTAACCATGGCTTGATCCATCTCCGAAGAAAATCCCTAGCTATTAGAATGGATCATACCTATACACCATTACATGCCCTCCTTTGAATCATGCATTTCCCTTCTTATGTACGATCTACCTCTACGTATGGATAGTGCTCTAGCAACATGCTTACACGTTTTTCCAATGCTACATTACAATCTCGTAGATTTTATCTTTACAGCAACCTGCACCCCTTCGCCATCCATGTTTATAAAAAGACTCTAGTTCCTCCCATTCTCAACTGTTGCCCCATTCAAGTATACAACTGCCACCTGCGAACGATTGCCCTGCTTCAACCCATCATGTCCATCGTACAATTGCCTTGATCCGATTGCCTTTGACTGAATGGCAAGTCCATGGCGTGTGCACCCCACTAACAACACTCGCGTTTCTTGACACGACACCTTCACTTGTACAATCCTTGGCCAACACCAGCCGTAACAGCAGTTGCCATGAGTAAGGTCTTTACCCCAGTGTCTCAGCTTACTTGCAGCAACCTGCCTTGCAGCCTCGTTTTAAATGAACAGCAGATAGCCATTGTATAGAAGCAGCTTTATATACGTGTAGCAACTTGTTTTCAATACAAACGAATTCTACATATGAGTATGGACCTGAATATTGGTTTGTGGATGGGAGGGAAGGAATTGGGGTATATACAACATGTGTATCGATTGTCAACTTGACCTTTATGCTTTCATCCTGAACGATTGTTGGTGCATCCAATTATTGTACTTGGGTATTTGACAATGCCAGTAATCAATCATTATGATCGGAGAGAAAGATGTTGGAAGCATGGCCATCATGCATGTAGGTGACAACATCCTTGTTTATGTGGATGGTGGGCGGGTAATGTAATCACAAAGAGGAAGGGGGGTTGATACATGAAATGGTGCATGATTCGATAAATTGGTATGCATAAATCCCAGCCTCTGAGAATGCCAAAATGTGACATGATTATCATGGCAACAACACAAGTAAGCATACGAAAATGCCGTCATTAATAGTTTATTCGAGCAAAGGATGGTCTTTCTATTTTTACATTTGGCATGGGTCGTTCTACTTCATGTGGCACTACCATGGTCTTGAGAGTGGTTTTGATTTCTTTGACTCGAATACCTCTGTACATGAGCTCACGTTTTCCATCATCAATGTCTTCTTCTGATGGTCTTGGTTCTTCAACAATGGCATCATTGATGTTTTTGGATGTTTCTTGTGTTGGGGTTGTTGTGGAGGAGGAGGAGGGTGGGTTGATCAGCCAAGAAAATCTAGCTGGATAACGATGGGTCGAAGCTGACGAGGAACGCCTTGGTGTAGGAAGGCTATGTTGACTACTCATACTACTGCTTCGTTTGGGTCGAGCTGTCATACTCGTTGTCTTTTCAATGTTGTTGGTGGTGGTCTTTGTCTTTGATTGCGATGGAGCTGATTGGCGAGATGAGCCTGTGAAAAAGGAACGTACACTGGTACTCCTGCTTCGGTTAATTTGAGCTGTTGTTGTTGTAGTTGAGCTTGAAGAAGGAATAATAGATGCATGACCGAGAGATAAAGAAGACGCTCCACGACCTTTACTGGACATCTCTATAGCTGCAGCTATCATGGCTGACATGGATTCAAGTGAAATGTCGTCTTGTGTTGTTGATCGTCTGCTGTCAGCATTCTCTGAAGAGGTTGTAGGTTGGTTATAGGACTCGTTGGATGTAATGGATTGATTATCGGTCATGGAAAGTGTATGTACTTGAAGTGAAAAGAAAAAAAGTGAATTGGTTAATTAGTTTTGTGGTGCAATAAACTTACATTCATCGTTGTACAACATCCACTTTTACACCTCTGTTTCCGACCTCCTCGTTTCCCACCTTATTCTCCAATAGCTCGATCACTGTGATGGCATCATTCTTGACAACCCGCAATCATCTATCAGTGATTGATTCCATTATGCTTAGTATATGAGTTTCAGACATCCCCTTTTGAGAGAAACCATATTCAGGTACGTACTTTCATGTGATTCGCTGAGATGGGATATCGCATTATGAATAATGGCACAAACGAGACGAGGGCGATATTTGAAATACTTTTTGAGTCAGGATCGGATCCTTTGTATCACCTTTCTTCCTCCCCCACACATCGTCTGCAATATGCACGGAAGCTCGTCGTCAAGCCAACATGCCCAATCCACTGCTCATCTATCATTGACCGCTCGATCACAACCTCCTATTCGTCAACACATGTCTCCTGCGCTTTCCGAATCAAGGACACCTAGCGACATTATGCGGCTACACAAGACAGCTTTCAACCGTATCAATGGCAACGACCGATCCAGGGCTCGCGTCTCCACTACCAAATTGAAGCACATGTTTGTGAATAACCGTGAGCGTGAAGAGCTCATGTCCGCATGCTCCATTGGCGATGTTGATAAAGGTATGTGTGTTGCCCTTGCTTATCATTTGATAGGCGAGGCTAATGGTATTGCCGTTCACGACCACCCCGGTACTAACTCGTTTATTATCAAATAGTCAACCATATACTCACATACACAAAACCCAATGTGAATCCGGATCTGGTGCGTGATTCCAAATTGAGGACTCCTTTATTGGTTGCTTGTGCAGGTGGCAAGGCAGATGTTGTACGGCTTCTTATCCGCTGGGGGGCTGATGTGAACAATCCAATGGGTGATATTATTGGCAACAAACCTCTTGATTTGGCTGTGATATCAAGCAATGTCGATACCGTTCTTGCTGTTCTTGAAGCTGGTAAGTTGTACGAAGCACGATTACATAAGAAACGTACATGCACAGAGAGAGAGAGACATTCGGCTGACCATAAAGGGAAATTTTCACAGGTGCCAAAGTGATGCGACCAGGGCTATCTTCTTCCAGCGATGATCAACTTCCAGGCTCTCTACGACAGCGACAAACAAGATCCCCCTTACGACTTGCCGAATCTAGACTAGACTTGCTCATTGCAAAACGACAAGAACAAGGTTCATCCATGGTAGAAGAGGGGAAACAGGATAAGAATATGGATCAAATCGTTCAAGTAAGTCATGGATAGATATGTATATACATAGATGGTTTATTGATTCTTTTATTAGATCATCAAGTTGCTAAAGTACTTTTCCCCATCATCCACCAACCCAAGCGATGACTCCAAGGATACCGTTGCCAATGAGCTAGATGAGCTTACATCCAAACTTTCAAGCATTGCCCTGAATTCCACTGCCGAGAAGCCCGCCGACGATTTGGAAATCATGATGGGATTACGAGACGTTATTACCAAGCTCCATATATAGCATTGCTGTTTTATTCCTCTTCTCCACTTGTCAATATTGAAATGAGATGTGAACCAGCTTGCTTGATTGGGGTCTTGCCATTCTTCAGCAGATAGGCTGATATCCGCCCATAATCTTTCTCGGTGATAAACATGAATGTGGATCCAGACCAGAGAGATAATGAGAATTCGGGTGATGTGGCACAGAGCTCACGAAGGATCTCTTCTGTTTCCTATATATTAACCCGCATGACAGCCATATCATCAGCATCGACAGCTCTTTTTCGAGTTCCTTATGTAGCCAACTATTTACCTCGGGAGTAAGCCTAACGACGTCACTTAGCGATTCCATCGTGCACACACGCATGTTCTAAATAAATCAATGAATCATTTGCAATCCTTAAAAGATCCTTGTAATTTACCTTGACAGCATCCGTTATGCGACCTTGATACTTTTCAAACCTTGATCGCTTCTTTTTCAATTCCTTTTCCTCAGCCTTCTCTCGCTTTTGTCGTTCCTTTTCTTCTTGCTTGGCCTTTTTTGCTTGTTGCTTTTTCCTTTTTTCTTCCTAATGTGCCATGATCAGTATTAAAGCAAGTGGAGAATGTCCATGGATCATACCTCTTGTGCTCGACGAATGGCTTCCTCTGCTTTTCGCCTTCTAAACTCTTCTTCCAATATCTCATCCTGTGCTCGACGCAATTCTCGTTGTTGATTCATGTACTAAATGTCAAGTTTAGTACCATAAACATACCCTCATATCATCATTCATACCTCATGATATTGTCGCATTTGCTCTTTCCTCCTTAACTTTTCACCTTTCTTCTTGCCAATCTTTTTCACTCGTACGGCTGTAGATGATCCTTCTCCCACATCTTCTCCTTGTTCGGCCACATCCTCTTGTATGGTATCATCCAGATAATCCTCTTCCTCGCTGAAATCTCCTACTGCCTGAGTAGAATACGTATCTTCAACCGTGGGGGGTTAGCGTAAGGCTATTGGGAACACGCATCTCAACTAGTACCATCTGATCGTTGTTGTTGTTGCTTGCGTATCTCGAGTAGAACTAGGATCCCAAGGACACAAATGGCGATTGGAATAAGGAGAATGGCGGAAAACTCATTGCTGCCAGCCATGACGACCAAGTGAGAGAGAGAAAAAAGAGAATTGATATGTATGCGGTGTTGACGGCATTTCCATAATTAACCTCCCAACTCCACGGCCAGGCTGTCCTCTGATGCATAATCGTAGTGGCAAGACTATCTACCATGTATCGTCATCGTTATGTAAATAAACCACAAATTAGGATATTATGGCTCGTTTAGATGTGTAATGAGAGGGACAATACTACATTCTCTATAATTAATTACAACTTGCTAGCTGGCTCACCCATTCATATTAAAGCAAATTTGTTCATTGACCCTGAAAAGGCATTATAGTGCGATTTGGGAATATGTAGCGACTGATCGTCACATATAGTCACCTTGAACCTTGGAAGTACCTCATCATTTCGTTGATCAATGATTTTGAGCCGAGATACTACATGTCACATCACCGACCAAGCAGTGCGAATAAGACTCTGCGGCCACCTGCGGGGTGTATGATCAATATACGATATCATAAAGGGTAGTCTTCGAGGATACTACGTATGATCCAACCAAAAGTAACGTATGAAGGTATATAATCAACACAGCTTTAAAAGACTTTATTATGATTGAATAATGTTATGGGTACACCAAAGATGCTTTTTCATGGATGATAGCTTTAGTCACCACAGCTTCCGCTCTCTTCATCGCCGTTTGCTGGGTCTGGTACGCCACAGCAACTCAAAAATCTGTTACGATTGATGTCGTCCTTTGCATCCTCGGCAGTCTTAGGGAAGTAACATTCGCCATCCTTCATGGTGCCAAGTCCGCCACCGCCAACACCAACAATGCCGAGTCCGCTTGTGATTCCAGTACAGCAACTTCTAGTAAGGTCCATCGTTTTGTCAGTCGAACCACGATTTCTGCACTCGCAGTGATAGGTATCGTCCGCTTGAACAAGAAGAGAGTTGCTTGTAAAAAGGGCGAGGCAAGCGATTCCCAATGCCATGAACGAGTATTTGGTCATTATTGTTGTCGATCGAATATGAAAAAGATTGGTATAGATGAATAATAAGTGGATGTGGTTGATGATCGACTAGACATGCTTTTATATCTTGAAAATTGATCCTTGTACCTATCACTCCTTACGTTCCCCGCCGGTGCTCTTTGTATGTATAATGGCACAATGTACATTCGTATGTACGTAGTTCCAGGAGAGCCACCTACGCCATCTGCATAATCACCCTTTATACGGAAGTCGACAAAGAGCACCATCCCCCTTTTCTTCCAAGCAAGAAACGTTAGAATGAAGCTTGTTGAGTTGAAAGAACAAGGATCAAGGGCGGAACGGGTACATCCTCCTCCTTAAACCTTGTCTTTACATAACTGTCAACCTCCACGAGAAATGATGATCCTTCATAGCAGCGGGAAAACTCATTATCGATACCATGACAATGTTGTGAATGAGGCAGGAGGTTATGGTTGTGGGTTGCCATGATACTTGACATAGTCATAGGAACACATGCACACAAATTTCATGTGGGCTGTACGTATCCATTCATTCATTATGCACTGATCCATGTCTGTGTTTCTTTGTCCAATTTTTCTTTGTTTCTTGTTTTATAAACGCACAGCAACTCATGAAGCGATCTCATATCGATTCGAAAGATAACACGCACAGCAAGCAGCAAACTGACAAAGCGAACTCTCAACATGGCATCACTGGGGGAAAAGAGAATGTGCATTTGCAGCCTGGTATCAAAGTGACAAACGCGTCTACACCTGGTAAAATGACCACTCCATCATGGGCCATAGCAACCGCGTCTAACAAGGTTCCCAATCGCGTTACCACTCTATAGAGACTATGCTACACTCGTCATGGAAGTTTCTCTACAGCTATCACTTTCTTTCTCTCTTTGCATCGGCACTCCATATCTCATCACTGAAACTTGACACGCTTGAGTCGGCTATGCTTACTTCGCTCCCTTCAACAACAAGCACCGGCAATGGATTAGTACGCACCATGAGCAGTATGCTTGCTGATGATTTTACCGAGAACTGCAATATCAACCACGAGACGGATACGCAGCGATCTCATTACATGATGGAGACTATTATCCAATCTCTGTTTGATGCAAGTCGTTTACGACATAAAAAGTAAGATGTCAATTCGAGAAAGAGTGAGAGAGGGGGTTGGCACGCAGGAGTAAAAAGGAAACATTCTTACATCCATCATGGGATTATAGCAACAAGAGCAATGGCCATTTAGCATTGTACGAGCATCTATCAGAGAACACCCCGATATCCATCCCGAAAGAGTCATGGTCATTTTGGGAACTTGATTTACTTGGCCGTATCCATGCACTCAAGTGGCTGATTGATCAAGTTGACTGGCAGCACCTTCAAAGTTGGCAAGTCGGTATGGCTGAAGATAAAATGGTAAGGAGAAAAAAGGTACCCGTCATCATCACTCCTTACATAACGCGCACACACACACACACATCTGTTGTTGGAATTTGTGAGATGTCCCCCCGCGTCCCTTCTCCTCTCTCACACTTACCCCTACTGCCTACCCACGAACGAACGATCCAATAACAGCCGATTTCTATTCTAGAGATTAACACCGCTCGGGATGGATCGACAAGGATGGACGTATTGGATGTTTGATGGTAAGCTACTATACCCTTCTCCTTTTTTTGGGTGGCAAATAGCTAACATTTTTCATGCAGATACCCGGTTGTACCGTGAGCTGCCAATGAATTTGCTTCAACGAAAAACCATTGCATTGCTTGAATCAACAGATTACACATTCGAATTGGTGAGTTATTAACTTTTTTTCTTTCTCCTTCAATATGGCTCATTACGATTGCATAGGTGTGCCGTACCATTGATGATTGGAAAGAACTCAAATCTCGATTTTCAACCACCTCACGACGACCCGCTGAAAAGGCTCTCGCGCTCAAATTGGAAACGATTGCTCCAGAGGCCATCCATCAATTGGAAGCAATACAATTGAAAAAGGAACGTGAAGAAGCTCGACGAGAAAGAGCACGACAATTGGAAGCGCTACCTCGAAAACGAAGTCGACGTTTGGAAGCCAAGGTAAATGACATCATGCTGTCAAGAAAAGAGGGAGGAAATGATCCATTAAACGTCTCTTTCCATCAAGGAAAATGAGCTCAACAAGCGACGAAAAGTCAAAGAGGCGGAGGAACAACGCATTGCAATGCAAGTATTCGAACAACAACAAGCAACACAGCAAAAGTCACATGATGAGCAGCTATTGAAGGATGTGGTATGGTCATTTATTCATCGTTACAAGCACTTAGTAACACGGGTTGGATTCGTATAGGAAAGAGGACTCAAGAAATACGTACATGAATATATCGAAAAGGAAATCAATCGTGCTATGGAAGAGGAGGAGGAAGCAGCAGCAGCAGCATTGGAGAAAGATGAAGGGGACCTTGAAGATAGAATACGCAGCACACGACGATCACCTGCTGTACGCCACAATCCACGAGTTGCTTTCTTACGAGAACTTGATGAGGTATTAAGCAAAAAGGCGGGAATCGAGCAACGTGTGGAAAAGATGCGAGGATGGGCAACACTACTTGATGATCAACATGGCGTCAAGGTATCTCGAGGTGACAATCCTGATGCACCGCTTGTAATCGGCTATGGCTTGAAGTTGGATGGCCCTGGTAGCAAAGGAGGTATGAGAGAATACATATATACATCAAATGAAGGGTCACCTCGCTAATGACGATACATTGTAGACATCACATCACCTATATTGAAGAACATCTTGCGTGTATTTCTCACCACGTTACCAACGACCAACAATGACACTGGCATGGACATACCAACCATACGCAGAAAATTGTTACTGGATGACTACAAGAAGCAAGGACAGTTTTCAGGCTTTGAAAGCTTTATACAAGATCTAGATTTAGCTCTACCACATTCATCATCAAACGCAGCTTCTTCACCACAAGCTCATGCTGCTGGTATTCTTGTACGCATTTTTAGTTGATTCGTATAAAGTTATTCATTGTATAAAACTACCGTTGCTGGACAATAGAATGGAAGAGGAGTGTAATGGGATATGTATCTTGGAATCAATGTTCTCTCACCATGTCGCGGGTGGCGGTATAGTAACCCGAATCTGCAAGCTGGTTGTGTATCGTCTTCATTGGTAGGCATGCCAATCTGGGTTTTCCCGATTTGCTGGGATAATAAGCTTTGAATGTTTGCTACTTTGCGACATTCACGACGACACAATTTGAAGATGCCGTTAAGGTTCAAAAAGGGCTGTGATATGAGCAAATCTTTAAATCAGATATAGCGGCTAATAATGTCTGTGTGTGGTACTGCAGCAGTGGATGAGGCTGTTCATGTGCAACATCTTGATCTTTCCTCCGCCTCTGTGTGTTCGGGGACATGCGGGAATTATAGCACGGGATGAAAAGAGGGAAAAAAAACGTTGGCAAGCTGCTACGTTGTGCGTGTGATACTATTGTGTGTTGATTCGTTGCCTTGATATAATGACTATAAGGGAACAAGGTATCTCTCACAAGGTATGCCTTTATATCCAAAAGAGGTAAAAATCACACACAATGAAGCACGCACACACACACACACACACCAGCCCAGGAGAATTTCATCCACCACGCTTGGTTTAGTAGCGCGCGGACAACCTCCCCGGATGAGAGATGGGTATGTCTAAAAAGGGGGGAGACCACACACGCAGTGCAATAGGGTGTCATTGTGTGTGCAAAGGTCCTCGGGGAAAGTTCCACCGAATACCAATACCGCTATCTTGATAATGTGGTCATTATCAAACTCCTATTACAATAATGGATGGTATGGAAGGTAATCAAGATTGCTTATATTGGAAAAACATTCCCTGAAGGCTCTTTGTGCATGGCAATCATTGTTGTGGTGATAGCCTATTATGCGAGTCTCACTTGGACAGGTACCACAATGGAATTCTTTTACCTCGTGGGATCGTGTACAATGATTTATCGGATGGAAAAGGAAGAAGCAGGCAACATAGGTGGCGCGCTAGAGACCAGTAGCTTCGTTTCAATTCTCACTATTATGTGAGGTAGAAAGCTGTATATCGTTGTAGCTCTTAAAGGTGGATGCTTTGAGAGCAGAAGTTTATGTATGTCGATGTTTGGATCACAAGCAAGGCCCCGTATCTTTTGTATTTGTTGAAAAATGATAAACATGTTATTGCTTGATATGTAATTAACCTGCTCTACATTCGAACTTTCCAACTACACTGGTGGTCGCGTGACCATTCAAATCCATGTGTACGGGACCAGCTGTAACCCACGTGTTCAGCTCGCTCTCTCTCTTTATCCCAATTAGAGATCAAGATATCATTATAGAAGTAGTAGTAAGAGTAAAAGTAGTAATAATAGTAGCAGCAGCAGGCGACGTTTTATGATACAGCTATTTACATCATTTACAAGTTGTTGCGAGCGTGATCAAGTGGATCGATGAGGGAAAATAAGGGTTGGGGGAAAAGGGGGATGGATAATGCTTATGGCTTTTGGAGCTTCTTTTGAAGGTCTGAAGGCAAGACAAAGCAAGAATGGCCTGCAAGTACTGTCTTTGGTTTTCTACCTCTCTTTTTTCGAGGAGCTTGCACTTCGTTTTGATTCCTCTTACCAGAAGAGGAGGGTGCCTTGCGTTGTAGTGAAGTGGCAGGTACATTCCATGTTGTGGGTGTCAAAAACGTTAAGCTGCTACTGTTGTCGTTTTCTTGCATGAACATTGGGTAAGACGATGACCCTCTTGTCGTGCTACTAGCACTTTCCGTTGAGGTGTTGCTAATACTTCGTGGTCTACCACGTCGTGGTTTTGGTTGTTCAAGAGACAATGGTGCCGAATTCATTGTGGAAAGGGTATCCTTAATGCTCCAAGGGGCAGCTTCAGGCTCACCAGCAGATGAAACTCGACGTAAAGGACTGAGAGGTGGATCATGACCTTGAAGGGGTGGTAGCTCATATTCATCCATGGACATGGCTGGTGGAAGGTTTGGTGACATTGAAGCACATGATTCTATCGGGGACGGCATAAAACTCGGCGAAGGAAACGAAGATGGTGAAAAGGCACTTTGGACAAGTGGTGGTGTGGGTGGTGTGGGTGATGGCGGTACGAAGTTTAATGCCGGCGGTGGTGTAGGCCGAGTATCGTTAAGCAAGTTTGAAATGGATGGCAGCATTTGAAAGTGATGAAAATGAAAGGTGTGGAACAACAGGTGAAAAAATCAAGATGAAGGTGGTGCTCTTTATAAAGGAAACGACGACGGCTGATCGGACTACCATACAAATCATAAATAATACTCAATACCAATCATATCTACGATAATGAAAAAGAAACAGTAAACTTATCGTTCTTTTCTCGTGCTTCCTGAATCCCAGGTTTGGTCAATTTCTTGCCCTGCTTTGTGTGTAACACGTGCTCAGCCAGTGGATGCCAATTTCACTAGACCCTACAAGTTTTCAACATCCGTTTATCCTCCCCCCAATTTCCTTTGCGTTATTTTTGCTATTCCATTCATGCAATGCTTCTCATTTTTGTATAGCCTTGTGTAATGATTTCATCTCCAAAGGACCGTTATCCGATCATAGCGATGGGATGAAAGATGTACATCTCACATTTCAATCGAGAGGTAGTTCATCAGATCAAACGAGTAACAATGCACAAAGATTGCGTGTGAATTGAGCCATATGGAGCCATCGCGTAATCGGGGGTCTTTTCCGGAGAAAGGGTGGATGGACCTTTTTGCTCTCCACTCGTTTCAGACAACACAACAAATCGGTGCGGAGAAACACTTCCGAATGAGCGATACGTCTTGCGAATCCATTCATATCATTGGAAAGATTGGATTATGTTAATGCCAATCCCTGATTGGATCCCTTTGCTTTGCATGAAACAATGTTGCTTTTCCATCTTTCTTATCACTCTAACGTACATTGTCCGCAAAGGCAAGATTACGATACAACGAAGTGAAACAGCACACAGCGTGGGATACGCTCAGCTTTTGGAGTATTTTCTATCATACAGGGAATGTTGCACATTAGATACAAGAGTTCTGATGCCATCATCAAAGCTTTCCCGTTGTTTTTGATTCCAGAAGCGTGATGCATTAATGTCAGAAAATCTTGATTTTATAGCGCTTTTTAGCTTGTGTCCCATAACGTGCGCTGAGATGAGACTAAATCAGCGCCAAAACGCACTATCCCTTTAACATCCAATATATACATTACAACGAGGCCCAAGCATTTTCCCCTTTTTTGCTTGAGCTAAGCTTCTCAAATGTCTATTGCCAAGGAATATGGCTGGATGCTTTGATGAAAAGCAAAAAGTACAAGCACTAAATCGGTCACTGGAATTAAAAAATGTGCTATCCATGTTAGCACAAAGCCTAATATGAATACTGATCCCCTTTCTCCGAAGCTTTGATAACCTTTAAAACGTTGATGGTAGCGACCCACCAGTGACACAAACGCGATGATCATTACGAGTCATCGATTGTATACTTACCTTCCAATTATCTTGCTTGTCACCCTTGTCAAAGTCACCGATACCGATTAGGAGTAAGGGATAAGATGCACGAATCAAGTAGGCTGAGAAGAAAAGAGGCGTCTCATGCTTCCAAACACCTTGGTGACACAAGCTTTCAAGGCCTATGGTTTTGGCAGCTGTCCATATTGTGCCGTGACAAAGAGACATAGCATCTCCACATGTTGGCAAAGCCTAGGGCATTGTGATGAAATAGATGAAGACGTATTACAATGATCATTGTTAATGTGGGTCAAAAGGAAAATGAAGACGGCTGCAAGTAGCTGCTGTGTTGCGTGAACCATAAAGAAGGGGTACCATGTGACAAAATATCAAGCCCATGCTAAAACATGGGTCGCTGCTTGTTTTTTTTCTATTTGCCAATGTATGTATCCGCTCATAACATACCACGCATACTCGTCCCTTTTATTCATTTGACAGCTGTCAATGGGCATATCAGTGTACGAGAAGAAGTTGGGGTTCATGCAGGTCGACAAGTGTGGGAATAGTGCTGTGATTGATCATCCAATGAGAAGCACTTGCTCCTATCCTATCCTTAACCCTCCTCCTTCTTGTCATCCAAATATGGGTAAAAATCCTGCTTGCCGGTGATCGACTATGCAAGTGCCAAAGACAATGAATATGATCGTGTCGTTCCCGTTATAAGGAACCCTTTTGACGATGGTATCCTCATCTCCATCATCCCACCCCTCTTCATACGAATTGCACATACCTAAATGTCCTCTACTCAAAAACACGTCATTGTGATCGGTGCTGGTGCAGGCGGTACAGCAACAGCAGCTCGATTGGCACGTGAAGGATACCGTGTTACTGTGGTCGAGAAGAATGACTTTAATGGTGGACGTTGTTCTCTCATACACCACAATGGCCACCGCTTTGACCAAGGTCCCTCATTGTACCTGATGCCGGAGCTCTTTAAGGAATGTTTTCGTGACCTGGATGAGCGTATTGAGGATCATCTTGAGCTACTCAGGTGCCACAACAACTACAAGGTTCACTTTGACGATGGCGATACCATTCAACTTTCATCCGATTTGACGCGGATGAGACCTGAAATGGATCGTTTTGAAGGCGAAGATGGATTTGGTCGCTTTTTGCAATTCCTCAAAGAATCTCAAGTGCATTACGATCGTGGAACCTTTGTGGCCATCAAGCGCAACTTTGCGTCCATTTGGGACATGATCAAGATCCAATACCTTCCTGATATTTTTCGACTTCATTTGTTTGACATGATTTATTCACGTGCCTCCAAGTACTTCAAAACGAAAAAGATGCGCATGGCATTTACCTTCCAAACCATGTACATGGGGTAAGTGCTACTACTACAATGACTCGCAAAGAGATTGTCTTTATTCACAACGGCTTTGTTTCATACATAGCATGTCTCCTTATGATGCACCAGCGGTGTATAGTCTCTTGCAGTTTACGGAGTTTGCTGAAGGAATTTGGTATCCACGGGGTGGATTCAACATGGTTGTGCAAAAGCTGGAGAAGATTGCCAAGGATAAGGGTGCTGAATTCAAGTATAGTGCTCCTGTGGCGAAGATCAATACGAGTGGACGCAACGTTACTGGTGTCACTTTGGAGAACGGAGAAGTGATTGATGCGGATGCTGTGGTGTGTAATGCCGACCTTGTGTATGCATACAATCGCCTATTACCCCCATGCTCGTGGGCACAAAACACCTTGGCGAACAAAAAGTTGACATCTTCATCCATCTCGTTTTATTGGTCAATGAAGCGCACCATCCCTGAACTTGATGTTCACAATATCTTTTTGGCTGAAGCGTACCGTGAGAGCTTTGATGAGATCTTCAAGGACTATACCTTACCCTCGGAACCATCCTTCTATGTCAATGTGCCATCACGTATCGATCCATCAGCAGCACCTGCTGACAAGGATTCAATTATTGTTTTGGTGCCCATTGGCTACATGCGTGGTACAGAGCCTGATCAAGACTATCCACGCTTGGTGAAGCGGGCTCGTGACATGGTGCTTGAAGTATTGCAACGTCGTATCAAGGTGGATATGGAGTCATTGATTGAGCATGAAATCGTGAATGATCCTAGTGTATGGCAAGAAAAGTTCAATTTGTGGCGTGGATCTATTCTTGGTCTCTCCCATGATGTATCCCAAGTGCTATGGTTCCGCCCATCCACCAAAGATTCCACTGGTCGATTCGATAACTTGTTCTTTGTTGGTGCTTCTACTCATCCTGGTACTGGTGTGCCCATTGTTTTGGCGGGAAGCAAACTCACAGCTACCCAAGTGTGTGAACATTTTGGTCGAAAGGGTCTTAAGCCAAGCAAGCTTGTGGAGCACAAACGAGTTTACGAGCCTGAGAGTGGAAACACATTGATGAGCAGCTTCGTGACCTTTATCATTTCATTGTTTGTGTTGCTATTCGCTTTCTTTGTAAGCTTCCCTACATCCAGCGTCTATCCAACTCCTGCCGCTTTTATCAATGCCTGTCTTCCTTCCACTTTTCGGGTTGTCATGGCCGCTGATATCGAATAACTGTCAAGGATGGTCATCTTTAAGTGATTAGTTGGTTGCTGATAATAAAATCGTCTCGTGTAATTGCTTGTTAAAGTATCTATGCTCCATCATTGGCATAAAACAATATTGCCACTCTCATCCTTGCACACGCAATACTTTCATATGCACCAATCATCCAGGATGCATAGTATCAAGGTCAAGCTGTCAACGTATACACCCTTTTCTCACCCATTGTATGTATCCAATTCCTTCCCTCCCATACCCAAACCAATATTCATATGTAGAATTGGTATGTATTGAAAACAAGTTGCTACACGTAAATAAAGCTGCTTCTATACAATGGCTATCTGCTGTCCACGTGAAAAGGCCGTTGAGGCAAGAGGCGTGTGTTGCACTAGAATGACAAGAGCCGTGAATGTAGTTTGAGGCAATGGAGTAAAGACTTTGCTTATAGCAACTGCTGCAATGAATGCTGTTACGTTTGATTGCGGTCGAGGAGTGTACAAGAGAAGGTGAAGTGTCAAGGAAGGCACGTGTTGTAGTAGAGTGACAAGATCGCTGTGTGTGTACACGCCATGGACTTGCCATTCAGTCAAAGACAATCGGATCACGATAGTGGTAGGATTGACATGATGGGTTGACAATGGTTCGCAGGTGGTAGTTGTATACTTGAATGGGGCAACAGTTGAGGATGGGAGGAAGAGGGAGGAAGCTTGGAGTGGAAGAGCTGCAAATTAATTAGATTCTTCTGATGCTTGGATGATGTTTCTGTGTTTGAGCGTTTTTCAGTCAAATCTCATCGGATCAAGAAAGTTGAATGATGGGCATGCTAGGCTGGAGCTGGACAATCGTTCGTATGCATTGGATTGGACAACAATGGAGAATGGGAGGACTAAGGTTATTAGCTGGCATTTTGAACTATACCTAAATAGTGTACAAGTATCATGCATCGCCTGTGCTGAATGACTCAAGTTACACAAACACGCCCTCTGCATCTTTTGCTCTATTGTAGTCATACTACTTTACATTAAACAAAGACCACTTCTCATATAGCATCACGCTTACAAACATAAAGGTGCCTGTATCTCCAAACTTTACAATCAAACGTGGGCTCTTTAATAGATCAACATGCTTGTCGGGGTCAAAGGAATCTTGTGTCAAAGTATGAAGTTCATCGTGGGCGATCCCAGATTTCGCAATGTCGCCACCAGCCAAACTGGATCCGGGGGTCGACCTCTTCGACGATGGCGACCAAAAAATATTTTTTGGGCTGTTTGCGACATTGAACGTGAAACTTTCACACAAGGTGCTGTTGGCCAAGCCGAGCCCATTGCTCTAATAAAAACCCCACGTTTCATTGTAAAGTTTGGAGATACAAGCACCTTTATGTTTGTAAGCGTGATGCTATATGACAAGTGGTCTTTGTTTAATGTAAAGTAGCTAGACCCTGACAGAGCAAAAGATGCAGAGGATCGTGTTGTGTAACACAGCTACGTTTGCATGAATGAAAGGGTCAATGTATAATTACTTTATGGATCATCTAGTAACAGGCATGTATTGCTAGCTAACGGCCACTTTTATCCAATCATTGTTGCGAGATCCACTGCATGGGAACGATGCCCCTGCTCCAGACATTCATTTCCATGATTAAAGTAGGTTGATCCGAGCTGATTTGACTGAGCTGCAGTCAAAGAGAGATTACATCACTCTGGACATAAAGCACGCTCGATGTAGCTCAACCGATGTAATCTTGTGTGAGCGTAACTCAACCAAATCAGCTCGGATCAACCTACTTTAATCATGGAAATGAATGTCTAGAGCAGGAGCATCGTCCACCTACAATAGAATGCACAAAAGTTGGGAATGCACACAAGTGGCTATTAGCTGCCAATGTATGACATAAAAGTGATCACTACGGGAAAAATACTGGTGAAAAAGGTGAAAACATGGTGATCATGGTTAAATATGGGTGATTTTGGCAATCACCAATTTGATGGGTTAAATTTGGGTGACTTTTTCACCAGCTTTTCACCAGCATCACCATTAAATCCCCAATGGTGATATGGGTGAAAAGCAGGTGACCGTATCCCCTGAAAATGATCTCATTTCACCGAGAAATCACCTTTGGTTGCCGCTGGTCATTTTTCGGTTACAGCAATCACCCAAATACAACCTAAATACCCCCACTTTAACCATTGGTGATTTAAAGAGGATTTGGGTGAATGATGGGTGAATGCTATCACCCAAATATCACCTTAATAACCTGAAAACACCCTTACGACTCTACAACTCAAAAACGCAGCGTAACTATTTTTATAGCACTAATACAATACATTTCTTATGCTCCTTGTCATTACAACCCTTCAATGAAGCTGCTGGATGCATGAATGAAGCAAGTAGCTATGTTAAAGCAAACTCCGCCAGTGACAGAAACAGTGGAATTCTCGAGATTTTGTATATGCAACATGGGCATCTAACCTTCCCAATCGCAGTATTTTGCGATCCAATACCATAGTCGTATGTGGGTTGGGCATGATGGAGGGGTGTGGGTGCTCACTGTACAAGTGTGAGTGGGGTTCGCACTGGCACAGGCTCCATAGCCCAATGGCTTACTGCTGGCACTTGTCAACTCCGGTCGACTTGACCACAGCGTACTTCCCCCTTGCATGGTCTATGGTGGTTGACTGATGGGATGGCCACCAATGTATAACCCACTCCCACTATGTATGACCTGGGGATATAATGGTTATGTACGTTGTATACTCATTATGCCCATGGGTGATTATGGTGAAAAGATGGTTGTATTTGGGGGAAAACTTGGTGATAATGATGATTCTATGGTGATCAACCGGTGATCTCGTGGGTGATTTTGAATATTTTCACCAATCCATGGGTGATTTATGGGTGATTTGATCACCAACTTTTAACCCAAAACAGCCAATTTTTTTCCCGTAGTGTGAGGGTTGCGTACCTATCATGCATTGTCCCTGAAGTCCTGACTTTTTAGCTGAGTTACCCAAAGAGGTCCTTCTGCATCTTTGGCTCTCCAGGGTCTAGCTACTTGACAATGAACAAAGACCACTCTTCATATAGCATCACGCTTACAAACATAAAGATGCCTGTATCTCCGAACTTTACAATGAAACGTGGGGTTTTTGATAGAGCAATGAGCTCGGCTTGGTCAACTACACCTTGGGTGCCAGTTTCACGATCAAGATTGTCAATCCCAGATTTCGTAATGTCGCTACCAACCAAACTGGATCTGGGGGTCGACCTCTTCGACGACGACGACCAAAAAAATATTTTTTGGGCTGTTTGCGACATTGAACGCGAAACTTGCACACAAGGTGCAGTTGGCCAAGCCGAGCACATTGCTCTATTCAAAACCCCACGTTTCATTGTAAAGTTTGGAGATACAAGCACCTTTATGTTTTACATATGATGTAAGCGTGGTGGAGTTGCTTTTTCCTAGTGGATGGTGTCGGCTGCATTAACGGAAAGATGAAGAGCTGAGTGAAACCGCACGTGGTGGTTACACAGACACGTCCTTGACAGGTTGCTACAGTACACAAATGGATGATGATGATGATTGCCTTTTGTGAAGGTAAGTAAGTAATGCGTATGGCAATAATGGTTCCATATCACATTTGCATGTAGGAGAAGGTCGAGCTGCATAAACCAATTTGTATATGTAAAAAGATACGTATACATATTGATGGGTCACTCATCCTGAAACTCAATAGAGAGATCACTTCACTTTTTCTCTTCTCAAGATCATCCCACTTCCCACTCCTCCTTATCGCATCACAAAAGCCATATACTCCTTGCATGACCGATAACCGGACCTCCTTTATTATTCCATCTTCGAAGCAATAGTATGTAATCCACAAGCTAGCAAAGTCCAAGCGTGTAATAAATAAACAATGTTTTATTTCATCTAGCTATCTTGCTACTGTACATTGCCACCATCGTCGTCTTCGTCGCCCGTCATCATTCGTACTCGTATTCGTACTCGTACTCGTCACCAGTCTCCAATCTCATCCGTCACACCAACATCCAAAAACACACAAGTTGAAAAGAATGGGATCTTGCAGGCTTCCTTTTGAATCTCGTTGTCGTCATCATTGTCATTGTTGTAGATGGGGTGATCATCGTAATCGTCGTCTCTACAAATAAGAAGGCAGGCAAGTTAGACCATTTGATACCGGAATGATGACGATTTGGTATACCGTTAGGCGATCCTCTCTAAGGAAGAAAGCAAACAAGAAGGAATTCACAAACCAAATCACCACCATACGGGCAACGTCGGGCGATCCCCTGTTCTTGAGAAAGCACTGCACGAATCACACAAGGCCGGTTCAATCCATGGTAAGGAAGGACATCACTTACGTCGAGTCCAGGCTCATAGTTGTCCTCATTCATTCTCTCCAAAGAAAGAATGATCCCCAATCCTTCCAATCATTTCACCTCATGAAAAGAAATCCTCAATGGAAAGAACGAGCCTATCACGAGAAGAGCGTGTTGGTTGCCACTGATGTCAATTCACAAGCTGTTGCAAATCCTCGTTTACCCTCAACACGGTGACCATGCTCTTCCAAAAATCCATCGTCATCGACCCATCCTCAACTCAACGCAGGCCTATAGAGCCCTGGACGCGTTCCAAGAAGCTTTTCCAACAACTGGCCACTTGATCCAAGCTGGGACTTGAACCCAAAGAGATGATGATGATGCCCCCAAGTTGCATTGCCTGACCAAAGAAACCTATTCAATTCTTTATTAGCACGCACACAATGAGCACCCTTTTCATTGTTTGCTTCATTGTACTTGCCTTTTCCATATACACAAAGACCCGTTGTTGTTGGTTACTGGAAACCGAAAACCATGGTGTAGTGTAGCTCAGCCGAAACAAAACGCCAAACCAGCCAACGTCTCGAAACCAAACTTGCTCTCTACACAAGTTGACGCGTCAATGGAGCCAATTCGGCTGCAGCATTGGACTCTGAATGTACCTGTTGACACCTAGCGTAGAGCGGGAATAGCAACGAGCAAAAGGAAGCAACGATATCGCCATGGCAACCACCAACCACCCACCACGCTCCATTCCTCAGCACTTGGACACACTCACTCCCTGACAATGCATGTTCAGAACTACATTAATACCTCACGGCCAACAAGAGCACTTTTTTATAATACATTACCTTGATCGAGATGTCGTGAATGGAATAAGGAAAGGTGGGAGAAAGAGAAGAGAAGCGTTGTCTCAAGTCGTTGAGCCACTGTCCCCCAAGTTTAAATCCCCCTACTGCTATTACACTGAGGCCACTCAATGACCCCACACACACCCATCCACCCATCGTCATCATCACCCTCACGATAGACAATAGGTACACGTAAATAAAAGAAATGATCCTCACGTATAGCAAAAGGGTGTGTGCCATTTTACACTTTACATGATAATGATGATCCAACAACAGCCATTGCCTTACTACCAGGTTAGCTCGAATGAAGAAAGTTAAATGATGGGCATGCTGGGCTGGAGCAAGACAATCGTTCGTATGCATTGAATTGGACAACAAAGGCGAATGGGAGGAAGTGGCTGCATAAAAGTGTAAGCTTATTGTAAGGTCATTACTCCATAGGCAGTGTTCAATGAGAAAGCACACATCTACAAGCGAAGTGTGCAACATGGGTCGCAAGTCAGGTAATATTGGCCAAGTATACACGTAGCCAATAACGGCAGCTGAGCAAGACGCATTGATTCTCGACATAGTACTACACATCTTGCTTCTTTTTGCCAATGTCCCGCATACATAACATGGTCTAACGGATGTTAGAAGAAGTACATAGTTTGTTGGCGTAAATGACAGATCAAGTCATGCTGTGTAACGCATTACATTGTTGCCTTTGACATTATCATGATGTTTGAGAGGGCGTAAATCGATGCACTCGTTTATTGTACTCCTTCTAATAATAGCACTAGCTTAGAAATCTAACCTACATGCATGGATGATATCCTCATTGCAACCACAAGTAACCAGGTGGGATTGCTATAGAAACGCTATGTTTCAGAATGTGATGCTTGGATAGTAAGACTTGGACAACAGGAACACCGACATAATCAAGGCACCAGCAATTTGTACGACAATCTTGTTCTTTCTCAGTTTGCTTTCTTGTTCACCCGGCAAATGCCACCACGCCATGAGCTTCAACCAAGACTCACCCATCAGCGACACTTCCAGTCATCACAGCCTATTTGGTGACACCAGCAAGGGCAAGGTGCCTTTAACGCGATCGGCAGCCGTCAAAACCAATCTGTACAAGCATCTCGACAAGCTTGAAGCATCCGTGAATGCCGATTTCGAAAAGTATGCAGCCGAGACTTTGGCAAGATCGTTCCCCGTGCGTCAAGAGAACATGTCAAGAGGAGAGGAAGTTGAAGAGAATGGATATGAAGAAGAGGAAGAGGAGGAAGCTATATTGGGTGATTTGGAGCATGTGCCCTTTGTTGGAGACACACGGCCACCTTTTGGGAGCGACAGTATCCATGGATTGTCTGATGTATCAGCGCATTCGGACCGAGAGATCCTAGGCCACCTGTTAGACAAGGAAAAGAATGATGACGATGATGAATATGCATGGGTCCCAGATCAGGACCTTGTTGATGAAAAATACAGCGTGTCACCACTCATCAATCACCCATCAGGCAACCACCATCAACACAGACCCATTTCTCCAGGTCAATATTTTGCTGCTCGTTCTTTACCTTTGGATTCATTGGATATCATGTTCAACAAGAGCTCAACAACAAATAACACTATAGAAGATCCACTCTCATTCTACTTTGTAAGTGCTTTGTGTATGCAACAAGTGGGGATCAAACCAAGTCATAACCACATTTATGATAGAAAGCATTACCATCATCCTTATCCCATCGACATTGTCATCGTAAACCATCCTATATCATTGAACCCAATCGTATCCTGTTGCAAGCGACATCCGAAACATCAGGCCATACCCAGTTGAAAATCACCAATACCAGTGACAAAGAGGAACACACATTTTCAGTTTTCTCATCAAGAGCAAAATTACGTTTTCATCCTCGAGATGGTGTAGTGTCGCCGAGATCCCATGTTGAAGTGATGATACGAGCAAGACGAAGCGCAATTCATGGTATCAGCAAACGAGGATCCAGTGAACATGCATCCGATACGATCTTGTTGTTGATGGATGATGGTCGATATACGCAACGTATTCCAGTCGATATTCGTTCTTCAGAAGATGAGAAAGGAAAACCAACGTCCACTCACAAGAAGGAGCAAGAATCAGGAAGCGAGGATGAGAAACACCCACCTTCGTGTCCATTTTGTGCCTTGGAAGATGGTTGCTTTTTACCGAAATAGCCACCTTTTGATACCCCCCATTATTTCTCTATTACATCTAATTACGCCATTTTATCTTGGGCAAATGTTCGTTTGGGAGTACGGCCAATCTTGTGTGTGAATGTGACTGGATCTTTATGAAGAGAGAGATGGAACTTGTAAAGAGGATCGGGTGTTTTGCAAGAAGAGAACAAACAAATAGTGTATGCATGTGTGTGCGCGTGAGCAGCAAGTTTGCTTTGCGTAACGTCGGAAAAGGGTGTGCATGCAGCAGTGGCAAGAAAGCACGGCCTGACAGTGGGGTGTATGTAGATGCAGCATCGGCTTTAAGAGAACAATTGTACGTATCAAAGCATTGTTTCAAGATATTTGTCATCCACCTCTCCTATTAATAATGACCTGGAGTTTAGGTCAAAAAAGGCACCAGGAGGGTATAAAAGAGGAGACCACATGAAAACGTCATCGGTAAGACTGTGACCCATTGATACTCCATTGGTCAGGTGTAGCAGCCAACCCCTCTTTTTGTTTCCCACCATGAGGGTCATAGACGCAAGCACAATACTTTTTTCCAACAACAGGTTTTCTTTTTGTATGGCGAAATTCCCCGCCAGTTGATTTGCATCTCTTCTCTTTCCGCTCTTGCTCCTTTCCTCTCTCCTCTCCTCCTCCACAACAACAACAACAACCAGGTTACTTCTATGACAGAGGCACCCCAACACGCTCCTTCAGCGTTTGATCACGACCTTGCCTTCACTCCACCCACCACGGCTGGCAATACGACCAACTTACTCGATATCCCAAGCTCAAACGGTTCTTTGAGCACCCCTCCCTCATCCTCCTCGGCAGCTTCCCTTAACGGTTCAACCACTATTGCCCAGCACATCAACTATCACATTGCTCAGTTGGATGCACATGACCAACAACAACCCCAAATGAGCTTTTCCCCCAGCAACAGCAACCAAAACGGTGACCTTATCGATCATTCCAATCAACATGTTGCCGAACGCGTGGTCGATATTTCACCCAACAAGCGCTATGGACGTCTCAACACTTTACTCGGCAAGGGGGCATTCAAAGTAGTGCATAAAGCGATTGATCATGAAGAAGGTTACGAGGTTGCATGGAACGTGTTGCAGGTATATGTTCTTTTTTTTTACCCACTGTTTTTGGATGACCGCCCCGCCACTTTTTTCAAACACTAAAAAGTGTAACGCCACAATCATAGATTGGACAACATGAGAGCACCAAAGACATCCTCCACGAGATTGAGATATTGAAATCAGTGCGACATCCCAACATCATTGCCTTCCATGATGCCTGGATTAACAAAAACGAGTTTGTGTTTGTGACCGAACTGATGACCTCGGGCACGTTGCGTGAATACATTCGCAAACTCAGCTTGCCAAATCCAAAGATTGTCAAACGATGGAGTCGTCAAATTCTTAAGGGCCTTGCTTATTTGCACTCGCATAATCCACCCATCATTCACAGAGACATCAAATGTGATAACATCTTCATCAATGGCGCACACAATGAGATCAAAATCGGTGATATGGGGACGGCAGAGAATATGCTCGTCGGCAACAAAAAGTACACGCTCATCGGCACACCCGAATTCATGGCTCCCGAGATGTATGAGGAACGTGGCTATTCGGTCAAGGTTGATATTTATGCGTTCGGCATGTGCTTGTTGGAAATGGTCACTGGTGAATACCCTTATGCCGAATGCACCAATGCTGCTCAAGTGTACAAAAAAGTATCACAGGTAAAATGCTATATCCTTGTTTCTTGCATTTGCACCTTCTCACAGGATGAGCTATAGCACATCAAACCAGAGTCTCTCAATAAGGTGCCAAATCAACAAGTGCTCGATGTCATCAATAGTTGCTTAGCGGAAAATGAGAATGAAAGGTAATGCGAGTGGTGCTTGAAGAATGGGATATGGATAGTGTTGGTAGTTGCTTTCATATTAACACGTATGATGGATATAGATTATCTGCACAAGAATTGCTCGAATGCTCATTTTTGGCCGTTGAACCTGATGTTCAGCTTTTAGCCACTGATCCATCACATAAGCTGCTTACCCTCCAAGTTGTGTTTAAAGGCTCTGATAAAGTATCGGTTAAATTTGAATTCAATGTGGTAATGTGTCATGCCTTGTTGATTCGGATAGCAATGATCACGGCTGATGTTTTCTTGATATTAGGAGAAAGACACAGCGGAGGAAGTGGTTGCGGAAATGGTAAGATGGATGTTTGCAAATAGCGTTTGGCGTATACTGACATGGGATATGGACATGATAGATTGAAGAGCAAGTATTGCCTGAGCGATACCAGCATTGGATTACGGGCGAGCTCAACAGGATATTACGTGACATTGGCAAGGAGGAAGCCGAAGCTGACAATAGCCTTGGCGATGTTAGCGGCACACGTGCTGTATGGCGTCGTGACAATGACACCCAAAATGAATTGGACCGTGCACGACAAGAATTGAACATGATGTCTGAAAGGGCTCGTGAAGCTGAACGAAGGAGAGAGATGCTTGAGAAGCAAATGAGCCAAGCTGAAGAAAGGTTAAATGAAGCCGAGCAAGAGCTTGAGCGTCTTGCGAATAAGCCAAGGTAGCACTTTTCATTCCTGTAACCATGCAACCGTTTCCTCACACATCGATAGACCTAATGAAGACGTTGAGACTGGAGATGATGAAAGGTTATCACCAAGCAATGGTGATCAACAAGAGGCACCGTTGGTGAGCGCTAGATGTACGTATCGTATAGCACAAAGATGGTTGTTGTCATGGTTACTGATCCATATTTTTAGGCTTTACGGATGAGGATAGCATCGATGATTTTGTTCGAGAAACGGCAATAGCTACCAATCGTGGAGCTGATAAGGCGGATGCATGGGCTGCCAAGTTGAAGGATCAAGACATTATGACTGTGGGTGACCTTCGTGGACTTTTGGATGAGGATTGGTTAGCCATTGGCTTGACAGTGTTTGCATCGAGAGCCTTGAAGAATATGCTTCGCAACAATGAAAAGAAATCGAAAAGCCCCGATGTAATACCCAAGGCGGAGGAACATTGAGTCATTCCGGCTTGTCTTTTTGTATCTCTTAGACACCCACCCCCAAAAAAATGAACCATTGGATATACCCCACCATTCTCTATTACTTTTGCATGGATAATTATTTGGATGTCATATCTAGTATCATGCAGCAACAAACATTCCTTTATTGATATATAAAAAAGATCACTCGACAACTACGTACACATGCTGTTGTACACTGTTGCTCACATGATGTGCCTGCATATGCGTCATCCTTTCTTTTCTCCTTTCCTGTTTCTTGTTTGCCCCACCTTTTGTAGAAAAAACCATTCTTTACTTCTTTTTCCAACACATGCCTTCTTTTTTTACCCCGTCATCCAAAGCTTCAGCACCTTCTTATGAAGCCTTGAGTAGTGACGATAATAGTTACCCTTCTTCCGGACCTGCAGCTGAGATACCACCACCTCCACCTTATACGAGCTACGCAGCACCACCACCACAACAACAACAACTACCACCACAACAACCACACCAATACCAGTATGCACCTCCATCACCCCCATTGCGACCAACAACAGTACCACCCGTAACAGCGTATGGTGCTGTACCAGGCCCCACGCTAAATAACTTGATATCACTCCGAGACGAGCCTGGTTTTGTACAATGCCCTCATTGTGGTCACCATGTCGAAACAGTAACCGAGCATCAGAATGGCAGTGCATCTGTATTTAGTGCCGTTGTCCTCTTTCTTTTTGGGTGTCATTCGGGTGGTTGTCTCATTCCGTTTTGTCTTCCAATGTGCCAAGACGTGGCCCATGCTTGTCCCGCTTGTCAAATGCCTATTGCCACCTTTTCACGGCTTTCTCAGCATGCGGTTTTAGAATGAGGATTAGAGCATCATTATTTATGGCATGTGTATGAGTGTTCATCATAACAATTATATTGCGCTTGGTCCTATTCATCTTTTACATGACATGAATTATATACAATTTGGTGTGTTAGAGATAGTATCATTACCGGGAGTGCCTTTTGCTTGTTTTCAGGTGATTTCTTTGAGCTGATAGATTGATGGGAGGGTCTAAAAGAGAGCCTTTGTAGGTTGCATAAATCGGGCTCTGAGATAGAAAAGGTCATCCAACAATGGCATCGCTCGAATCACTTGCTGTGCTAAAGTTCTAGGAAATAAGACGTCGTTTGATGATGACTGTGTAAGGGTTCATTTGATAGGGGGGTTGCCAAGAGAACATCGGTTGCCAAGACACATGTCAGTAAGGTTTTCATAACAACATCCAGGAACGCATCCACGTATTTGCAACAGGAATTTGTTTCAGGCATCAGGTTTCAGATAGCTCTATAAAGTGAATCACTACATACTTTCAGGGTCAGGTACCACCATCACCATGTTATCAAGAATGGGTGCTGTGTCTCTGGCGCCTTTGCTTTCGTAATTAGTTGTAAAAAGTGACATGTACATCGCAGCACCGATCAATCATTCCCTTGCAGGAGGATCTTGGAAAAAATCTGAATGCCGTTCTATATATGAAGAGGATGCTGAGCAGCAGTGTAGCATGGTTACCATACCTCCATAGAATCATCCCCGAGAGCAGCAAGCGAATTTGCTTGATAAGTAAAACACGTATGATGTGAACAATCACTTTCCTTGTTGTTTATGCTTTGATTGAATGCCCTTGTAACCACGTTGCTATAGAATTGAAAGGTGATAGCTACTTTGCTGATTGTGCAACCCTATCCTATCATGCAATCTCAAGCTCACACATTGTTGTGGTATGTAGATTATCCCACTCTGTTATTAATTGAATGGATACGGTCACTATTTGTATCAACATGGTCTGTTATGCAATGCGAGTGGGCAAACGATGCATATGATTTCGTCCTTAGCAGAGATGTAAAGTTATTTGAGTGACTTGGTATTATACGTATCATCTGATAAGCACTGGCCAAGAGTGGCCAACATAGTTGAGCCTCTCTAAAAATATGATGGCGGTATGCAAAATGATGCATGCAACAAATATGAATTCTGTGGCTGATCCTTTTTGTGCATGTCATAGATGGAAAGAGGAAGGAAAAAAGAACACATTGCATGATGATAATATTCCTTCTCCCATCCGTAGCCATGAGAAGGAAGCCACTGGAAAAGCAAAAGACAAGGGATGAATAGGGGTGAAGGGGGGGGTGATACAGTGTATTCAACAATAAACAATAGGATCGGCTGACAGGACATGAAATGGACGCACAAAATATGGCTGCTCTTGCCTGATTCAGTGAAATTGCTTGTGCTGTCATTTCGGAGACAAAGCCAAGGGTAATCGGATCGTGAGCCATTTTTCCGAGAAACCTGCCTGATCACACACTTTTTTTTACTCAAGAAGGGAGCTGGGGGCTGGTTTACTAGAAGAAGGCAGCAGGAGACCAAAATGTCATCAATAAAAAGGAGTCGATATAGAGCATAGACAAAATGAAAGGAGGATGCGTGATTTCTCAACTTGCAGTTTGCCTGTTTTCATTTCAAGCACTCACTCTCATTTGTGTAATAAAGTCGCATGGAAACACGAGCATTTACACAAATATTATTGAACTTCAGCTACTACACCACATTCACGTTCTTCTTCCCACCTATTCTTTACTACTCTTTTAATGTCTAATCCCATTGGCGACTCTGCCGACTACTTTATTCAAAGAAACCAATTACTGCAACAACAGCAGCAGCAACAACAACAACAACAAGGTGGTAGTTCACCAGACGTACTCCAAGGGAGACGGCATGAAGGTGTCGACGCTCCATTGTCCGATGATCCTCGAAAGAAAGCATCCACCAATGCACGTTTAGCGAATCCCACACGTCGCATTCAGTCTTCTACGAATCCGGCTTTTGACGCTCGACATCAATGGCAACGAGTTATGGAGAAGTTGGCCATGGGACAAGGTGGCAGTGGTGGTGGTGGTGGCAGTGGAGAGCATTCGACGAGTACAACGCCTACGCATTCTGATATCCAACGGCATTCACATCCTAATCGACGATACCTTTCGCATCATTATTCACTATCACAGCATCCACAACGCCACAGCTCTTATCGATATCATGATGATTCTGAATCGGATGAAAATAATTCATATGAAATGCAACCGACTCGAGATGCATATACCGAACCCGATGAAGACGATGATGCATTGCCTTCGCCCACCGATTTAGAAAGAGAACGCCAAGCATCTTTACCACCCGAAGGAGAACCTAGTTACTTTGCTCATCCATTTCAACTACAACCCTCGGTGGACACTGAACAAGAAACGGTCCAACCACCTAGTAGACATGATGAGCAAGAAGAAGAGGAGGAGGGAGCACAAGAAGAACAAGAGGAACAAGCGGGTCCATCCCATCAAGAACCAACAAGACCCGAGCAAGCCCACGTACCTGGTCATCATGCGCGTATGCAATGGTCAAAGACGCTCGACAAGATTCGCCTCATTTCAAACATTCAACATTTGCCATCAAAACCATCGCCACCAGCACCACATGAGCCATCCAATTCTCTCGCTCCATACTTTCAACCAGCATTTGAAGCGCCTTTCATTGCATTATCTCGAGATGAACATGGTAGAAAGCTAGTAAGTAAAGGGAAAAAGAATCGAGAATGATGATGGAAGGGATCTCAAACATGTGTATGATATAGCCTCCCATTTTGCTTCAATGTTTGAATGTAAGTATATATATAGATCCAATATCAACATTGGACTAATAATATACCTTTAGGTGAATATCACCGATTCAGAGCTTGTGAACTATTATGGCATCAAACAGCATTTGTTTCGTGTTGAATTGCAGTATGGCGATATCAAATGGGTGATCAAAAAGACCATTGGTGATTTTGTGGCTCTCCATGTCAGTCTCAAAGTGAAGGCCCCATTGACCGACCATGTCCCTGCACCACCCAGTTTCCCGAATCAGCTCCAGAACTTTATTCAGTCAGCACGTACAACCATGGGCATCGATGATGAGGAACGCGATACCGAGAAGGAACGCAAACAAGCATTAGCGCGTCGTAAGGCACTCACACGATACCTCCGCGAATTGTTGAAACGTAGTCATATCATGGTCAGCTATGACATTTGCGAATTCTTGGAAATCTCAGCAATCAGTATCGTCCAGGACATGGGATGGAAGGGCAAGGAAGGTTATCTTGAGAATCGGGTCAACTTTGTTGATACACGTGTATGCCACATGTTCAGACGCTATGCATGGAAGAAGGAATGGGTTATCTTGCGTGATTCGTAAGTAGTTCTCGTATACATACATCTATATATGCGTATGCTGAATGATTGGCTACTAGGTACATTGCATTCTGCGAAGATGTGGCATCAACATCCCCGACCGACGTGTTCATGTTTGACAAGAGCTTGTATGTGTTTGCTCGAGAACCAGGCCTCTTTAGTGGCTATCACGATCATATCACCATGGAGAACAATTTCCGCCGATTTACTATCCGAGGAAGCAAACGCCAAGTGGGCGAATGGATGGAGAGTATCAAAAAGGTACAACAAGAGAGTCCATGGGTAAAGAACCATCGCTTTGGATCCTTCGCACCTATCCGTCATCATGCAAAGGTCAAATGGTTCATTGATGGTGAAGGTACGGGTTTACTATCATTACCATTTTCCAAATCAACTCATTGAGCTTTTTTATTAGACCATTTCAATGCTGTGGCTGAAGCTATTCTTTCAGCAAGATCTGAAATCTACATTGCGGATTGGTGGTTGTCTCCGGAATTGGTATGTGTTTATCTACACAAGCTCACTTTGGGATCATGTCAATTTACATTTAATCCATGTTTTAGTACCTTCGACGACCACCTGCAGAGAACGAGGACTTCCGAATTGATCGACTACTACAACGCAAAGCTGAGGAAGGTGTCATGATTTACATTATCGTATACAAGGAAGTGGAGGCTGCCTTGACAATTGACTCGGCACATACAAAGAAATGGCTACAAAAACTGCATCCCAATATCTTGGGTAAGTAAAAAAACCAGCAATCCACTTTCATTATGCTAACATCTCAAGTAGTGCAACGCCATCCCGATCATCGCAATGTAAACAATGTTGTACTATTTTGGTCACACCATGAGGTAACACAAATTGGCAAGTCGTTTGCATGAATTTTCTTTGTTAACTTGCTTTTTTAGAAAATGGTCATTGTTGACAATAGATTGGCCTTTATTGGTGGTCTAGATTTGTGTTACGGGTAACTTGAATGAGGATACCACCTATGAACTTTTATGCTTACATGGATTTGTAGCCGATGGGATACACATCAACACCGATTGGCCGACGTCCCAGTCCCCGGAAACGAGCACATTATGGTGCCAGGTCAAGATTACTCTAATCCACGTGTCAAGGATTTTGCGAATGGTAATACTGGATTATTTGGGAGAACAATACCAGCCACTCACCATCAAGTTGATAGTTGAACAATGGGACACTACCTTAGTGGATCGCAATGTTATACCCCGCATGCCATGGCATGATTGTACGATTGGTGTGGTTAGTATCTTGGCAATGCATAGGGTGGATCGTGGGCGTGACTAATGGATTACTCAATAGGTTGGTCCAATCGCCCGAGATATTGCACGACATTTCATCCAACGGTGGAACTATCTCAAAGCAAGCAAAGGCATGCATCGTCCCAATTTACCATTTTTGATGCCCAAGGGTGAATACGTCGCTGCACGTGATGAGTCCAAGTTCAAGGGTACATGTCGAGTACAGCTTTTACGTAGTTCAGCAGAATGGAGCTCCGGCATTGAACGAGAGCACTCTATCTACAACGCCTATATGGAATGTATCACCAAAGCAAAGCATTATATATACATTGAAAATCAATTCTTCAGTAAGTTGGTAAAGCTCCTTGAAAATCTTTATTTTAACGAATCATTATCCACACTACCCTAGTCAGCACAACCACGGATGACAAGTTGTTGCGCAACAAGATTGGTCAGGCCATGCTAGAGCGTATCAAGCGTGCACACAAGAATGGTGAAAAGTTCAAGATCTTTATTTTGATCCCCTTGATTCCTGCCTTTGAAGGTGATTTGGCTACGAGTGAAGCATCTTCTGCAAGGTAAACATGTGGGATGTCTTTCATGCTTTTTTTCTGATCCAAGTGGATGTAGATCGGTGATGCATTTTGAATACATTTCTATATCCCGTGGTGGCAATTCCATCATTGAAAAGCTGCAAGAAGCAGGCATCAACCCATCCGACTATATTGGCTGGTACAGTCTTCGTACTTGGGACAAGATCAACCCCAACAGGCCACCACCACCACGTACCACCACCAACAATAATGCAAGCAAGGTCGATAGCGGTGCTGAACTTCACGATGACAATGGTAGCAAGTCCACCTCACCTCCTAACTCGGCAAGATCTTTTGGTCACAGCAATTCGCCCATCACTGAAGGCTCTTCATTTACTCTATCCGAGGATGAGAAGGACCAATTTGTGAGTGAATTGATCTATATCCATGACAAGCTGATGATTGTGGATGATCGATTGGTTATCATTGGATCAGGTATGTTTGGGTGAGAAGTAAAGCAAACCATGGGGTTACCTAACATTGCTTCTTCAATTTACATAGCCAATGTGAATGATCGGTAAAGTTCAAAAGGATACGCATATCGAATGAAGGCACTTACGTGTTGTATTAATAGGTCCATGCTTGGCAATCGTGATTCCGAAGTTGCCATGTTGATTGATGATACGGATATGGTTCCTACGTATATGGATGGAAAAGAGGTAAGTGTTGTTTTAAGGAGGAAGGGGGGGAAGAGAAGCCGTGTTATTGACTATGGGTATAGGTCAAGGCCTCCAAGTTCGCTCATTCATTACGAATGCAATTATGGAAGGAACATTTGGGTCTACTAGAATTCGATGACTGGCCTAGTCTTATCAGCAGTGCTAGCAAGCCTGAGGGAGAACGACCTGATGGCGGCAGTCTCAATACCAGCTATCCACGTCGTCCTACGGACATGTCATCCGCTCGATCCAGTGAAGATATTATTCGTGATATTGAAGCGCATCCACCAGACCAAGTATTGGATGGTGCAAGACGATCAAAGCAACCTGATTTCAAAAAGGAAGAACAAGCGCTGCAGGCAGCAAGAGCATTGGATCCCTTGGCTGATCATTGCTACCACAATATTTGGCGAAAGACAGCTGAAACCAATACCCAAATATACCGCCAATTGTTCCGATGTGTCCCTGATGACACGGTACACACCTTTGAACAGCATCGTCAATTTGTGCCCAACGGATCACCACACGCCCACATTGCTGATCCAAAGTTATCGACTCAAGAAATTGCTCATGCACTATCCAAGATCCATGGTCATCTCGTATCATTCCCTACAGACTACCTAAAGAATGAAAACATGCTTGGCTCTGCAGTGCGTGAAGCAGTGGTTCCCATGGTCCTTTTTACATAATAATAAAGTATTTGATTTCAAAAGAGGTTTATGTATCTACTAGTAATAGTTGTAATTCTACAAGTATTGCTCAATGCTACGTCGAATCACATCTCTAATCGTATCCTTATGAGCACGCAATCCAAGTCCCACAGCTGTGCCGACGGCAATAAATGATGTCGTTCCCATGGCAACATTAAGCCAGAATGTTTGTCGATGCCATCGTGCAATGGTTTCCGAATAGGGTAGCGTGGTAAAACTGACCATGGTGTACAGAGGTACAATCAAGCGTGGGAAAACAAGGTGAATCAGGCCTTCAATCTTTTTGCGTGCCAGGAATCGAAGCGAGGTCACTGCTGAACGCATTTCATAATGATTGTACATGGCCAAGTCGCAAATAGCATGGGCATCTTTGACACGTTTCTCAGAGTAGGTTTCAAGAGCTTGACCCAGCGAGCTTAAATTGTCGGGCTTGACTTTGTACTGATCCAACACTTGGTGCAATACTTCAACGTCTTGGAAACCACAATTCATGCCTTGTCCATAGAATGGCACCATCGCGTGAGCTGCATCACCAATCACGACGGCCTTGTCTGCCAAGTTGTGTGGAGAGGCCTATTACAATGTTAATCTTTTGCAACAAAGTATATATATATATATAGATACATATCTTGTCATACCTTGATAGTGATCAAAGATCCACGGGGGTTGGTGAAATAGTCGTCAATAATACATTCTTCGCCAATCAAAGGAATAGCATCGTGGAAGTGCTTCTTGAAGAATGCCATAAGCTTTTCTTTGGTATCAATCTCCTCAAACATCTTGAATGGCATAAACAATGTACAAGTAAAGGTACGATCCTGATGATAAGGTATAGGTGAGTCATGTAGATTTCAACGTAAACACATTTAGGACTTACAGGGTTGGGTAATGCAATGAGCATAAACGTGTGGCGAGGCCAAATATGCAAATGGTTGGGATCAAGAGCAAATTCAGGTTGACCATCCTTTCCAATAACAGGTGGCATGGAAAGTTCACAATAGCCAGTGTCAATGTATTCTTGCTGATAATCCATTCGTACTCTACGCATGATCTGTGCTCGTGTACGTGAATAGGCTCCATCGGCTCCAATGATCAAATCAGCATGATGCACACTACAACGCATGTTTTAGCGTGAGGGCTATTACAATAACATCACGCGTTCTATTTACCTGCCATTCTCAAACGTCAATTGGTTCTTTTCAAAATCGATAGACTTTAATCGATGTTCAAAGTGGAGTGAGACATTGTCCATCTTTTCAGCGGCATCCACAAGCAATTCATTCAATCGTGCTCGATCCACGGCATTGATGTGCTGTTTAAGGGGGGGAGAGGTTATCCCTTGTATCCCATGAGTGTCATGTGTGCATATGTATACATACCTCACCATGCACCGAGTAAGCCTGGGAAAGTTGCTTGTCACCGACATGTACCATACGAGCTCGCATCGGCACAGATGCCTCAAGAATAATATCCTCCAACCCCAATCCTGTAGCTCGTAATGCGCTTAAGCCTCGTTCCGAGAGAGCCAAATTGATCGATTTGCCGCGCTGATTCCTTTTGTTTTCCTCGAGACGCATATCTAAAACGGGTTGTGTAAAGAGACTCATGTCGCCATGGAAACCAATGAAGAAGAAAGCAACAACATTTACCTGGGCGAAGCTCGTAAAGGTCGACATGCCAGCCACGCTGTGCAAAGTAGACGGCATTCAATGCACCCACAAGACCAGCTCCAACAATGGCTACCGTTGCCGACGACATTATGTGCGGGGAAGAAAAGACAACAGAAAGCAGTAAAGCGAGGGCTCAGCGCTCCCTCTAAAAAGAAGCAGCTGAGTCTTTTACATTTATCACCCCAATAAGGTAAATTTATGTCCGTGCGTCTACCCCAAGGCCATCCACCCCTTGTAGGTCGAACTTACTATGCTCATGGTGGCTCCAACAGTAGTCAATTGCATATTAGCTACTACGTCCCATAGATGTCATTGTATGATTTTTTTGTAGTCAATACCAATAAAGAGCCAAACAATGACCCCCTCCTTCGTCTCTCTTTTGCTCCTATGGATTGGATTGAAAAAGTCATTTCATTTGATCCATCTATGTAAACAGCCTGCATTGTACAATGTTATATGAGCATATGTATTACTAGTACTACTACTTGAACAAGATATTAATCTACGGGGATGATGGTGGGGGTGCTTCGGATGTTGATGTTGGCTGGCGACGGCGGTTAGTCATTGTTGTAGGCAACGATTGCTGTTCAACAGCAGTCATCAACTCATGCTCATCAGCCGAATTTTCTTCATCCAAGCTCTTTTGCACCCAACGTTTCAAGATTGGTACTTGAAAGTTGCCAACGAACAACCTGAGATAGAGTATGAAAATGTGAGCACGGCTACTAATAAACCAAGCCAAAGACAATAGGCACACTTACTGGATAATGTGGTACAAGAGAAGTGGCAACGAGAGAACACCCACTGTACCATAATCTTGATCAGCATACATGACATTGATCAAGGGGATACCCATTGACACAGTCTTTGTTGCACCGCAATACTATAAAAACGCCATCATGGTTAACCTTGTTTCCTTTTCATTAGCTTGTTATTGGTATATGTACTTGCCATGATGGCCACGGTATCCTTCCATGAGAATCGCCATTTTTTAAGCATGTTGGGTTCTTCCATTTTTTGATTCTTGATCCATGGTGCCCTGGCAACAAAGATACATGTCGCACAACCCAGCAAGTACATGAATAAATCAACACCGACAATGGAAACAATATCAACGCCGCTCATCCTAAAGAATGCATCGCTTGCTACGCCATCACAAAAGACCGACCACACCATGCACAAGAGGGCAAGGCTATTGATGATGGAAAAATGCAACTTGGCTTGAAGATACTTGACTTGTTTGGGAAAGAGGTAGCGGATCACTTGGCCCACCACAAGTGGTAAGAGTACAGTCAAACCCAAGTTCTTGAGTACATTGACATAATCGGGCCGCCCACGAGTGCCAGGGGTAAACACCTTGCTGTCATCGCCAAATACTGCATATGCATCATGTGCGTCAAAATATAGATCACTCTCCGCTGCTTCTTTATACCATCATCTTCTCCTTCTTCTTACATACCTGTGATCAAGGCGGGTGAAATAAAGATACCAAGCACATTTCCCAATGCTGCATTGACGAGAGCTTTTTGAAAGATGATAAAAGTGTTAAGATTGTGGAATCATAAAAGAATGCATAAACCGATTTACCTCCACTATCGTTGCCATTGGCATTGCGAGTCATGACAGCGTTGGAAGAAACCGTAGTGCTTGTTGACATGGCAATCAAAAAACCTTGATACACGGATCCATCCAAATTGGCACCCACTTTGATAAAGAACCGCACAATGCCATACATGAAGAATGGCATGAAGATGAAATTGATGACCTGGACAACGAGATGAAGACGCCATCGGAGGATCGTATGCAGCATCACTCGGACTTCCAAGCCCAATCCAGAGAGTAAAAAGATCACAATGACAGCACCCCACTTTACAGTGTATTGTGCTTCAATGATACCATTCGCTTTGCCTACTTGTGGAAATGCCCACGCAAGTCCAATCACCAATCCCAAGCCTAATAGGAACCAATATTGCTTAAATAAACGGATCGAGATGGAGAGGATCCGTTTCCATAGCGGGAGACTTGCTGGTAGTGATGATGGTGCTTGTTGCTGTTTTTGGTCCAATTCATTTTGATGTTGCTGCTGTGATGAAGATTCCACCGAATCATTGTGTGCAGTGGTAGACACCGTAGTGGACAATGACGCTCGAGAGCGGTTATGATCCTCAATGTGCACTACCGTAGTGCTTGTCGCTGACATGAACAGTAAAAAATGAGGGAAAGAGAAAGAGTAGGTTTCAAAAGAGCTCCGGTGGCACACTCTCACACACATATATATTATCTTTAAACCCGACATACTTAGTGCTCCGATCATCCGGGACAACGTTATTCTTCTTCTCCTTTTATCACTGCTACTGCTATTGCTGGTGCTTATCTTTTGACACGGTTGATGCTTACATGCACTCTTGTAAATGTCATTGCTATTTGTATCCAATAAATCGGATCAAAATCATTTGCATATAGGCATTGGGTTGATCTGCAGGGGAAAGGGATGTTGCTTAATCATTTGTTTTCCCCCCGAAGAAATGCCACATGGTATGGTTCCTGCGTGATCTGTGTAACCTTTACCATCAGTGATCCCATTACGCCACCAAGGTCGGCAATCCATCTATTGGACGTGCTCTTGCCGGCAAATAGGATCCCATAACAACTTGTATGTAGCTCTCTTATTATATGGGTAGAGAGAACGCTCGTATACCATAGCTAGTAGTTGGTGTATCAACATGTCTTTTGATGGAACACCAATTGCCCTTTTCGACCAACGGAAATGTAACAATGGATTACCAGCGATTGGCGAATGTGTGCAAGTAGGCCCTTACGTCATTGTTTAGAAAAGCAAGGCGATTTTGGGCGTGTTCTGATTCCTGAAGAAAACAACGATCAAGGATTCTTATAGACATGGTATGGAGCCATCTTATTGACGGTGGTGGGTTCATCATTAACAACAACAGCACAAGAGAATGCCTGTCAATATGAAGAGCTAAAGAATGGCACCATACAGGCACCTTGATCCACAACAACGCAGCCAGATTAAACGATGATGCATGTATAATGGGTTGCTGTTGCTAGTTATTATCGTATCATCAGCTTGCCAACATGCTATGCAAACTACGTAAACTAAAGACGTAAGATGGATGTTGTGACCTTATTTGGTATCGTAGGTAGTGGGTATTAAGTGAAGTTATCGATACTTGGCTGTGGCATGATGATGCATTTGAGGAGGGATTGGTGAATAAGCTGACAAAGCTGTTGTCAGTTGCCTTTATCAGCTTTTGTCGTACTTTTCGAATCATGTGGCAATGAGTGACGAGCCCCACTTTTTATGCTGGCAGGTCAAAGCTACTAGCTTCTTTCATTTTATTGTATTCGGCCCTCGAATCTCTTTTTTTGATCCCAAGCATTCTTCCAATTATGGTACATTCTTGCTGTGAGCGGGATGATGCTGGTTGCTGAGATAACATACTTGTCAAAAAGCCGCGGATCTCAAGCTTTATCAATGCTCAAATGAGCACTGTTCAAGATATGATTATGTCTTTATCAATGCATCCCAAGTTATGAAAGTTTTGAATGAATGGGACATCCTCCATCATTTATGAAGATCACTGATACCAATATGTATCATCCCGCCATTGCAATTTTTTCGCCATCCTGGGAGCAAAGACTGTATTAGGGTATCTCCGAATTGAATGTTGGGTGGTGGTGGGCCCAAAGTAGTGGCTCAGACAAACTTGATCAAAAGGTGGGGAAAAAAAGCTATTCCTTTTGCCGACCGTATCGCATGAACAAAGAAAAAGATGAAACGTTTAACGTTGATGGCTCTCCAGGCTATCTTTATTGATTGATCACAAGGAACATGTCATTCGGAAAGATACACAACCATTGAAAGCAGGCTGCTGATAGGGACATTGCGTGGGAAACATACATATCAGGCACTCCGATATGGTGGGATGGGATGTGTTAGCATAGGGTTGCCTGCTTTATTCTTTTGTTCTAGTTCCTCTCCTTTCACACCTTTTTCCTTTTCTTCAGCCATGTTATCGCCACCTTCGTCTGCTCCTCGTCGTCCAATCTTTGACAATGCGGCGGTTGTACACCAATTGACAGCCGATCGCAATGAAATGCTTGTACCAGGTAAGCAGGCTTTGACGATCCATTCAACACATTCCCGATCATTCCCGTTGACCACATTGGTCCCATAGACTTCTCCCGGGTCTTGTGTATCTACACTGGAGGAACGATTGGCATGAAGCACACAAAAGAACACGGCTATATTCCTGTATGTATCATTCATTACCATTTGCTATCCAATAGGTACTAACATGAAGGCTATAATAATAGCTGCCCAATTACTTTGCTCAAACGCTTGGGAGGAATTTACAGTTCCATGATCCTTTCCACAATCCAAATTCCAGATCATCCACTCCCGATAGTGGCAGAAGCAGCCGAAGCAATAGCCCTACTCGAAGCAGCAGCCCTACTCGAAGCAGTAGTCCCACCATGATGGATAGTGGTCACCGTTATGCTTTTGGAAGTGTCACCAATTCGGTGCGAACCATGGATGAGCAAGGCGTTGAAACAAAACAGGAACTCCCAAGTCTTATTACACCTGTCAGTCTTTATGGAAAGCGCATCAGGTGAGCAAAAGAGAGAGAGATGGATGGATGGCACACACACCACGTGGCAAAAAGGAAGGATGGCTCACATCAGCTGTTTCTTTAGATACTCCATTCTAGAATATGATCCTCTGTTGGATTCATGCAACATGACTATGGAAGGTAAATACAAACAAAGAAATTAAGGTTGACCAATGTTAATGCGTACGTTGTACAATGATGATAGATTGGGTGCGCATTGCAAGGGATATCGAAGCAAACTATGAGCACTTTGATGCGTTCATTGTTTTACATGGCACCGATACAATGGCATACACTGCGAGTGCATTGAGTTTCCTATTGGAGGATCTTGGGTAAGCATCGCGTTGTATTTTGAGGGGGGTATCCCTTACAATCATCATGTGGATTGACTTTTTTCATTCTACATAGCAAGACGGTCATTATTACTGGATCTCAAGTACCTTTGACTGAAGTACGAAATGATGCACTCGACAACTTGCTTGGTGCCCTTACGATTGCAGGTCACTTTTTGATACCCGAGGTGTGCCTATATTTCCGCCAGAAACTCTATCGTGGCAATCGATCCAGCAAACTCAGCGCAGTGGATTTCGATGCATTTGATTCTCCCAACATGCCTTGCCTTGTCGAAGTAGGCATTGATATCAGTAAGTAATCATAACATTATAGATCGTATCATTGCTGACGCTTTCTATGAAAATAGATGTCCGATGGCCATTGGTACTTCGACCTACCCGTATTGCAAAGTTGCATTCACACAAAAAGCTCAATCCCAATGTTGCATCCCTTCGACTCTTTCCTGGTATCAATGAGACGACGGTGCGTACATTCCTTGCCCCTCCTATCCAAGGCGTTGTGCTCGAGACTTATGGTGCCGGTAATGCACCTGCACGTGCGGATCTGCTATCAGCCCTCAAAGAAGCATGTGATCGAGGCGTAGTGATTGTCAATTGTACGCAATGCCGCAAGGGTTTGGTGACCAGCTCCTATGCCACAGGACGACAACTTGCAGCCATTGGTGTCGTAGCCGGTGCCGATATGACCCCTGAATGTGCATTGACCAAGCTATCCTACTTGTTGGGTAAACGACCAGATGACCCTCAATATGTGCGTGAAATGATGATGCGAAATATCCGTGGCGAGCTTACAGTGCAACGACAACAACAACAATTCAGCGCCTTTAATCGCACCCATGCTCTGATTGATATGATGGTGAGCATGTCCGCCCATGCCAAGAATACATCCAAGAGCGAATGGGATGGTGGTGTCCTTGATCATGATTTGACAATGCCTGTGGAGGAACAACTAGTGGCAGAAAAGGCACTTTTACCCGTCATCTTATGCTCAGCAGCCATGGCCAATGATTTGGATGGATTACGCAAGTTGTATGATAGCCACATTAGCGACATGATCAACCTCAACACAGTGGATTACGATGGTCGTAGCCCGTTGCATCTAGCATGTCGAGAAGGCCATGTGGAAGTGGTTGAGTTTTTGTTATTGCATGGTGCCTCTATCCACATCCGGGATCGTCAAGGCCATTCACCACTCTTTGTGGCGCTTGTTGAAAAACGTGCTCAAGTCGTGGAAATGCTTCGTATGGCGGGTGCCCATTTATCTGAAAAGGAGTATCCTGACATGGGTACCATTTGGCTCAAAGCAGTGGCTAAGGGTGATACTCGCTTCGTACAACTTGCTCTCTCTGCTGGGTGGTCTGTCAATTGGGCGGAGCCTGTGGATGGACGTCGTGCTATTCATGTTGCCGTTTGCCAAGGTCGTGTATCAGTCCTCAAATGCTTGCTTGCACAGCCAAATCTTGATCTCGATCGCAAGGATCGATGGGGCTTCTCGGTCACAGATACCGTCAAATGGGTGCAAAACGCAGAAGGCGTCAATGCTATTGATGAGATTGCAAATTTGATAGAACAACACATGCAGCGTATAGAGAAACAAAAGCAATAGCGATATCTAGTCGTTTGATAAAAAGTATGATAATAGATAAATAGTGGTACACATTCTCCCTTAAAAAAGAGAGGGTCGCATATGACAACAAAAAAGGGGTCATTGACGTATATTATGTAAGCAGGCCAAGATGAGCCCAGCCAATCTTTTTGAACAAGAGGGTCTTCTCATTCATCTTTTATATCTATTGTTTGTCTCATCAACAACAACATGTATATTGCATTGGTGGATACAGCTAAAGTTGTGTTGGTTTTGCTTTGGACACAAACATGAGCTTATTTAGAAAAGGAAGGACCAGAATGGACCAATTGAATGATCATCGAGTGGATGGACATGTATGTATGTGTGCATATTCCTAGCTTAAAGAAGAGGAATAAATATGATGTATTACGCGAGAGTGGTGAAATAGAGTCAAAACAATGATACAAAAAAGCGCGGCAAAATGACTAAGAAAGGCAAGTGGAAAGAGGGATTAGATGTAGGGGGCCCAAGCGTTAATGATGTCTTATGATACAGCTATACTGTACAATGGTCCTATGCATATCACGAGGGGGAATGTCCTGATGATCAGTAGTTGCTGTCAAGGAACGAATGAACAAATGGGCATCTGGTTGTCAATAGGACCCTTTTCGCCTCTTATCTTTTTTAGTGGTGGTGGCGGGTGTTGGACACGTGTGACCATCACTATCGGTCGTGTGCCTGGCAAATAATTTTTGAATCTCGTCGCGTGTGCCACAACGGGGGACCTCCTCTTCCACATTCACCAACCCAACTATTCATTTATAACCTCTCTCTCTCTCTCTCGCTCTCACTCTCTCACTCTCTCACTCTTCCTTTTTCCTTATTCTTTAACACGCGCACTTTCATCACCATCATCCTTCTCTCTACAAGGCAAAAGCAATCTTTTACCTTTTGATAAAAGGATGCCGGCATCCACTCTCAACTCGCCTACTCCTCACGACGCCTATGCCAGTGAGCACCAACACCACCACCACCACCACCACCACTTGATACCAACAAAAGACGCTCTCATTGCAATGGACACCGTTGAAAAGCAACCACAAGACCTCAATGCTACCATGATGCGTTGCCCAACAACGAGCACAACTTCGTCTCCACAATCCGAAGATGACAATGACAATACCTCGGATAGCATAAGCACTGAGGTGCTCTCGGCTCAGTCCTGCGATTCGTTTTGCACCACTCAACAATATCCGTCATCTGAAAACAACTCCATTGACCATTCCTCGGTTACGTTTGAGCCTATTGTACTCGACCGAATATTTGAAGATAATCTCAGTGTGGAAATGCTAAGTCTATACGAAGTAAGCATCTTCTTTCTTCTTCTCATACAATGGGACATCTTTCTTCTTCATCTTCTTTCAACCATGCTAATCGATCATCCATGATAGGAATTACTTCCTACTCGAGAAAGTCATGATCGTCGATCACGTCTTATATCAAAGATCGAACGTTTACTCAACACCGAATGGCCTGATCGAGATATCCGAGTCCATCTTTTCGGGTACGTTTCTACTTGAATATTCCAACCCATCAATGCAAGGTATTCACATTCAAATCATTAGATCCTCTGTCAATGATTTGGGTACGAGTCAATCGGATGTGGATCTGTGCATAACTACGCCTTGGAATGGGTTGCGTAACGTTCGCGTTTTGGCCAAGTTGTTCAAGCGATGTAAGTACACACAAAGTTAGTTTATGGTTACTCCAATCAATCTAATATATGACCATCCATAGGTGGGATGCAGCACGTGGTGTGTGTTCCGCGTGCCAAGGTGCCTATTGTGCGTTTGTTTGATCCCGAAACGTAAGTGGATCCATTTATGGGATTATAATCAACCCACCTACCCCCTTACTTACTTAATGATGGCTTAATTATATAGTCAACTTGCATGCGACATTAATGTCAATAATACATTGGCCCTCCAAAACACCAAAATGATCAAGACCTATGTCGCCCTGGATCCACGTGTAAGACCATTGATCATGATCCTCAAACATTGGACAAAACAGCGTCGATTAAATGATGCAGGTTTGTGTTACATTGGGTGACAATGCGCATATCATACTCACTTTCACTTGCATGTTTGTAGCGAATGGAGGCACGCTATCGACCTATACATGGACATGCATGACGCTCAACTTTTTACAAATGCGCCACAATTCCATATTACCGGTGCTTCATCAGCTGGTGGGAAATAAGGATGACGATTCATTTTGTACCGATGTGGAACGACTCCGTGGATACGGTGAAGACAACCATGAATCTTTGGGAGGATTATTGTACGCCTTTTTTCGACACTTTGCGGTTGAATTTGATTATGCCAATCAGGTGGTATCAGTGCGACATGGACGATACTTGTCAAAGGAAGAAAAAGCTTGGGATGTGGGTCGCAACAAGTTCAGCTTATGCGTTGAAGAACCTTTCAATGTGTCTCGTAACCTTGGCAACTCTGCTGATCAGCAATCGGTTCGAGGATTGACGGTCGAATTTCGACGAGCATGTCATTTACTGGCAGCTGGTGCATCACTTGACCTTGTATGTTTGCCTTATATTTCACCCGGTGAGGAACAAGCTCTTGAGATGGAGATGCCATCATCACCATCACCAACATCTCCTCCTCTTCCTCAACAACCAGCAATCATTCAAAGCAATGGTGTCAATACAACACGTCCTATTATTTTGCCTATTCATCCTATGGATAATGCAGCAATATCACCTACTTTACATGATGACAACTCATATACATCATCCTCCACCTCCATCTCCACCACCAACCTTATACCATCGATTCCCGCTTACGATATCCGCTATATGGACACTCATCACAACAACATCATCCCCCATCGACCTCGCTTCAATTCCGCCATCGTATCACCTTCTACGAATCACAATCACTCTTCTTATTCACGACGAACCTCAACTACTAGAATAGCACGACATGGTAGCCATCCTGTGACATGCTGCACTGCAACTACAGGTGGTCCAACACCCATTGCTATTACAATCGCATTACCGCCACCATCATCTTATGCAACATCAACGAGGCATCATAGAGTGGTTCCTGTACAGGATATGCATACAACAGTGGATAGTATATTTGCACGCTATTGTAACAACATGGAGGATCATCGAAGGAGTAGCAACCATCATCGAAGGAATTCCTTGGCACGTCGTCGCTCCTCCAACAGTGAATGGCCTACCATTTCTCCAACGACATCCTCAAATTCAAATTGGGAGACGACAGGTTCACGTCAACAGCAACAACAACCTCAGCGTCGTCGTCGTTGGTCTACTGTCAAAAAAGTCTCGGATGATCAACAACAGCAACAACAAGCACAATTACCACCTTCCCAACCTACTCGAAGAACGATGGCCGATGTTGTCAAGACAACTCGAAATAATAAGAATGATGGTTGTCATGCCAACCAAACTCGGCACCCTGTCAAGTCGAAATCTGAAGCCGCAAGTAATGGTAACCCACGAAGTAGTAGTGGCAATGGCAGTGGTCGACAGAGAAGAAGGAACAAACAACAACATCATCATCATCGATAGTTTTTCGCTCCCTCTCTCTCTCACTTTCCTCATCCACTTGCACACAAACATACACACTCACACACTCACATCTTCATCTTATGTATAAAACCAATACACCAACAACATCATCATCACCATGTAACATCCTCTTGAAATTTCCCCCTTTTACGCACACAACATACATACATGTACATTTTTTGACCAAGAAACATAAAAAAAGTTAATAACAAAGAAATAATAAAATTGCACACGATTCGCCTACTATATATATAGCGTGTCTTTGTATGTACTATGGTCGCTGCATAAGAATGGTACCGATGATTGATTTACCCCACACAAAACCCCGGAGATAATTCAATCGCCGTCTTCATGCCGTTAAACACATAGCTACATGCTTACTTGCTTGCTTGCTTTATGATAAAAGCGATCATGTCTTCATGGTTTGTAAACTGGTGGGACATCGTAGCTGTTTATCCAATAGTGTTGGCTTTTCAAAGGAGCATGGGAAGGAAGAAGGGAGCTATAAGAAAAGGAAGCCTTTGACTCGCATAAAAGAAAGATCTGCTGCAGAAACCCACCCTTGTGGATAGTAATGAGATCAAAATTTTCTGCATTAGAAAGGATACGACTCATGACCCTAATCATTTTTGCCAGTGAAAATCTCATGTCGATTGTAGCACAGTTCCTGCATTTGTTTGCTCACCGAGCGTCGGTGATTTAGTCATCGAAAACGACTGCTCATTCATCAGCTGCTATGTAGTAGTAGTATAGTATTGCAAGTAAAGAAGAAGTGATGGTAAGGGTGGTGGGTATGTAATCATTTTATTGTTATAGATAAGGATAATCATGCAAAGAGTGAAAAAAGGGCAAGGCAAGGGAGGGAAAGGAAAAACGGTAAAGCTTATTATTCACAGCAAAGAATGACATGCACGACATCAAATATGGCATGTGTGGGTGGAAGAGCGTATTATGCATCAGCAAATAATCATGCAAGGGAAAATGTGTTGGTAACGATTGGTTCTACCGTTGCTAGAGTAGGCAATGACTGTTGCCGTTGATATCCGTATGGCCCCGATCCATTTGGTTTTAGTTGTCTTGAGCGTTTTGTGCCCCTGGAGGAATCGAGTCGATCTTTCTCCTCAACCACATCCTCTCTCCCCTCCTCCTCCTCCGAGACAACCACTTTCAACCCCACTCAATTCCGATTGATTTTCTCTTTTTCTTTCTTTGGTCATTTGTCCATATCCACTCACTACTACTACACCACCTAATTATCATCTTCTCTTTCTCTCTTTCTCTCTCCCTCTTATCGACCATCATCACAGCATGTTCCAGGACGACTCGGAACCTTGGAGTATCCAACAACTTTTTTCTCTCCTCGATCACAACAATGACGGCCATATCGATGCACACGATCTCGCTGCTCTTTGTTCCTCAACTGCACGTGGCCCCATGAATGAGGTAATGCCTGATCACCCATTGACACTCAAGATGGCCATGGATCCTCATTCAACGCTATGTATAGGATACTCTTAACAAGCTCAGGAACCAAGTGACAGTCATTACCCAATCCCAGGGTCGTATGTCTTATTCCGAGTTTGCCCAACTACTCAATAGCCATGCCATTCCTGCAACCGATATTACAACCGATCATGTGGATCGTATTGTTCATATTGTATCGAATACCATCAGTCAATCAACCGATGCCAACAATTGGAGGGAGATCTTGTTTTCGGATACGAGCATTCATTTGATTGCTGGAGGTATGTATGGAGGATGGAGAGATAAATGATGATGCGTAGAGTAGAGGTATATTAACGAAGGGTGAATATATAGGTATGGCAGGCGCTGTGTCCCGTACAGTGGTCAGTCCGGCAGAAAGAATGAAGATTTTATTTCAGGCACGTTCTTGTCACATGTGAGGATCGGAACGAATCGCTAATTTATATACACAACAATAGGTGCAAGGTCCTGAGCCTGCAGCTTACCGGGGTGTGTTCCCCACACTTGCCAAAATGTGGAGAGAGGAAGGCCTCATGGGTTTCATGCGTGGCAACGGCACCAACGTCATCCGTATCATTCCTTACAGTGCAAGTCAATTTGCTGCCTATGAATATTGCAAACGCTTGCTTATGGAGCCTGGCAAAACTGAACTTGATACCCCGCGTCGTTTGACCGCTGGTGGCTTTGCGGGTGTCGTTTCGGTGATATGCACATACCCATTGGATATGGTTCGCACTCGTCTTTCGGTACTATCGGCTACATTGGATGGCAACGTACGCAACTCTACATCCGGCACACCCGCCAAGAAATTACCAGGCATTCTTCCTTTGATGGTTCACATCTACAAAAAGGAAGGTGGCATCCTTGGTCTTTATCGTGGATTGTGGCCCACCACCTTGGTAATGTTGTTGAAAAACATGTGAAATTGGAAAAACATCCAGGTCAACTGACTGCCTCTCTGTCTATGTATGTAGGGCGTAGCACCTTATGTAGCCATCAACTTTCAATGCTACGAAGGACTCAAATTTATCATTGTCCCCGAAGGCAGTGATAAACCATCCCCCGCACGAAAATTGGTGTGTGGTGCTTTGGCTGGCTGCACGGCACAGACCATCATGTATCCTTTAGGCAAGTCAAGAATTTGAATTTGTGCGCGTGGTGTTTATTCCCCTTGTATCACACGTACTAATCGGGAACAAAAATCATTTGTCTCTTATAGATGTCTTACGACGACGTATGCAAGTAACAGGCATGTCCTCGATTGATTACAAGTATAACGGTACATGGGATGCTGTAAAGACAATGGTCAGAAACGAAGGCATACGTGGTTTATACAAGGGCATGATCCCCAATTATCTCAAGGTGGCACCCGCCATGGGCGTCAGTTTTGTCACGTATGAATGGTGCAAGGATGCAATGATCGACGCACGATAGATCCCCTCCTCTCTCGCTCTCTCTCCTTTGTATATGTTTGCATGACTTTTCTCACCCTCTCACTCTCCTCTATTACTTTAGCGTCATTTTCCACACGCTCATTCCACCACTTTACACCTTATTGCATTTTGCTTTCATGTTGTTTTTGTCACTCCCCCTTCTTATCCTCCACCTCCTATACGAAAAGATTCATTCTCTCTCTATATATCTCTTTTCCCGCCCCACATACAATTCCTCTCTTTATAGAATGCGACGCTTTACAACAAGCACAGCTGTTTTTATTTAATTCTACTTGTACCCATTATGATCCTCCGAAAATACAAAGAGTAAATCGCATCTATCATTTAGTGCAACTTGAGACCCGCAAGTTCGGTGGCAAGCTGGCTGGGATCAAACTGCCAAATGGCAACCTTGCCATCCAACGCACATGTAGAGAATTGGGTGATATTGTCACGCGATCCAGCATAGGGACGCACCTCACTAAAATAAAAATGAAAAAAACAACCCCCTTGTTAGATGGCATTACACAATCTCATATCCCATAAACTTACATGATGGTGTTTTGGTGCGTAGTAGACAAATCGGTATCCTGATCGGCTTGACCACGGGAATCCATTGACTTGAATCGGCTGAGCACCGATGCAGTAGTCGACACCTTTTTACGTCCAACATCCAAAGATCCCGACAAATGCCTAGCACATTCATTCATTTATGAGCCTATAACACCTCTTTTCTCATCCCATACACACAACTTACCAGTCTTGGCCATCGGTTGTTTCGACCAACATAGGAGCACAATCAAAACCAGCAGCGACAATTTGGCGTTCGTTGGCCCAAATAAGAGATCGGAAAGGTAATGTGCTAGCCTGCACAGTCAATACAGTATGGTTGCCATCAGCACTTGGATAGGCCACATTGACGGTAGAATCATGACCAGCAAAGGCAACAGCATCACCGGAAGGAGAAAAGGCAACGGAATGAACCCATCCACCACGGCCATCGGAAAACTCGGCACACACGGTGTTGAAAGGAAGCTTGTCACCCCATACAGAAGGAGCAGGCCTATCCATTTCATGACATCAATGATCTCTCCTTCTTCTTCTTCTTCTTCTTCTCCAATGTATATATACAACTTACTTTTTATCCAAACCCTTGATGAATGAGGAAAACACGCGTGCCTTCATGTCAGCGGAACCGGCAGCAAGCAATACATTGTTTGGATGCCAATCAATGGAAAGGACCGTACTACGGATAGGCTTCTTGAGATGCTTGCTTGCCCACCAGTCATTATCCTCCTCAAAGTAACACACAGCAATGCAACGAGCGCCACTGGCAACAGCAAACTTGTCTTCATTAGGAGACCAACGAACAAAAGTGGCTGCACGGTTGATACGCAAGAGCACAAGGCCTGGTTTCCATACACCTCCTTCTTGAGTCCACACATAAGCGTTACGGTCTTGCGAACAGGTCACAATACGGTTGGTGTTGGGTGCAATATCAATGCTCGTGATAACCTTATCGTGCTAGAATAGGCCCACACATGTTAACATGCGTCGTCATCTCGGTTCTCCATGAAGCAGTACTTACGCCTTGCAATGTGGCCTTCAAGTCCCAGTTGGATGCACCTTGTTCATAAAGCTTGGCCTCGTTGGTGTTGGGGCAGATGACCAACTCTGTGGATTTATGCGTGAGATGAAACGTTTGCCACCACCATGCTCTCTCTTGACACTTACTGTTGTCGTCAAATGCGTGAGCCGTGATGGGTGTGTTGGCAAGTTGGTAGGTAACAGGGTTCGACATTGTTTAAAAGTTGATGCTGTTGTTGATACAGAGGACTATCAGTCTACTCTATAGAAGGGAAAATGAAAGAGGATTGAAGCAAGACAATTCGATAACACGCCGCGCCTTTTCTTTTAGTGGCAGTAGCTGAGTTGCATTGCAGTAGTAACCCCACCTCCCTCCGCCCATCACTAAAAACCATCATTCATGTAATTACAATAAACGCAGGCTGATTTGCCCATTCACTCGAATTCCTTTTGAGATGGTTGAAAACAATGCATTTGAATGGCATCTTTGTTCCATATGAAAAGCTAGTCTATTGATCCCGTTACAAAAGTACTTTCTATTTTAACTCCATATACGCTGTGATAAGCTGAACCATCTCTTAGAATTGTCAATAGAACTCCTATTTATTGAGGATTCAGGCAAAAGCATTAAAAACGACAAGAGCAATAGCCTGTATGTCAGTTGTTTGAGGGAGCATTCTTCGCAGGTGCGCAATACAAGGGGCTGTCGTTCATCATTAAAGCTAGATAGATAAATAATCATTAGTATCATGGGTGAGTAGTAGATGTAGATAACATGCTGCGTGCTTACTAGGGCCAACTAAAGAGCAGCCGGGATGATCTTCACAGGTATCATTAGGGTATTTACATGGATCCTGGGGAGGAACTGCGGCAGCAAAGGCTGTGCTGGCCAAAGCAACGACAAACAAAACGGCAGCGACAAGTATGGGCTTCATCTTGCAAATGGATGATGAAGAAAAGAAGCACCCAGATCAATGAAAGAAGGCGTTCTATATTTTCCTTGATGGAGCAGGAAGGTGCGGCGTTCATCCTCATACGAGATTTGACGCAAGGGGGGCCGACCCATTTCATAATTGTTTCTTGTCCTTCGTCATCATAAGATATACGCGCCTCACCCAAATACACGATGCGTCATGTAAGAGTCACATTCTTCAACGTTGTGTCGTATGTGTGTGTGTGGGTGTGTGGCAAGAAAACAAAGCTGTAATCCTTTCAAGCAGGGTGAAGATACAGTAAACGCTCATCAAAAGAAACGCCATCATTTGTCCTCTACTATGTAGTAGGATGCACTTTGTGGACCATGCGATTGTGATGGCTGCTGTTACAGTATCCATTCATAGTATAGTATCCTCGACATGTTGCAGAAATGAAGAATTTCTAACCATCCTCAACTAAACGAGCACCCATCGTAAGGATCATCAAATGGCAGACGCATGCATTAGATGCTTACAGTCAATCAATGAAACATTTGGGTTCCGAGGTACGTACACTATCGAGAGTGCCAACGTGCAGCACCATCCTATATACCTGCAAAAGCAGAGATCGTTATGCAATGTCAAAGAGAAGGGTGGTTAGAGTGGAGTTGTTTCTCATCTTGTGTGCGTGACAAAAGGAAACTACATGCTCAACGAATGAATGGATGACTTTGTATTTTCTGATGGATCGGATTGTCGCATAATAAGGTATGGAGATGGTTTTTATTCACGATCATGCAACGAGTAATGCCATCGAAGCTTTGCTATTATGTACATGGATTTGGCCAATAACAGGTATACGACCTCGAATAAAGTGACCATCCCTATCAATGAGCATTTGAAGCTTATGATTGAATGAAGCTGCAATCCCATATTTGAACCCCTTGAGCCATTGTGCTTCTGCTGGTTTCCTAGCAACATGGAAAAAGAACCCTACATTTTGGTGTTTCACAACCTATCTATTTGCATTGGGGCACCCAAAATAAACATTTATTATCTGTTTGTCGGCTTGAATTATGCAAGATGTTCAGTAGAGGATGCTCCAAGCGTGATGTGTGATTCGATGCTGCTCTCAACCAGGGTTTGTGAATAGTATCGCTTGTCCTCATTGGCAAGATCAGTGATCTTGTAGTTATCATCCAAGTCAACACGTTCGGTTCGATCATCATCAGTGACCAAGTCACTCGATGGTGCACAGCAATCTCGGAGCTTATGGATACCCCATTGGAGAAAAAAGCAAATCACTACTGCAAACGCCACGATAAAGTACCAAATTGCTGCTGATGGACCTTGATTCCAATCGAGAAAAGAATACACCCACCAGTGTTCCCTACATATGACATGCATCATGTTATTAGTAGCATGTCGCAAATTCACATAGACATTTTGGATAAGCACTTACGATCCATAAATGATAAATGTCAGCAGCATGTAACAAAGCACGATGCAAAAGACAGGCACCACAATGCGTACACTAATCACCATCCTTGACAAGAACACCTCAAACATCATGATAAAGAAGGACGTTGCATGAAGAGAAGCTGCCATCCACCAATCAGTTGGCGTTGCATCTGTCTCTATTTTTTGGATCGTTTAGCAATAGCAGCTGATGATAAAAAAGTGGGACAAACTTACTATTGAGAAGGGTCCCTGATAAAAGTGACCAATAGACGGCAGGTGTCAAGATGCTATAATACTAGTTGATGAGTATTACCCCTCTTCACGAACAAGGTTTATGGATAAGCTTACTTGAATGTAATCACCGTATGATAGAGGAGGACATAGAGGTAATTTAAAATGGCTGACTGGTCGAGAAATGAACGTGGTTGGCGTGGTTCACGCATCATTAAATATCGAACATGGTGGCAAAATGTCGTCTGTATGTATGATGGAGGATGTATGTATGTATGTTAGTAAGGGCTCCCTCCCATATGGAACAATCAAAATAGGGGAGGAGTTGTCAAGGAGGAAAATGAGAGGGGGAGGGGAATACCCATTGGTAGTAATAGTAGTTGTAGTAGTAAAGGACGGCAGTGAAGGGGAAATGGTAGGGTTGGAACCAAGGGATCGCCACTGAGAGAGGATCTCGTTTTACTACTACTTACGATTAAGTATGCATTAAGACCCACAAATGTGAATCGAGTAAAGTATGCAAAGTAGTGGTGAAACTCGTTTGTTGCAAGAGAGATGCCAATGTCAGCCCATAAGGCGATCGTTGAATATAAAACAAGTGGAATTCGCAGACACAGTAAGGCCTTGGATGAAATGAAATGTGAAGTTACCGCCCTTTCAGGCACAAATTGATCCAGCTTGAACCATTGCACAAGGGTTGAATTAGATGTTGGAAGCCGGTCGTCGCGTGGTGACATTATCGTTATGAAGAGAGATGGTGAAGAAGATACACACAAGAGTCAAGGATGTTGAGTAAGAGAAAGAGAAAGAGAGAGAGGGGGGTGTTGGTAAAAGTCGAGAAGAAGGGAAGTATCTAGTAACAGGATGCCCTTGACAAACGATGTAATAAGGAGGTGTCTTCTCGTATTCGATCGTTGCTATAGTACTAGCTTCATAATCAACGTCGCATCACCATCTCGTTCACATCCACAATAAATCCATTCGCACGTAGTCCAAGACATCATCACGCAATATAAGATCCTTTGATCCTTTTTATTGTTGGATAGCATTAAGTAGAGTGATTGATCCAAGCATATCTCCAATGATGTACATCCATCGTTCTTCTTTCCAATGACAACGCCACCATCATGCGCCACAGGATTGTTTGGTTCGTTTCAATGTCATCGACCCATTGTCCTTGTCAATTTTGCCACATGATCCCTAGGATACCCATCCATCCGCCCTTTCGTCGTCAAACGACGATTCACCCTGCGTCACGCCGTTCAACAATGAATGAACGTAAAGATAAGCTTCACGTGCTGGATGAAAAAGGGGAGGTTTAATGCCGAACAAGGTTGATGTGTAATATATGAGATTGACCAGCGTGGGTGCAGTAATGATGCTTTCTTTATTCATTGATGTTGTTGTTGTTGTTGTTGTTGCTAGCTAGTGGTGTTCATTGTTCATTGGTATATCGTATATAAGCTTTCAAGCCAAATCCTGATCGTCAAAGTCATCGTCGAATTCTACAACATGGATGCATAAGCGTGTCATTCCTATTATCGCTGTTGTATGTTCGATCACTTACTGTTGAAAAAGTTTTGATGGACCAACTTCTCAGGAGGTGTCATCACTGCCATAGGCTCTCCTTTTTCATCAAGCGTCTCAGGATATGAACGGTAATAGTCTGGTGCCCGACTCCCGCGCATCAGGGACATGCGGCGCGAATGCTCCTGCGTAAAACGATCCTCCTCATCCTCGTCAATGTCCTCCACCATTGGGTCGTCCTCCTCCATCAAATCTGTAGTCATGTATCAGTCTTCCATAGTCTTTGTCATTTTCAAGGAGTAAACTTGCCGTGATCCCACTTTTCCATGTTGCTGTTAAAAAGTGAAAGAAAGCTGTGTATCAAAAGGGAGAATGGGAAGATGCGTATGTGTAAATCCGCAAAAGGAAGTCTACCTGCAGCTGCGCGCATCAAATTTACCTTAGCATGAACGCTTGATCTCATCCAACATTGTAACTTGTCAAAGTCTCCCCTTGTCACATGTACATACATCATTGCTATTGACCCTTGATTCATCAAACACAAAGAAATGTACAGCGGCGACTACTACACGTACCGCTCAATGAAGATGTATTATCGATCATACTAATTTACAAAGGTGTGAGGGGGAATGCATACAATGAATTTCATAAGAGGATGGTGTGAAGGCAACGATAGCAAATGAGTCAATGATGATGAGGGAACATATGCATAGAGATACAAATGATATCATAAGGATGCTACTACTTTAAGTGAAAGATAGAAGGATGAACCTAGGAAAAGTTTTCGCTTGCAAAGCTGGGTGTTGATGACAGTGGGCTTGGGGGAAGTGGCGTGTTGACAGCATCCAAGAAATAATTTTCTTGTGGGATGCAAAATTGTTGTTGTTGTTGTTGAGGATAGGGTTGATACAGATTGGATGGCGATGTTACGAACACTGAGGGATTATCGTAACCATGATGCTGGCTTTGTGTGTTTTCTATAATTGCGGTGTTAATGTTCGAGACCCTTTTATGAAGGTATAATCAGGCACAACACACATACCTCCTTTGACATAGATAGCATTGGGTGCTGGTTGCTGCTGAGGTCGTTGATGATGGTGATTGATTAGAGGATCCGAGTTCAATGTTACCGGCTCATCTATAAATGGTAAAATAGAAAAATAGGGTCAATATTCTGTAGCACACAATGGTAAGGCCTAGCCCCACCCTTAATTCTGTCATCATGTTTCTCTCTTACCAAAGGTTTTTGAGTCATATCGATGATTATCAAATTGAGAAAGGCGTTGAATACCCATTTGGATTTGCAATTGAGACTTTTTGAGATCTTCAAAACCTCGTAGCATGGTGGAAAAGTTGTCTTGTAGCATACGAAATTGCTCAAGCAAGTTATCTTGTGATTGTTGCACCATCGAAAAGCATGCTTGCATATCACCTGTTTCTCGTCGAAGGACATCGGATTCAACCGCTTTACGTTTGATCTCCCACAACATGTCAGGCCAATCCCGTTGGAACTTTTGGTGGGAAAACTCCCAAATTTCTTCTTGAGAGGTAACACCACGTTTGATGCGTGGAGCCTTGTTGATTTTGCGAAAACCATACCTAAGGGTAGGACAACATGGTAAGTATAAGCTCCGGTGACACACACACACACACACACATTGAAATGCCAAGCGAAAAAAAAAAAAAAGAATCGGCAAGAGACCCAAAAATTCGGGACAACCACACACCGCTGATACAGATACTTACATGTTCAATTGCCTTACAAAACTGGAAAAGTTGCCATGCTTAAAGTACACAGGTAGCACCTGCCGGGAAAACGCCTTGGAATTGGTAATCAAAAACGAGCTCCCAGCATTATTCCAACAAATAAGGTCTTGATGCTTCTTGTCACCAACCATGCTATTATCATTATGGCACATTAAAGCGATGCAAACATTATGCAATAGCTGCTACAACAATGCTTACCTATACAACTTGCTAATAAACGTGCTGACATTCTTTCGTTCAGTTTGATGGCCACGTTGTGGTTGTTGTTGTGGTTGAAGTTGGGGAGGATACATGTCATTGGATGATGGTGGTGCATAGCCCATAAAGTAGCCATCTTGAGGAGAAGAGGAAAAGTATGGGGTAGCTGGTGATGATGCAGTGGGGGAGAATTGGGAGGAACGTGGAGAGGAAGAGAAGCTCATGTTGGTTGAGTAAAAGTCATTATCAGGCAGAGCCATTGTGTTTTGAGAAGGTGGTATCTGAATGTTCATTTGTGATGGCGCTTTATATAGGAAGGATGATATGAAAAACTGTCTTTTTGATAAAGAGGTGGGAAGCGGAAAAGGAAATAAGGGCTTCATGGATCCAGCCTTCCATGAATTAGGTAATGGGAGGGTTTCACCTATTGACAACCGCCTGTCAACAGGGTCTTGGAGCTCTGGCATTGGCTACGTTTATCACTCCACCAGCGGTCTTGTCCGCTCCAGAAAACCTCTCCCAGCGAGTGTACAAACCATGAGCACCCACGGTTCGCTAGCCTTTATTGCTCATATTTCCGTGGTGCACGGTCGCCACAATCGGCATATCACCCCACATGCAAGGCACCAATCACATTGCTACTTTTTCACTATTACCATCACTGCCAAAGCTTTAATCATGAAAAACGCGTGCACAGACATTTTATAGTATACACCAGGATATTGGTAGAGTGGCAGAATTGGGGATAATGGATGGATACAGAGATGCGGTGTAATGACTATGACAAGCGTTTATTGTTGGGTGTGAAATTGGGATGTGCCTCTTGTTCCTACTCCTCACTGGTTCGTGCATTTCAACCTCTCAGCTTGTGTACTCGTCTTTGGCTCGACTGCACAATGCAATGGCGCCCTCTCATTCTACTCTTTTGCGGCATTGCTGTGATTTACCTCGCTAGTCTACTGCAAGAGACTCCTTATCCTCATCCTCTAAAAGTATACACGTCCGATACCACACGATGGCGACATGCACCCGATGAAACTATATTGACAACAGCCGGCGATTACCTTTACCTCACCGCCATTCGTTACAACGTCGAACCTGCTGGTTTCAAGGGTTTACGTCATGGCACAGGAGACCTTAAGACTGGTGTTGTAGGTAATTATATATATCCGTATATGATCATCATCATTCATTCAATTCACGCATATTTGTCAAAGGCCATCTTGCTCAGATTCGTCGGCCTATCAGTGATTTGGTAAAAGATTATGCCAATGGATCCACTGAGGAACATGGTATGTGTGTGCGTGAGTGTGTGCACGTGACACCACCTGAATGCTTACAGTCGATGCTATGATAGGATGGACACAAACCTTTCAGCATGATTTGCCTGGTGCAATTTCTAAAGTATCTCACGCTATCACTACTCAAGATGGATCAAACCTGCTTCAATTTGGTGTCATGTATCATGTTGTCGAGAATGAAACGACACGTCATTACGTCCGAATCTATTACTTGCGTGATGGCGACGATGGCGTCTCTCCGCTGTTCGAGTACAAAGATGTACGTATGCCAGGTACTACGTGGATCAATGCATTTAGTTTGGAAGAAAATGGGATCCTCTTTGCTCGGTAAGTGTTATTGACAAAAAAGCAAAAACATGGATCCATGTTGACATCTATCTTAGAGATCCGGATCATTATGGATTTCGTATGGCACATTTACCGCATGATTTGACCAAGGGTCCACATTCAGAAGACGCTGAGGAGATTGTGATTCATGAGAGTGTACCGGGTGTCTCTATTACAGGTAAAAGGGTAGTAGATGGAGTAATGGAATAAGAGCGTTACCTAACATGTGGATGAAATATAGAATACAATCAGCCACGCCATGTAGAGCATCATCACCGTGGTTTGTGCCGGGTATTATCACCCGTGTAAGTGTTTCCCTTTCTTACCTCTATAGCACCAACATCTCTAATCATCATAGTATAGTGGCGACACATATCGGGTGATCTCGTTGGATATCTACAAGACCGAGAATGCTTACCATTACAACATGACGCTTGCGGATAACTCTACCAAGGATGACGGCTGGCATATCATTGATCACAAGCATCAAGCGGTAAGTTTTTGCTTTTGGTGAAAAAAAGCAATGTAATAATAACACCTTATATTAGAGCCAGGTTTACAGCGAGGATCAAATCGATTATATCGGGTTTGCCGACGTATCCCAATTCCAACAACAACAGCAACAACAACGTTGGCATGTGCCACAACCTCTCTTTTGTAAGATGATCCCTATCACATTGTATATCCTCCCCCTTGTTAATAAGGTCTTTGTTTGTTCAATAGCACGATCCAACAATGGGCGCTCGATCGTATTCCCATATGTGCAGACCATGGCAGTTACTTTGGACTATGTGGACCATCGCATGAATGAAAAGACGAATGAGTTTTCTGAATACTACAGCTGGTTGAATAACGATATACCTGCACCTTACGATGCCAGTATCATGGGTATGTCCATCAATCAAGAGGGCAATTTGCTTGCAGTATGGAGCGACTACAATACCATTTATATTTACAAGCGTGGATCGGCTAATAACACGCCCAGTATACCTCGGCGATCACCTTCATTATTGGATCGCATTGATCAGTGGCTAGCTATTGCCGACATGGATGATGATACAGAAGAGGAATCTCATGATACAAAGCAAACTCAGCAAGGACATCAAGTTGCACCTCCACCGGAATGGAAGTTACGTATGGCTATCACTCGCACAGAAGGGCATTTAGGGCTTAACGTAAGTAAAGATGAATCATGTGAGGAGTTGATAGTGCATTAATCTTTATGACAATTGGTGGTGTTAGCCTGTCAGTGCTATCAAATTCTGGAACTCAACAACCAAAGATGGACAAAGGAATTATATATGTAAGGATTCAACAAGACAAGTTGGAGGAGGATAAGGAAACGTTAACATGGGGTCGATAGTTGTTGCTTTGGCAGGAGGTGGTGTTAATTCGTACATGATCGATCAAGCTGAGGATTTCGAGGATGCCAATTTCTGGACGTATTTGAAGCGAAACTGGAACATGGTAACAGGTACGCAAGAACATTCTCCTTTCCATAAACATGCACGCTAACACACGTCCTCATCCTTTGCATAGCCATGACCATGATTATTGCCGGCTTCGTATATAATGAATATCGCAACCACTCTTTGTAAATTGTTTAATAGAAGACAAAAATTACAATCTACGTACAACCTAATACTGTAATCGAAAGCGTGTGTCTTTTTTGGCTTCCCCACTGCCCTGATACAATTCGCGTGGGATCCATCCAATGTAATTGAGTCCTCCAAATCCACCAACGTAATAGATTTCCTTCACTTCCAGCTCATAGAAATGAAAGTCGTGGAAAGAACGCCTATACACGAGATCTATGTTAGTGATACGTGTGCGTGGCATTTATCATATGACCAAGTACTTGCCAATCTTTTGCCTCGGGATGCTTCGCTCCAAAGCAATCCATGGCGTCATCGTACTAGTGATACCGCATGTTGAGTATACATGAGCAAGCAGAAGAAAATGTTGTCTAATGTACCTGGCTTGGAGGAATAGGTGCAATCTCACCAAGTAGTGTGAGCCGAGGTGATTGCACAGGTGTCGTTTCATTACCCATCTTTGGATTATCGTATTCTTTCAAAGCACGGATTGTAAACCCCACCTTGGATGGCTCGTGCTGCATATTTCTTGCACTCATCTATGTATATGAAACCCCGGCGATAGTCAGCATCACGCTTGCCTTTTTGTCCTCCCCCCCCCACCCTCAACAAGAGATTAACCTGTAGATCTGACATAAAAAGCAAAAGATTTCCTTTATCGGACCAGTCACCACTGTAGTATTCCATGATACCAAAAGGATGACCTATGATTGACATCATGTGAGAAGATTACATGTATCCCACGGTCAACAACAACAACCATACCTCCCACATTCGGCTGTATCGATTCATCCACCAATGTTAAAATGGTACCAATCCCTGCAAACGTGTAAGCATACAACCGGTGATGAGCATTGTACCAATTACCAGCATCTTTGACAACGCGCCGTGCCAATTCAGCAGCTTCATTGACCGTTTGTCCCGAATGTAAAGGCGAGCAAAAAATGGTAGTAGCAAAAGCGAGCAATAGTGGCAGGAGTAGCATGGGATAGAGAAAGGAAAAGAGAAGCGACAGGATCGATCAAGATGAGGAGTAGCCCTTTTTTCATTGCTGGCTTTATCTGATTAGGACGAAAAAGACCGTGTGTTACAATGCAAAAATGAAACAAGGGAGGGAATACAAGTAAGGGCGGCAGGGTATATTACGTATGCGTATGTAGTAGATGTACATGTTGTTACGAGTATTGTGGAAGAGGTGAAGGTGGTGCTGCTGCAAGAGCTGGCGATTTGGTGGTTGTGGTGGTTATAGTAACGGGATGATGGGTCGTTGTTTGTTTCTCATGTCGTCGTTGTTGTTGTCGTCGTTTTGCATAGTACTGGTCACGCTATTGTACATAGATGCATAATGCATCATTTTCGTGTCTCAGCGACGCATAATAATGTAGCCCCACTTTTCGCTTACCATCACAAGATATTCTGTACTAGCGCTTCTCCCACTCGTTATTTTTTCCATTCGCTTTCGCGCTGATCGTTTTAGGATATAGCTGAATTGAGCATGGATTTGTGGATAGATATCCTACAACATGGGGTGAATGATCAGCTTTCGGTCATTGAAATAGATACGTTGATGATGATTTACCTTTATGCCAAGTAAATCAACCAATGACCTTAATGCAGTGTGGCTACGGCGACGAAAAAAGGGATCTAGGTATATGTAAACATGATGAGTGTCCAGACAATTCTGTATAAAGTGGTCCGTACAAATGGCGTGTGTTACCTTGTGACATGGGCGTCACGGCACGGCGAAACGCAGAATAGTGAGGCTGTTGCCGGATTTCCTTTTCACGCTGAAACACGGTGTTGGCTCGACTTTGAAGATTGACAGCCATCGATTTGAATTCGCTGTATGGAAACCAGCGTATGAGTGATGGGGAAAGGCGTATATACGTACTATCCATCATCATTATGAATAAGGCTCACCTGACAAAGAATGGCCAACACGATATTAGAAACACCCGATCAGTCATGAGGACCATCAATGAATAAAACCTTGTCTCGCCTCTTGCATAGGCATCATGTAGCTTGAATAAGTAGCTCAACGCATAGCCATTCTCGTCATCACCAAATAAAACGGGACCTTCACGTCCTGGACAAAGCTCAGTTGTCAAGCTATGTAACATCCACATTTATATATCGTGTAGTAGTAGAAATGGATCAATGGCTCTATATACAAACCTTCGAACACAAGCCAATCGTGCGGCCTTGTACAGCTGCAAATGTTGTGGTGATGGGGTGCCGATGTATGCAACAGTGGGGTTATCATCATCGTGTACAATCATGCGTTTAGCTTCCAGCGCTGGCCCATTTTTGGTGGATAGAATGATAGGCATTTGAGCCGTACATGCTGCGCATGTTGATTGAGTTGTAACGGGAGGAGGAGGAGGAGGAGGAGCTGATGATGAGGTTTCTTTACGTACAAGCGAGGATAGTTGAGAAGATAAAGAGCTAATGGGTGGATCCATTATCGTTGTAGTTGAATGATTTGCATTAGGAATAGGGATGGGTGCAGTGTTGTGAGGATTATTTGCGTCAAGGTGGTGATGATGTGTTGCTTGTGTACAAAAGACGACCCGAGGACCATGCACTTCACAAAAATGCAGCATAGCTACAAGGGCATTCATTATAGACCGGCAAAGAATGCACGGCACGTTAACCCGTTTGCAATCCAAAAAGTAGAGAAAGAGGAAAAAAAGAAGATTGATCAACAAATAGCAGTGATGTTGTTGTTGTGGATGATGGTGATGGTGATGGTGATCAAAGTGGGTCACGAGACAGACGATCTGAGCCCCCCTTATGAGGACCCAAGGTGGGGCAAGCAAGGGACCTTTTTGTCACACATTGTCCATGCGCATGGATTTATAAATGTATACCAGGTCCATGTACCTTCTTGTCAAGCACATGTAAAACACGATCATTTAAGCGAGCATGCGGAGAAGATCGGATGAACAATCCTCCATTTCCATGATTTCACAAGTTTGGGCACATCAATGTTTTACAGCAGCAGCAGCAGCAACAACAACAACACCTCGCACATTACAAAGATAGAACGACATGTAAGCATTTATTTCTCTCTCTGATGAATCGTTTTAAATTCCATCTGGCTAATGTCATTTGATCTTCATGACGTACTCACATGGGACGGTCCTTATCGTTTCATATTACTCTACAAGGTTCGGCTGTTGTCATACGTAAAGCGAGCAGCGCTCGATCAACTTCCGACTGATATGAAAGGCTGCTGAACCCCATCAAAATGTATCATTGTTTCTTTTTTTCCTTCCAACACAATGAACCAAGGTAAAATGTCCTTCCTTGCTATTTCGCTTCTCATTCTCACATAGAAGCAGGTGATTCTCTCTCTCCCATCCGCGCCACTCGCAACAAGTTCGATCCCAACGACGAGAATCTCGACAAGGTGCTTGAAAGCAATCGCGCATGGGCCAAGGCTGTGAAAGAACAAGAGCCTGAATTCTTTGAGCAAATCAACTTGAAGCAAGAGCCCAAGATTCTTTGGATCGGTAAGTGTCATGACGCCTACACGCGCGCGCGTGCGTGCGTGTATGATGATGATAAGGTCGTGAGTGGTTCGGGGACGTGACATTGATTTCCTTATCTCTATTTAGGTTGCTCTGATTCTCGTGTCCCAGCCGAGCAGATCCTTCAACTTGGTCCTGGCGAGTTATTCGTGCATCGCAATATTGCCAATGTCGTTACCAACTCGGATATGAACTGCTTGTCCGTGGTGCAATATGCTGTTGAGGTGCTCAAGGTCCAACACATCATCGTATGCGGTATGTGTCTTTTTTTCATTTCCAAAATTTGGGGGTAACGGAGCTACTTTCCTTGCTGGGATACGTGTACCACGTTATCGGGTCAATCGATGGGTGATGAGATAGATGGATGGATAGAGATATCATTGACACATTTCCCCCCCCCTCTACTCCATAGGTCATTACAACTGTGGTGGTGTGGCTGCTGCTTCTGGTCATGGTCAATTTGGTTTGATCGATAACTGGCTTCGTAACATCAAGGATGTCTATCGCTGTAAGTTCATATACCCCCCTCCCCCGTGAGAAAGAAAAAGAACCCACATCTCATCTCTCCTATTAGTGCACGCTCGTGAACTTGAAGATATCAAGGATGAAACTGCTCGTTATCGTCGTCTTGTCGAACGTAACGCTATGCACTCTGCTGAAACTCTTTGCAACTCTACCATTGTTCAAAACGCGTGGAAGCGTGGCCAAAAGCTCTCTGTTCACGCATGGGCTTATGATCTTTCTGATGGGTAAGGAACAAAAAGAAGGGTAGCTACATGTGGCTTCATTGTATGCTAACGTTTTGATCCTATTAGTCATGCTCGCCGTTTGGACTACTGCAAGCATTCTGACAAGGATTTGCAAGATGTTTACAAGGTCACTAACTAAGTGTAGAATAAAAATGGGTATTCACGTTGTGTTTATGTCTACGATTTGCATGGTTGGATATGGCATCTTTTGCAAGCTGGTGGTGTGCACATCAATGGGAGGAAAGAAGGAAAAGGCAATTCAAAAGAGTGTGGGCTATTATACGACAACCCTCAAGAATCCATGCAAGAGAGGAATGAGGTATGAAACAGCATGCAACACGTGCTATGGGCTATTCCATGTCATCATCATTTTACCCCAACATTGGCTTCAAGTGGATCTCGAACCACCATTGTTATCATTTCTTTCTCGTTTTGCGTACACAATAATGGAGCAGCAGCAACAACAACAACAATCACCTATTGATGCTCATACGCCTGGAGCCAGGTATGTGTGGATGTAGCATAAAAACACGCTCACTTTTGCAATCCAACCAATACGTCTTTCTAAAAGTGCCTCTCCCATTCGGCAACTCCCATCACCAGCATGGTCGCCTTATCACCAAGAGATACCTGCAGAAGAAATCCTTCCCATGTTGGATCCCATATCGCCGTCATTGCCACCATCCACATCGCCGGAATACACCTTGTCAAGTGACTCCGTACCACCATCCATCAGCAGCTTCGAACAACAGCAAAGACATCCGCTGAAAAGAGAAAATGACTTGCAGCACGATGATGATGATGATGGAAACACCACTGGATCCGGAGAAATTACACCCAAAGGTGCTTATGCATCTTCAGCGACTGTGGACAGCTACAGTATCAGAAGCAGCAGTATTGACGAGCAAGCGTATGATGCCAGCGATGAGTATTTGCCCGGTGAAACAAGCGAGGATATCACTGAAGAAGAGGTGCAAAGCATCCACCGTCAAAAACGACCACCCACGCTTTTTACGTATGATGATGAAGACGATGATGATTATGAAGATGATTCAACAACCATTATAACAACCACGAATAGCTATGTATCCACCATCACCTCCACCTATCAAAGCACCACCGATATGGACGTGACAAGCAATGATGAAGAGCAGCAGCTGCAACCTTTGGATGAAGAAGAGCTTGAATTGTTTGTCAGCGATTGGTTTGAAGAGATACTATGCATGGAGCTTGATCCACCGGAAGACCTTTTATGGTGGTGTGTGGTATGCGAACGACAATACGCTCTGCCAGAAGATGTGGTTCACCATACTCGAGAACAACATGGCTTCCATTTACCTACACCACGCCCTGTGGGTCGTCCACCTATTGACATGTACGTTGTATCCACCCATAGCACACAAGTGTAAACAAGATGACAAGATCTTTCTTTTGCTTTCCATTTCATTTTGCGATCCCCTCCTCCTCCTCCTCCTCCTTGCTCGTGTACAACAATAGCTCATGCACAACAATAAAAACAGCTGATCAACTACTACTTTTCCTATACATTCAATATGCCCGTTATACTTGATCTTACATTTTAAGCACCCCGACCACGATGCATCCAGTGACATTACACATTCATTTCACTGGTTAAATTGAAGAGGAATGTATGTGTATGCGTGGAAGCGAATAGACCCATGTATGCTGCTCTTCTGTGTGATCATTTTTCTTTCAATGAGACGCATGCATATGCATATCTGAGATGCCAAGCATGCAAAAGTATATGGGCTTATCCCATCAATACATATTAGCGCATGCATCCCACATGGCGCAGCACTCTAGTTCCGGGATCAGGGAGAGAAAGTCATTTCAATGATCTCTATAATACACATGACGGGATAACGTGATCCCGTGTACTGGTGTGCGCGTGTGAGTGTGTTGCACATTATGCAAACACCCATCATCATAGTTTAGGCGCGCGCCCATTATCTCCTTTTCTCTTTGCACCACGTGATCCCCCTCTTTCATGAGATCATTTATGTTACTACTAATGACGTCTCCCACGGTAGAATAGAAGGGTGGTGGATCAGCAAATAAAAAGCACATAGGGTAAATGATGAACTAATGATGTAGATCGGGCTGTAATCAGGGACAAGTGCATTGTCACAGCTCATTAATGCAAACAACAACAACGCAGTGCGCGGCATCCCATCTCAGAATGCTTCACACTTTTTATGTACACCAATAACTTGGTATCACAATGTGTGTGAGTGTGTATGTGTCAAATGCTTCGCTCATCACACACACACACACACACACACACACCGGAGCTGTCATTCGGGCCGATCGAGATCATAAGGCATTTTATAATTTTTACCCTTTTCGTAACGTGCGTGCGCGCACTTTTTTTTTACATACGATGACCAGGGAACAATGCGAATCGGACAAACCGTCAAATTCAGCAATACAGTTTGGATCAAAATGCCCTGCATAGACATTTATCTTCACCACGCGCCCAAAACGCAGCCCCACCTCGAATCTTATGCTTTTATATAGTTAGTCTTGTGTGCACATATTCCATGCAGGGAACGACTCATTCATCCACTCTTTCATACACAATTCAGAAATCACACTTTTAATGTGACATCACACTAAGCGTCCGTGCATTGGTTGGTTAGAGTCTTTTAATTTTTGTTATTGCTAATGGCGCATAAAAGGAGAAGAATTCGCAATTTTTTGTTCGTCGTCGTCGTTAGAGGATGGTGGTCGAGATCATAAAGAGGAGAAAGAGCCAATACATAAAGAAAACATTTGAAGGGGTATATACGCTTGCGTAAAAGAATCAAAATCATAATAGCTGAGGGAGGAGGAGAAGAATGAGAGCGAGACAATAAGCATAGAGTAGTAGAATAGCAAAAGTTGTTGTAGTAGTAGGAGGTCGTTTAAAAGCGTGCATATGGAACAAATGCTGAAAGACGACGTTGATGATGTTCATCAAGCGGAGGAGAAGGTAACGTCGTCGTCATGGGATGGCAAGGAAAGGGTTGCTGATGATGATATGACGTTGGCCAGCAAGCATGGGGTGCAACCAAAGTGGGTGGTTGTTGTGTTGGTTGTGGATAAAACATGTGGTGCTGCGCATCTGTGGGTGATTGGGGAGGCGACGAAGGAATAGATGCCATATCGTCAACAGGTGATGTTGCTTGGTGTTGCTGTTGTTGTTGTTGTTTTGGCATTTCGAATGGCTTCCATTGTAAAGGTGTGCGTTTTGATAAAAGTACTGGATTGTGTGCCGTTTTCTGATGTCGGGTCAATACCGTTTTACGAGCAAAGCTTTTATGACAACCTTCATGACGGCACTTGTAAGGTCGGCGTCCAGTATGGATTCGTCTACATGCACATGATTTTCATTGTGTTATTGAACATTAACCATTTTACAAACACACACACACATCAACACACCCCCCCCCCCAAGAAAAGGGGTGATGTGATCGACACGATCCTTCCTTACCTGTGTCGAGCAAGCGAACTACTATCACTGAAACATTTACCACAACCTTCATGTTCGCAAACGTGTGGCTTCTCACCCGAATGCGTGCGCATGTGGACTTTGAGAGCGGATCGCTACATTAAAAGATATACATGTCAATATCATTGACTCTTGCTCCTCCTCCTCCTTCATCATCATCATGCCCTTGTCAACCCTTGTAATGATGCACTCTCACAAATACACCCACGCACACAATACTACCCCTTTCAACTCCCCCATATGCAAAACCCCCCTTCTTACCTGAATGAAGCTCTTGCCACATCCATCTTCGTGACACACATATGGTCTGTAAAAGGAAAGTTAAACAGGGTCTGCTGCTGCTGCTGCTGTAAAGACATAAGCTTGTCATTGTCTTACCGCTCATTGGTATGAATTCGTCGGTGTCGTGCAAGGTCAGAACGACGACCTGTCAAAATAATAAATAGCATTTAGCCTTGTGCCTACTTGTTGATTTTTTTTTCGTTTCATGAACCAATCACTCACCAAAGGCCTTGTTGCAATTTGGAGCCTCACAACGATGTTGCTTGTTGGCGTTTTGCTGGGACTCAACGTTGATCAATTCGAGAATATCCATAGCTAAATGATGAGTTTTTTTGTGGGCTGATAAAAGGTATCGTGTTAATGATTCCTATCGACTTTTTAGAAACCAAGGTCTCCTACCGTACCTTTTTTTCAATGCTTGGAACAACAAAGAGGAGCTTGATGTAACAATGAAGCTGATAATACAAGACAATAAATACAAAGAGACGAGAACACAAGTGATAAGGACGCGAAACAAACGCGCTGAAGGAAGGATTTGTCTTTTCGGGAAGTGCTTATTTATAAGATAAGGAATCAATGGGATGAATGGGATCAAAGAAAGAGAGAAAGAAAGGGAAAGGGAGGCTATATGGTAGTTTGGGGGGCTTTTGTATAAGGAGACTGCAGCAGCATATGGTAGTGGGGGGTGATTAAGAAAAAAGTGATCGGATAGAACGGAAGCTCTGCAGCTGCCATGATCTCGATGCGGCCGTGTCAAATGAAACAAGAGGATGCTTGCATACCTTGTTTGATAGATTGGGGGAGCGAGTGAGAGAGAGAGAAACAAGAGCCAAGAGATCCATATTCATACATGGACAAAGAGAGAGAAATGATCTCTCTTTTGAAAAAGCGGCAAATAATGGTACGTTCCAAAAATGGGTTGTGCACATACATGCGCATGTGCATTTCACTTAGCATACACACACACGCACACTCACACATACATTCACTGCTTATTACTCTTTCTTCGTCTTGTCGCCGCTTTGCATTGTATTTTGTGCATATGGCGACCGTGCAGTTTGGTATAGTGTCTCTCCCTCGTCATTATCATTCATTCATCCATACACGCTCACACTCTCCTTCCCCTTCTCCCAATCCCTTCTTTGCTCGAATGACTTTTTCATTGCTGCATCTTAATCATCTTCGTGCTTGCTTCAATAACTTTTTTTCTCGAATACACCAATCTCATTGTCTTTATGCACATGTGAATCAATTTGATAAAGAAACAAGTCGGTCGATCATGTGTGCCAAAATAGCTATTCCCGCAGACTGGTTCATTTCTTGAAGATCCCTGTATCCACCACCTACTTGCAGTTTCCATTTTGGTCCACGTCGTTGAAATGTGTGTGCGTGTGTATGTGAATGTGGGGAGAGAGAATAAAGAAATGGTATGGATCGGGGGAAAGGGGAGTATCAAATGGAGTAGAGACAAGCATGACAAGGAGCAACGCGTGCTTAGAATTGTGTTGCAGTAATAAAAGCATCATCAAAAAAAGTATGTATGTGTGTCATGTATGAGTAATAAAAGCTATCTAAAATACTGCACCAAAGCCGAATGTTTGTTTGATTGATCTCCAATAGTAGCCGGTCCAATTTCTTTCAGTCAATTCCTCCTCGCCGATCGGCACACCGGTTTGCTTCACATGTAGTTGAACACTATCGTTTCCTTGATCCAACGTCATGGTCACCGTCGAGAAATGACCTATAGGAGTAAGAGGGGAAAATCCACGTCAATGTCTCCCTTTGGCAAATACACTCCACATTTATGTATATCCATGATTTCTACCTTCGGGCCATGATTGCAAACGCCATGATTGAACAATCTTTTTATCAGGAACCTATCGTAGTAAAACGAACAACAAAGGGATCAATGCATTGTATTAGTCTTTTCATCCTTGCACTCTTTTGCCACCGTCAAACTTACAGCATCGAGGAGTTCACCCCTCACATTTCCATTGAAAAGCTCAAACTTGCTACCCTTCTCCTTGGAAATCTTGGCAGGACCGCGAGTCCAAGCACACACTCGTTGAGTATCCAACAAAGTCTCGTACAATTCATGGGCGGATGTTTGGAATTCAACCGTGTCTTCGAGAGTCGTCGTGTTGACCTTGCTGGATGATGATGATCCCTTTTCAGCGTTGGTTGAAGGTGCTGCTGTAGTAGTAGTGGTGGGCTGCGACTTGTTGATGGTTGTTTTTTCTTTGGCAACATGTTCAGCACCACGAGTAGGAGCAGCAGCGCCCATTTCATCTTTGGCAATATAAACGTCAGAGCCATGTTCTACAAGGTAGATCAAGATCGATCGACTATTAATGATACATAATGATGATCACTCACATTTCCCCTCCTCCTTCTTTGGTGCTTATTTGTAACCTATCCTCCTGAACTCCTTGCACTTACCCTTAATGAGATCCTTGGCAAATGCTTCAAATTTCTTGCAGATCAAAGGTGTCAGCTTTTTCTTGATTGTATCTCGCAAAGGCTGCTTTTCATTTGAGTCGGCATTCACTGAAATGTCAAACTACAAGGGGGAAATGCCAATATTGAATATCATATGTTTTCTCCCACATCCCTGTCCTTCTTAATAAACATACCACATAATCATCTGGATCAGTGTCATGGGCCACCTCTGGAATGAAGATCTTGCCATTGCCTGTTGTACCATCACTGGTCGTTCCTATGCAAGATACATTTATTTAATCTCTTGGTTCTTCCCTTCCATCCAACCATCCCCCCTTTCCCTGCATCGACAATCTCTCCATCCAATTCACACACACACACACATACCTTCCCAACTGAGCTTGATAGCTACATCATAAATAGTAATGATCTTGCCTTTGCGTTGGTTCAAGTCGACATCACCAGTGCACTCGTCAACATTGGTTATCTTGACCTTGCTGCCATCCTTTTCAGCTTCAAGTCCCACCAACTCCTTCTCAAAGTAGGATTGGGTCCAGTTCAAGCAGTTCTTGTTAACCCTACAATGGTCGGCTTGTCAATGAGCTTCCTTCGTTCAACCAAATGACAAATAAAGCTTGGAATTCATACCAGTGCCTACAATGTATTCAAAAGAGACGCGTCAATGTTGCCTTGGAATAAGGTGTTTAGTGGTGTTGGGCTTACCAATTGTTCACGTTCTTCCAGTTGGTGGACATTTTCCAGAGAGTTCGATGCGCGATCGCTAAAAGAGAGAGCCGCCGATTTCCTTTTCTTCTCCGTTGCTGGGTTGTCAATTGAGCGGAAAGAGAATAGAAGAGACGTCACCTAGTCACGCATTTTGCATTAATCAAATTAAAGCGCACGGCCGTAGTCATGCTAGTAGGCTCCATCATGCATGTTGAATGTCACTCACTCACACCACGGGGTATAATTATATCTCGTACATGATGGTCACGGTATGCTAGAGTCATCTGTGGCTATCTCGGCAGCAGATGACGACGATCCAATGAACGACGTTCATATGCTGCTTGTCAATCGTGGTGATAGTCGCACAAGAATCATCATGTACTCAATGTCGCAGCATCCGTTAACGAGGTATGCTGCGTAAGTTTGATATAAAAAGCAATTCAACCCCACATTTCCCTTTTCCTTATCTTTTATTCTTACCCATTACAGTGTTGATTTATTTTTATGAGGCCAGCACCCTCGCAACAACAACAAGCGATTGCTTGGTCGTACCCCGATTATACAAGTAACAACTTTCAACAACCTACCAATACCAGTAATCTCGATCATTCGATTCATCCACTTGATAACCTACCACCCACAACGCCAAGTCAAAACGACACCTTATCTTCAGCAACAACCTTCTCAAGTAGCAAAAATGAGCCATTCACTCCAACAGGGATACACAACTATCGACGTAATGCAGCTATTGGTGGTGTCATGACAACCACTCGACCCATGGATATTCCACCGTGGTCACCACCCTCACCATCAGCATCCAATCTGGCTAATAGTAGCGAACAGCAACAAGCCCGACAGCTGGTACGACCTGCCACGTGTCCTGATGCATTTCCATCATTGTCATCTTCCAATTTTACTGTCGGCAGTATACCCGAACCACCACCACCTTGGCCAGTTAACATGCAAGCTGTACAAACACCCATCGATGAAAAGATTATCTCCACTCCCCAAGGAGCTACCCCTGATGAAGATGAAATGCTTGTTTTTAGGATTGAAGATCTCAAAATGTAGTACTTTTTATCTTCACTCGCAGTATTAACGTAACACGTGCCATGGCACGGGTAACGTGGAAAACTAGTACATGTACGCTTTAGACCCCCCCCTATGATGCTTAGATACTACGTGTCAATAAAAGAAACATCCTTAATCTTGATCGTCTCCATGACGACGATCCATAGCAACACTACATACGATGACCACCATCATGTGTATAAATGGCTGTGACATGTGCACGTTCATTAAGGTTTATGTACACACAACTATCCTTGGCATAAACAGACAACCCAAATACGGTACGACAGGTGAAATCATGCAAATTTAGGTCGCTGTGACACAAAAGCTTTTCTTTGAGCACACAGCCAAGGCAACTTTTATTTCATGGTGCGCAAGTAGATTCCCCCTCACGAAGACTTCTTCCATTCATTATAGGCCTAGACTCAATTTGCAAACATCCATCCAGGATACAAAGACACTGACCACGTGGATACATAAATAGATTGCTCATTGTGTTCATTGTCGGTAACTCCCCAAGATGTATCTTTCACAAAGGTAAATTTATACGATGATTGTTCATTTTGAAAGAGGGGCACATTGAAATATGAAACAAAAATGGAAAGTAAAAAACAATGGACAAATGCGATATGTATTATTCTTTTGACTAATCCTTGTTGGCCCATGCGTGTGCCATAGCGAGGAATTTAAGATTGCGGCTTTGCACTTCATCATCAGGAAAGATGTAATCAAAGTACTCTTCCCAAATAATATTGTCTTCTGTAGAGTCTGCAGCCTTTCTTCTCTTCCGCACAACCTTGGGTAGCTTGTCTTCGACCACCTTTTGTGTTTCCTCGTTGCCATGCTCCTTTTCAAATTCCTTCCATGCTTCAAGCAGAATGACACGCTAAGCGTAGATGTATGTGTGAGTGAATCATTGTTGAATACCCATTTGCCCATCACAACTTACCTCTTCTTTGAGTTCTTTCTTTTTGAGATTGTCGTAGGCATCCTCATAAATCTTGCGTGCTCTGCGATTGCCTTCCTCGCTGTTGTTCTTGTAAGGTATTGAAAGTTCAAATTGCGCAAAGCTGATGTAGACTTTGACATGCTCGGTGCGCTCCAACAATCGTAGGTATAAGTCGCGTGTGTTCTCGTATTCTTCTTCCTCGATTTCGAAATCTGACGACAAAAAGAAAAAGTCAGCATGATTTCATCACAAAAGCATGAGTCCAATCTACCAATATAGGCTTTCCACAAGAGCTCTGGCATGTCAAGTGATGGTTGTGAGATGGCAAGTTCAAAGATGGCACGACAACGCTCCTGTTCTCCAAGAAGCTTTTCCAATTCGGCAAACTTGATCCAAGCAGAGCAATTGGCAGGATCGTATTCGAGGAATTTTGTATATAGCGTTCGACATCGATCAAATTCACGCAACTAGATGATGTACGTCAATATGCATATAGAGTGAGAGAGGAAATACGACGAGAATCAATTACCTGCATCTCCAATTCAATATAGCCCTTGAACAACCTATTCTTGGGACACATGCCAATGGCCTGACCAAGTAATTTGCGTGCTCCTTGAAGGTTGAGTTGTCGAATCTCAAATTGTGCTGCTAATAACCAGATCTTGGCGAACGTGAATCTTTTGTGTGGGATAAGCTTGAGACATTCGGTGTAGATCTCACGCGTACGCTCGGTATCCTATAATAATAACAACGGCGCCATCAATATCAAGCTTGATTCCCTTATCTGCATATGCTTTACCTCCGTTTCAAGTTCCTCGTATAATGCGTAATTGATCCACAAATAAATGTAACGTCTCCAGTATCGCTTTTCATCTGCTGGTGGTACTTGTGCAATTGCTCGCTCATAGACTTCTCTCACTCTGACAATCTCGCCTGCCGACTCCTCAAGTTTGGCGTAATCGAACCATACATCGTAATTCTTGGGGTTCGCTTCAATCTCTTCTTCATATTGTACTCGTCGTTTGCCCAATACCACATCCTCGATTCCCTCTCGATTGCCGTATTGCTTTTCAAAGTTGGTGTACTGGTTGTAAAGCGATTGCGATTTGGATTTGGGCAAACGATCCAAACCATACTTGAAGATGACTCGTGCACGCTCGTATTCCTTCAACTTGATTTCATACTTGGCAAATGCCACCAACACCTTTTGATCCAGCTTGTCATCACCCATGTATTGAATTGCTTCGGTGTAAATCTCGCGGCATTTATCTATCAATCATGCATAAGGTTAGATACCCCATCAACGTAATCAAAAAGTGTGGCGCGAGTACTTACCAATGTTGTTATGTTCCTCTTCAAACTTGGCCCACTTGATCCAGTTTTTGGGTTCAGGATGAATACTGACAAAGCGTTCATATAAAGCTTGTGCACGAGCCTCCTCATGATAACGCAATTCCATCTTGATATAAGCCATCCATGCATCCTCATCCGGCTCCCATTTCATCCAACGCTCAAAGACATTGCGTGCCTTGGGGACTTCACCAAGCATCTCCTCCATGTACGTGTACTTGTACCAAAACTGATTCATACGCGGTAACAATGTCGTAGCACGGTCGAGCAAGTTGCGTGCATGCATCACGTTACGGTTCTTCATTTCCATTTCCACATAACGCAACCAAATAGCACCGTTACGCCACTCCACGTCAAGAGCGCGTTCATAGACGGATCGTGCACGTTGAAACTCTTGTTGTGATTCCTCCCAAGACGCATATTTCAACCAATTGCTAACGTTGAGTCGGTTCTTTCGAATGTTGTCCTCAAACTCTTTGCGCTTGCGTTGTCGAAATTCAGAAAGCTCTTCGAGATCGCTGATCTTTTGCTTTGGAATCGAATGCGTCGGTTCAAGTCGGCGATCATGGGCTTCACGCAAGATCTGCTCGGCTGTAATCTGCACAGGTGCTGGGTTCTTGTTCTTGACCTATTGTATAATGAATACATTAGTAACACGCTTCCTACGACCAGATGCACACTAGGATTCAAGGATATTTGCCTTTGGAGGTCGTGGATTCTTGCCCGATTCCATGATGACGACGAGTGAAGAGTGGAGAAAGAGAACCGCTGGTGTTCAAGCCGATTAAGGTTGGACTGTCACCTATTGAGCTCCGCGTACCACACCACCACATCACCCCATTCGCATGGCAACGCTTGCTTGATCCATTATTCGATAGTGCATAGTTTTACAACGAGTAGCATATCCAAGTACATATCAACTAAATAAAACCAAATGTCAGCATCATCATCATCCTTGCTAAAAACGCCTTTGTAAAGGAATTCAACAATTTTTACTACTGCATCTCCATGCAAGCAACCCATGGTTGCTTTTAAATGTGCCACAAATTTCTGTTGCATTGGTTGCTTATAGATGATCGCTGCGTGAAATTGCACTGGATACAGTATCCATGACGACGACATCACGAGTGTCTTGGGCTATCCAATAGCAATGTCATCAACAACGTGTGTGGCGTATTCGGAAGATGGAGATGATCGACATAGACGCGTAAATGTACACATGCAAAAGAGCGCCCTCTCATTAAGAAACGACTGACGATATGGCGAGTTGGATCAAAATTCGCCACAAGCTATATACAAAAACTTGGATGCAACCTATACTTAATGCATCATCTCCTATCACCAGTCATCCTTCTTCCTTCCTCCTCTTTACGGCTATCGCAACTTTATACCATGCCCATACCCTTTATAAGGCCACCCTTTACTTCCTCCCATATTGATAAAGAGAGAAAAAAAGGAGACGCTACATGTAGAAAAAGGGGGGTTGTGATGATGGATCTCACAGTAAGAAACCATCCAGGGGTGTGATTTGAGAAATAGATGTGTACATGTACATTTTGTTACACATGTAAAGTAGGATTTAACCAAACAAACAATGATCGACATTGTTGATGGTGTACGTTTTCTAGATGCTGTCATCAATATCATCCTCAAGTTATCTTCTCTTTTGATTCTTTATTCGTTATTGGTGTACTAGGATTATAACGTTGTGGATGAACGGAAGAGAGAAAGAGAGAATCGATCGAGGATAGGGAGTGTGTGTGAAAAAAGAGGAAAGAAATGCGACGAGACTCACTAAGTACAATATGCTACACCTTCAAATGTATGAAGGTGGGGAGGAAAAGGTATAACATTGTGTTGTTGTTGTTGTATGTAAAGAGAGATTGAGAAAGGGGATAATTAGAAAAGCTGGTAAACAGCAGCCAAACCACCCAAAATGGCAACAGCAGCACCGGGATTAACTTGACCAGCGGCACCTTCTGCAGAGGCAGGCGATGAGGATGAACCAGAGTGAGAAGAGGAAGACGAAGCTGGAGTGGCACCTGAAGAGGAACCACTGGCAGCAGGGCTGCTACCACTGCTACCAGCAGGAGCAGCAGGTGATGAACCACTGGCACCCGAAGCAGCGGCACCAGAAGAAGAGAAACCACCACCAGAGCAACCTTCAAGAGTGAAGGGACCAGCAAAGGCAAGGTTGGGAGATTCACCAATCTCAAAGGCATCTTTTAAAAAGAGAATGAAATGTAAGCATTTGGTAATGAAAAAACATTGATAAAAACTTACAATCTTTGCCGTTTTCACAATCTTGAGGGATGTCCCATTCATAGCTACCAGTGGCAGCATTCACATTTTGAGCGATTTGGGCAACGGGTTGAAGAGCAGTGGATGGACCACGAGCAAGAGCAATCTTGGGAATGGTATCGACCTTGGGGTTGATCCAAGTAATGCGAGCCTTAGTGCCAGCCTTATAAACGGTACCAGTCAAGGGTGAAGTGATGGAAACAATGGCACCACCTCCACCACCACCGGCAGCAGGTTGAGCACCACCAGCAGCGGGTTGGGCTCCTTGAGCTGAAGCAAGTGCGACAAGGGCAGCAGAGATAATGGCAGTAGTGAATTTCATAATGTGTGAGTATTAAAAGTTAGAACAGAGGATGGAATGAAAAAGAAATGACACATGAGGGATGGTATTTATATACAAATCTATCGCATACCCCAAGGAGGAGAGAGCATCCACGAAAAATGGAACAAAAAGTAGCATCCAGGGGGTGGGGGATGGAAGGGGTAAACGACAAAGTTGGGATAGGATCATAGTGATTCCAGCCTATACTTTGATTGCGCATCATCTCCTTACCATGCTATACAGTAAAAGATGTTTATTCCTCCTTTCAATCTTTCTCGCTCTCGGAAACAAGAGTCTTTTCCCTCCTCTTTATCCCTTTCTTGATCCAGAATTTAACATCTCCTCCTGCTGTGTATGGGGTGAGGTATCTTTTTGACACGACTACCCAAGAAACAAACACAAATGTGCTTCCCTTTGCTGATTTGTTTGGGTGCTTTATTTGGCGGATTATCGACATGATAGATTGTTGGCAAGATGAATACAAGTGTAGTTGAAGCGTTTACAAGGTTGCACTTTTTTCTCGTTGATGAGGTAAAACTTGCTTTTAAGGAGATCTTGGTTGTTGAACGCGATGGATCATACGTCGGGCAGTAATCAGAATAGGAAAACACCATCCAAACTGGCCGTTGACATCTATACTCCCTTGTACTTTTTTTTCCTCCCTTCAATTGCTTTTTGCGCCTGTATCTCCTCATCCAAATCCTCCTTGGACGCCTTTTTCGTACATTACCGAATGCTTGCTGCTGCTGCCAATTAGGCACTATGGACAAGAAAACGTGCCAATACAAGACCACATGAACGAAAATTGACGACGCATCATCACGCATACTACATTGTGACCTACCTTGTTTCGATAAATTGCCTTTGATATTATTATTACTCTTCTGCAATGTATATGAAACAATACTAACATGTCGATTTCGGTGGAAGGATCCTGGCTCTCTCTCTCTCTCTCTCTCTCGCTTTTGCTTTCTCATTTAATGTTGATTCGTGCATGTGCATTACCCGCAGATGGATGTTTATAGATCATGAACGTGCTGCATCATCAATGATACATGACGATGGTGGTGAGATGCAAGTATAAGTGCGTGCGTGTGCATGTATGTAGTAGATTGGTTACAGGCATCATCAAGGGGTTGGCACCTAGTGGATCGAAGATTGGCGGGGTCTACTTTTTGATCACGTCTAAAACAACAGCAAGGAGATAAGATGTTGCAAGTAAGAAATGAGAGAAAATCGATACAGTAGATGGATGCAAGCGTGTGTGTGACAGTTGAGTGCCCCTGCTATGTTTTTGATGCTCCTAATACTCGTGGATCAGAGTACACGCATTGAGAAAGAAAAAAAGATATTGATTGCATATACGCTTCTGCAAAAGAAATGTCGTCTCGTAAAGGAGGTCTATGATCGTGCTTGATTTATCACTCAATCATCCTCCCCCACCCCTTTCCCCGCTTTCAACGAAAAAGAAGCTCCTGCTGCTTACCTGAATTACTTGTAGTAACCGGGTCAACACGATCATTTTGGGGAGCGCCGTCATTTACCGCCCTATTGTCATATCTAGACCCCCTTACTTGCATGATCACCATACACAAGATCCAGTAAGGTCACGTTAGAAGTATATACGCGGTAAAACGAAAAGAGAGTTGTCGGTATAATAATAACGTTCATTGATTGACAAGTTGCATTAGCCGATTTGTGTGTGTGTGCGTGCTATATGTAGAGGAGAGAACACACAACGCGACTAATTCAATTCACATGCAAGTTACACATGCTTTTCCTTAACCAACCCTCTCCTCTCTCATCGAAACCTAAAAATTGCATCCTACACCTGGTTTCGTGTTGTGCATTGATAAAAAAAGCTGGAGATCAAATGACCCTATGTATACATTGGGTCTAGCAAATGCAGTACTGTTACTACAGCAGCCGTATGTTTTGTCGCCTATACGCAGCAACATGCATTCCATTGCATGGCGTGTATGTATTGGTTCTGGGTTTCCATGTAGCGTGTAAAAATATGCAAATGTATTCATGCAGGAGACAATTGTCAGCGTGTAGAAATCGAATGGTCTTTCACATGCCGAGTGCTTGACGGCCATTCATTTTACGGGAGAAAAAACCGGTTACAGTGTATAGAGATCCTATAGTATCGTGACCGATCACCAGCCAAAATATAGCACAACGACACTTTTCATATGGTCACTTTTATTCATGGTAAAAGGATGGTTCTACAGTAGTAGTTGCCAAATCAAGGGCGGGATTGCAAATACAAATGCATGGATCATCATTTGTTTGTAGTGTCAACATGCAGGGTGTGCTTTTCTCATCGTGAAAGAAAACGTTTGTTGATGGTTGTTTGTGGCGTCTTCGTTGTGTGGAAGAGTGATGCTGCTGCTGCTGATCGTTGTTTGAATGATTATTCGGATTCGTCCGCTGATGATGATGTTGCAAGGTGAGTGTTGGTAGTAGTAGTAGAGCCTTCATAGCTGGAATTTCATGGTGCCCAAGTCTATGAGTTTTCATTGTGTATCAGGCCTTTATACTCAGATGGTGTACAAAGAGGGTGCCATTACCAAAAACATCGAACAAAGAGGCCGTTTTTGATAAAAGTGATGAAATGGCAGCAATGAGAGCATTCGCAACGTTCAAAGACCATGAATAGCCATATCATTCCCGTCATTAAAGACTCCAGTGGCGAAAAGCTTCCTCTTCATGTGTTTTTTGCCGGTTCTTTGGAAAAGGATTCATCACTCGTGATCTTGTTGCATGGTGCAGGTGGCGATCACTATCATTTCGGCTCGATTGTCCCAAGGCTGATCCACGCTGGCTATGCTGTTTTGACGCTCGATTTAAGAGGACATGGCGAATCTCAAGTAAAGGGTGATGATGATGATGATGATGATGATGATATGCATGTCAGCTTTGAATCCATGGCGAATGATTTGGATGTTGTGCTTCAATGGCTCAAGGACAAATTCGATGGTGCCACAAACTCTGTTCGGACGCGTGTATTTGTTGGAGGACTTTCAATGGGTGGTATGCTTGCACAAGTGTGTGCCCATCAGAAGAAAGCGAGATGGCTTCAATTGGGATACGATATTGAAGGTGTGATTGCCATTGCATGTCCATCAGTGAATATGATTTGGCCGCGTATTCCATGGATGGATGTCTATCGTGGTATATCTTCAATGGATCCAGATGCTATGAAAGCTGCAAGGGAAGCCATCATCTTATCAGCTGTTGAAGAAAATGGTCGCAAGGAAACCGCTCGTGCTATGGATCTCATCAACGACATCACGTTATTCCAATCCTTGCGTAGTTGTGCTGATGCCCTTCCTCGTCCTCCTCCTCCTCCTTGTGCTCCAAAGGATTCCATACCACCTCATTTTGACGCCAATCCACTCAAACTACCATTACTCCTTGTCACGGGCTCGCAAGATGAACATACGGTGAAGGTGATGCATGCTTGGCAACAATTGAACGAAGACCACAAGATTGGTAGCCGATTCAAAATGATTGATCATGCTGGACATATGGTACCTCTTGACGCAGGAACACACTTGGCTGATGCCATCCTCAAGTTTCTCGCTCAATAAACGTGGAAGTGTATTTTGGATGATGATAATAAAACAGGGGGGAATATACATTGATCCTAATCGCTCTTCACCTTGTTGTCTGATCGCGATAAAAGAATGGTTCCTGACAAGATCATACTCGCTCCAATCCACCATCCAAGTGCAAGAGGTTCATCGAATATCAAATATCCCAATAAAGCCTATATACCATAATTAGAAAGACAACATCCACAACATGTGCATGCATAGAGACTTACCGAGACGCTAAAGTTGACAGCACCGTTGACGGTAGTCGTTTGTACTGACGATGGTGCAGCGTTGAGTGCTTTGGTGAATAATGTCCACATGAGTGAGTTACATACAAAGATGAGCCCGAAGCAGACACCTCGTAATATCAAGAGCGAAACCTAGATCGATGAGTTGGTGATGGTGGTATGGTTGTCAATAGCATAGATCGCGTACATTGGTATCGATGGTCAAGGGAAGTGCATCGAGAAGTCCTTGGTTGGTAATAAAGTGTACAATAGCATCATGGTATTGTTCTGTGCGTTGGTCTGAAAAGAGTTTGGCAAATACAGAGGAAAGAGAGGCAAACACGCCTGAGAGAACAGCAAAGGGAATGAAAGACATGAATCGCGGCTTTTCAAGGTGTGTAACGCCATCATGTATTCCTCCTCATCAATGCCTTGAATGCCAGCCAGTGTATGTAGCGTACAACAATGTTGGATCCCCACCATACATATTGTCATTAGACGAACATGCTTTCATGTGTAAGATCAATGACATTTTCCTTACAACGCAATCAAGATCATGAATGTAGTATGCTTGTTGGCAATTTCATTAAGCAAAACGAAGATCCTCCTCCAGCACCTGAACATGGGATCGAAGATAGAGCAACATACAAATGCCAAAAATGAGCATGATTGAATTCTGAACAAAAGGACGCAGTATGCAAAAGCGTGGCTAAGGGATGATTGTGGGTTCATATTCTTCATCATTGGGTATTCATGGTCAAGAAAGATGAATGAACCAAGGTTTAATTATGAGAATGATGCTACTGAGTTCTATGTGCTTTTACGTATGAGAGCATAGGAATAAGGAGATCGGATGGCGTCCCGTGATGTACCCAGTATCGCTTGCATGCTGTCATCCTTCTCTTCGGGCCGATTTAAAATATCCGCGTGCCTCAATGGGGTTCTAGATCGAACGCATGCTCGTGTTGCTGTTGGTGGTGACAATGCCGGTGAGTCGTGTGGTACTACTATTGGGCGTTTGCCGTGTCTATCCCGATCCATCCTTCATTATTGTTGTCCTTTCTGGTTGCCAAGCAACGCATTTCCATGCCAACATGGTATCATAGAGCAACCCCGTCGTCATGGATGTAGTCAATAAAGGCTTGAAGAGTGGTCAATCAAAAGTGGATTTTGGGATGTGGAGGAATGACTGGGTGATGCTTCGTGACGTGCCACCAGAGATTTTGGGTACCAAAAACAAAAGCTGTCAAAAGACTCCACTTGCACTTGTCTTTTATTACACAACCCAAACACACAATGTCTTTCTTCGGTGGTGGTATGCAAGGTCAACAGACCGTCAATCCTCAAAACATTGCCATGGCAGAACAAGAACTTGACATGGTCACTGATTTGTTCAACCGGTAAGAGAGTGAGATTAGTGACCATCAATAGCAACAACAACACCCTGACACAAACGCGACGCCTTTCAGTATTGTCGATTCTTGCCATTCAAAGTGCATTTCCAAGGAATACAATGCCAACGACTTGACGCAAAGTGAAGCTGTGTGTATCGACCGTTGTGTTGCCAAGTTTTTCGATTCGTATCAAAAAGTGGGCGAAAAGATGCAGCAGATGGGTCAAGCCAACATGCCCAAATAAGAGCATTACGACAATATCCTAGCAATCCCAAACAACAACAGCCTTATGATATACGACCCACAACCCCCCCTTTTGTAAAGCGATCGATTGTAGAACTGTATTTAGAATACTCTCTTGCATCAAAAATCACCCACCAAAACAAGCAAATGTGAACGATGTGTTACGTTCGTCGTCAATCAAAATCTGTTGTGTGCCTCGAGATGATGCAGAATATATGGTTTCAGCGGCAAAGGCGCATCATAATGAGGGCTTGGGGCTGTCATTGTCATACGTAACCATGCGCCAAGTCGGTAGCAGGTGATCAACAACACAAATGCTGCTGATTCACATAGACGCTCTTCTCTCTCTTTCTTCTTCTGCCTTTGATGGTGTTGTGATGGAACAATAGGAGGATGGGATAATAGAGCGTAAGAGGAGGAGACTATTATTGGGATGATGATGATGATGGGACATGAGTGGATGATACATTTTTCTTGTGAGAGCACTTTACGGAATGTTTGGATGATGAGATGATGGCCATTTTTAAGCTCGGGCGTTTCCCGCTTGGTTCACAAAAGTGCAATAATAATGGAAATGCAATGCAATGCGGGTACCTTTTGTTTAAAACAAGCAAGTGAATAATGTGTACTTTGTTACTTATAGTCCACGCCTTCTCTCCATCTTTCATTCTTCTACTCTTTCTTCTCCCTAACTCTGACCTCGAATCATCAAGCTCGGGGACCCCTTTTCTTGCTGTGTCGTTTTTCTCCTGGCTCTTTTCGGTCACTATCCCATTCATCCCCGTATATAAAGAAACATCTACTCTCCCATTTGCTTTCTTCTTGATACACACACGCACACCTCGACTCCTACACTTTTGACAATGGCTACAGCCACAACGACAACTACAACGAGCCCCAACACCAACAGCAGCAGTACTACCAGTACTTGTTCAAAGACGCTCTCAGTGGATGTGTCAGACCTTATTCAAATCCTTCAAGTACAGCTACCTCAGCTTCATCACGAGACGATAATATATGCAAGTATTTCATTCAGTCATCTTCTCCCTGCTGCAATACGCTGCTCTTTTTCTCGCTGTCTCCTCCTCCTTGCTTAGCTCGACCTGCTCTTAAATTGGAGCTATTGCTCGAGCAACCGCATATATTTCTTTCTAAATATGTGGTTATCCCACCATGACGTATAAAAAAGGAGATGGAGACTACTCGAGCAATCATTGGAAAATATTACAAGTCGCTTATTGATTGCTCTTTTTCCTTAACCTTCCTTAGGAACACAGACAGCAAATGGAAGATACCAAGGAGCAATATCGTACGCTCTGCAAAGAAGCCGATCATTTACGAAAGGTATACATTTTGACCAATTTTCATCATTGCATCATGTAACTAATCCATCATCATGAACCTATGTAGAAGCTATTGGCGGTTGTGCAGGACAATAACACGTATCGAAAAGCGCAAGAGCGCATGGAATCTCAAATTTATGCACAAGAACAAGACCTTGTTCAGGCACAAAAGGATAACCAGCTTTTGAAAAAGCGTAACAAGGACTTGGAAAAACGACTAGAGAACGAGGTACAAGGGGGTGGTGTGTGTGATTGTAGATGCCGGTACAAGGGGATTGGAGCCGATCTATGTATTCACACGGTCTTTTTTCTTTATTGTCTATGTACCTAGCTGCAGAATTATGAAAGCGATCGATTGCTATGGCAACAACGTGAAGCGGATTTGACCAGCGAAATCAAACGCTATGCAACACAAGGTCGGCATAACAACGGCCATCCACGACGTGCTCGTAGTGCAACGGCATCCAACATTTGGTCACGATCCGAGCCATGTAAGTAACGATCATCATGCTTAAGATTTACATTCCAGGTTCTTGATGATTGACATTGTGTGTATATAGCGATCATGCGAGGTCCCAGCATAGGCATGAGCCCACTCATGGAAGAGCGTGCAACAACACCCACCATCGATGGTGTATCAGCACGAGATGCCAAGATACGGGTTCAAGATAAGCTGATTGCCGATTTCAAAGCTGAGCTTGAGCAACAAAAGATGGTACTTCACGAGGCCATGACAACAGCTGAGGCCCAAGCACAGCGTGTGGATGGGTTGGAACAAGAACTTGCCAGCTTACAACAAGTCAATGCCTCACTTATGGAAGATAATGAGAGCTATCAAATGCTTTTGCATGAAAAGACCATTGCTGGTGAATTCCCTGTCAAGGTAAATAACATGGATGATACCCCACAATGCATGATTTAATGCTTTGTGTTGATAGAAATCGGAACTATCCACTGCCACATCTTCTCTTGCAGCCGAGCTGAACAAAGTGCAACAGCAAGGCGGAGATGGAGGATGCACTTGCCAACATGCAGGCGCAGTCAAAAGTAAGTATTCACCAGCTTACGCACATGCATACGCATTATCGCCCACCAACCACGGCCCGTGCTCAACCTTTTGGTTAGAATTGTCAGAGGATAATCGCCTATTGCAAGAATCCAACAAGGCTTTATCATTGTACATGAATAAGATCCTTCGCAAAATTGTGGAGAACCAAGATTTGGTGGACGTCCTCAATATCGATGATGACGACGATGACGATGGACAACCCCAACAACAGCCAAAAGCTGTACGTGATACATCTACATCTACCACAAGCACAGCTGTGGAATCCACTACCACCACCACCACCACCACCAATACAGCAGCAGCTGAAACATGTAAAAAGACGATCCCACCAAAGAAGGATGATCAACAGCCACAGCAGCAATCCAATCATTCCAGTTTCCGTTTGTCAGGCTCACACTGGACAACACCTATCAAATGGGTGGCAAGTCGTGCAAGAGCTGAAAGTTTGTCAAAACTCATGTAATATACTCGTAAATAAATGACCCCTTCCCAACTGTTTTTCTTTGTACTCTTGGATGGCCCACTCCTATTTTTGTAATGATGATGACACCATCATCACCATAAGCGGTTCTTTGATATCATGAGCCATTCGGCATGATCCATGCCATAATGACTTGCTCAACCGCATTCAAAGACCAAAGGGAATTACGACATGCATGGCTGTGGAGCGGACAAGTACAATAATGTCATAACCAAAAAAGGCCAACAAGCAAGCATTGGTTACTAGATATGCAATTTCTATTTCTGGACTTGACCAATCACAATGCACAAGACCAAGCCCTTGTGTTGCCCGACACAAGTAAATATGGAATTACGCCTATCATTGTTCGCAACAGGCAAATGCATGAATCACACAACCCAAGTTTCCCTTCAATTCATTGCTTCATTGTTGAAACATGGCGATTAGGTACATTATCATGCAATGATGGCTTGATCATGGATCATTGTCGAAGGAATTATAAAAGTGGTTTAAAAAGTTCATTGTTTCAAATATGGCCGTGTGTTCCAAGCTGCTGGGAATATTCAAGAAGGAAGGCTCAAGATCGATGGTATTCGAAGAAGAAGAACAAGGTAATCAAAAACAAGAATTGAAGGATCTAAACGAGTAATGCCAAGGATGGTGGGGTTGGAGGGGGTGGTTTATTGAGTGGATATGGAAAAAACACAGGCGGGAGCGGATGTATAGGTTGTTGAATTAAGAGATCCAATTAGAAATCCATGGATCATTCTATTCCAGAGAGCACTCCTTTGAAATTTATAAAGTGATACTAAAAAGCGTATGCTTTAATCTGATGACAAAGACATCAATGATGATAAAAGAATATGATGGAGGGAGAAAGAGACAAAGAGAATGGGGGAGGGATGAGAGAAACATGACCTGTAGACGTTGCTAGAAGGAAACAGCACATGAACCATGTTGGTCTGAGTAAAGAGTTCCGAAAAGGGTGGGTGTGTCCTTTTGGCACAACTTCGTCAATGATCTTTCAGCTTCGCGAAACGTCCATATAAAAATATGCAACCTGATGCGAAACAGGCCACCAACAACACCACTTCTTCAATGTCCAATTCCATAAATTGCCCGGTCATCACAGCCACCAGCAGTAGTAGTAGTAGTTCTCATGGCGCCATGCGACAACCTCTTCGAAGACCACCACCTATACGGCATGATCCTCTTGCTCGCTCAACAACAGCTTCTACGCTCATGGAATCAGACCGCACATCCATTGAATTCACTCGCTGTTTATACCAAGCCAAGAATATCGTCAAAGAGCTTGAACGCTTCAGTGAATCCATCTGCCCTGCTCTCAAGGTCTCTCCATTCAACGGCTTTTCCGCGGCGTCATCGCTGGACGATCCTCGCCTCTGTTCAAAAGACTTTGTGGCCAAGGTCAACCGCTATCTTGATGACACATTCAATCGCTTCTCAAGGCTATGTAGAGTCCTATTGATGGTCCTGGAAAAGATGCAACGTTCACCAGACATACGAAGGGAACGAGTGGTATCATTTCGTACAGAGGTCATGGAGCAAATTCGAATAGCCGAGATAATACGTTTACGGATCATTTCATACATTCAGCAACGTGTCGACGAAAGCTCAAGAACAGCAGCAGCGTCATCATCATCTATGCCAACAGTACCAATCACAGAATCACCATCAGATCCACCACCAGCATCACCATCAACAGCTTCAACATGAAGGTTTCCAATATAACCAACAACCTCTTTATTGATCCCACAAGCCAACAAATTCTCCTATACATATTATCATCATCATCAACCAGCATCCCATCTGTCATCCTCTTTGATATCCTCTCTATAGCGATTATTATTATTTCCCTATTCCATCACCTCCCTTTCACACCTCTTTTTCTCTCCTCAACTCACTAGTCGGACAGATCTGTATCATATTGCCTTCTTTCTTTTTTGTTCCATCCATTCCCCCCCGCACAACCATCGCATTTGTATTCTTTTGTTTTCCATTTTTCTTTTCTTTTACCAATTAACACGCTGCTTTATTACTCCTTTTGCTCATCCCATCATCAAAGGTTTTATGTGTGTGTGGGCCATCAGTGTGTTTTAGTCCTTCTCAGTCACTCGTGTGTTTTTCGTCAACCCAGGTAGTCATGGCAACCCCAGCATCACCCGTGTTGCCAAGGACCCACCCATGCATACGCGTGCAATGCACAACAATATAGTCGGATTTGGCTAAGTGCACTCATCAATTGGCCACATTGCGTTTATGATACCATCATTGTCTCCTCCACCTTGACCCTTTTCCTCATTGCGTTTGAGATGAGGTGGGTCGCTAGGCAAGAAAACAAGACGAAAGAAACGCAAAGAACAAATCTTTCGGAGCTGAACTCCTTTTGGTAAGAGATGTGGTTGATTGATTGATCCACCGCCCCTCTTCCATAATTATTGATACACGCCTTTACTTAGACCCATGACTATGAATCATGACGCATGTACATGATTGCCCCAACCAGTGTGATCTTGTGGAATACTATCGGCACGTGCATGGTCCTCAATACAAGAAGCCACATCCCATCATCATGCACCACACCATCTTTGAGAGGTCCTTATTATCAAGAAGGAAGAAGAAGGCATCAAGAAGATTTTGCAAGAACGAGGTCTATGGCACGACAAGGATCCCTCACCCGAAAGACAAGGCAAGAAATGGAGACTCGATTGTGGTGCCGATATCCCCACTCTCACTTGCTGTGCTCGCCATTGTCTTGCCAGCCAAGAAGATTTCCGTTACCAGCGTTCTGGACACCATGAAACTTTATTGAATCACAGGCTTATGTTTGATTTATACTCAAAGTTTCATTGTGAGTGCAATTGGATCGAAAGATATTGGGCTGACGTCAAGCGTGAGGTGCGTGCCAATTGTGATTACACCTTCCTTTGGCCTTGGATAATGCATCGCCACCTACCGGAACACCCACGCAGATTCGCAAGAACTTCAAGAGATACACTGTTGCTTACAGCAAGGGGATGGATGATGCATCATGGGCGGCAAATGATGATAGCAGCAGTGGTGCAATACATACAACAAGTCCTGTTGAACGAGGCGGCGCTTCGACTGTTTAGGAACGATTCGTTGCAATGCCAGCGTTTCGGTACGCAACGTACCTTGGAGCAGGCGTACTCATTGATGGAGGACAGCGAGGAGTTTGGCTCTCAGCTTGTCGCGGAGTATGAATATGACTCTGATACAAGCAGCGAGTGATGATGAAGTTGAGAATCAATCCTTGCCGTTGGTGGAGCTGATACGAGTGATGATGTGGTTGAGTCCCGCCCTTATTGGTCTTCCTTATGGAATTGGTTTTCCTCCCCTTAATAACAAGATGTCTGCTGTTCACATATCGCTTCGTTGAGAAGATCTAAAGAAGATTATAGAGAAAAAAGTTGTTTTTTATTATATGAAGAAAATAAAGTGCGGTTTGGGTAGACCAACCACGTCTGAACGAGTTGAAGCGGAACCAACGAGGGTTGTGTTAGGAACGAGATACAACTATGTATTTTGATCGTGTTACCAGCTACAACTACAACATGTCTTATATACGTTTTTATGACACTTGTGTGATGATGCTATATGGATGTGGGGTAAAGATGAGGGTGATGGATAGGCTATGTGTGTGAATGTTGGTAGTGACATCCTCCTTGTGTATTGGCGTGGTCGTTGTGGTATACACCTTCACTTGCTATTTTGTATTTGGTGATGGTCTATGCGTCGTTATTGCAATATGCGTAATAGAATGGCATTGTTGTAACATTGGTGGTGGCGATGAGAGGCATGGATAAGGAAGCTATTCGACACGGCATATTTTATCCTTGTGATCCCTCTTTTACTCATAAAGGTAAAGAGACCTGTCTTTGAGTTGCTTTTGTCAATGGACCATGTTGCGAGTTGATATACATAATGGCGACTAAGAATCACGTGATTGAAAACGGATGGTGCACTTGAGCTGGGATTTGAGATGTGATCATCAAGAGAACCAGGACTGTGGAAGTGTGTGTGTGTGTGTATTCATTAGCATTTGTTCCGCACGGGCCTGTAGTACACTAAACATACTTTTGCCCTTTTCTTTTCAACATGGCATCCATCAGAGTCCCTCCTGGAATTCGACTGTTTGACAAGATTGCTGATTTCCGTGCATGGCGTCGTCAAATCTTATTGAATGGGCAGTCGTTGGGCTATGTCCCTACTATGGGGGCACTTCACCAAGGTCACCTTGCACTCGGTAAGTACCTCCTTTAAAACAGAGCAACTCGGGTCCCACTCGCTGTTGGGCGTGCAAGGATAGGATAACTCATCCATATGATATGTATAGTTACTGCTGCCAAGCAACAATGTGATCAAGTAGCCCTTACAATCTTTGTCAACCCTGCTCAATTTGCACCCACTGAAGACCTATCATCCTATCCACGTACGTTGCAAAGCGATTTGGACAAGCTGGCTATCACGGCTCCTCAAGCAGCTGTATTGGTTCCTCAAGTAGCAGAAATGTATCCTGGTGGTATCGAGTTGGATGTCAACAAACAAAAGGGTGCATTTGTCGAAGTCAAAGGCTTATCACATCAACTTGAAGGCATCACTCGTCCTCACTTTTTCCGTGGTGTTGCTACCGTTGTGACCAAGTTCCTCAATATTGTTCAACCTGATCATGTTTATTTTGGACAAAAGGATGGTAAGTACTTATTTTCATGACCCTTCTCGCTTTTACTTATATAATGTTGTCAGTTCAACAATGCATGGTGCTTCGTCGCATGATCCGTGACCTCCACTTTGGTATCAAGATGAACGTGTGTCCTACTGTGCGTGAGCAAGATGGTTTGGCCATGTCTTCAAGAAACGTTTACCTATCACCTTCTCAACGACAACATGCCCTTGTCTTGTACCGCGCATTGATGCTCATGCAAAACATGTATAACAATACCACCAAGCACGCACCCACAATTGTAGCAGCAGCAACCGATTACATCAACAAGGCGGCACAACAAGTTGCTGATAGCGGCGAAGATTGGGAAATGAAACTCGATTACATTAGCATCAATGCTCCTGACGACTTGAGCGAAATCACTGGTGATATCAATAATGGCTGCATCATTAGTGGCGCTGTTTTTGTCGGCAAGACTCGACTCATTGACAACCTCATCATTGACGTAGACTTTTAAAAAGCATCCCCCCAAAAATACTCATTCATCTTTCTGTCATATTTACCACCATCCATAGTCATATCAACTCTTGAACACAATCATTAAAGCGAACATTTTTTTGGTCATTTTTCTTTTACAGATAATAGCAGAAGGAACACATCCATAATGAAAAGAGGTATTGGAATAAAAAAAAAGAGGTGATCGAAAGGGGAGGGGCGCATGAGGGAAGAAGAAGGATAGGGTTATGTGTGTGTGTGTACGTAGTGAGCTTTTTTTCCATGTCAGTGTGCTGAATAATAATACCAAGCTTTAACCGCGAATAAAGATGCCTCGTTCAAACATGCCACCAAACCGGCTTGTACGAGTAGACTTGTCAGCACGATCAAGGCCAATGTAATCCTCTACCCCAAGCATACCAGGCTTCAGCAAGCAACAATCATCTAATCAAACGATCATGTTAACGTTGAGTTGATGCGTACATACGTATCGTGTAGGTTGTTGTATAGTACCTTGTTCAATAGGAACAGCTTCAGGGTCTATCGTGGGGTTGCTGGTCTTGACAATTGTACACTTGACTTTTTGCCATTGCTTATCGCCGACTCCCAACCGCTGCTGTAATCGCTTCTTGGTATCGCTAAATGATTCATCCTATTCAATGCCTTTGTCAATACACATGGATCCAAATGATGCTTGTTTGCATGTGAGTATACCTTTTTGACCACAAATAAAAAGGGGACACCATGAAACCTTGTTGGCTCTTTATGATAGTTGACGACTTGGACAAGACGATCGACCTCGATATTCATCTCCAGTTCTTCCTGGGGTATTTGCTCAACATATAATACAGAGCCCATCTTTTCTCCTGGGTTGCCAATGGGTTGGTCACGTGAGAAAATAGTGGTGATCTTGCCATCCACAGCTTCGTATACACGCACATGCTCTGAATCTTTGCTGTCAAGTTTGCCTTTGCTACAAAGTGCCTTGATGATATCTTCAGCCACACCCGCTCGTGGAACGAATACGCTCACTGCCACCTCGTCTCGTAATGAAGGATACAGCACATTGACTTCGATAGACTTTTTCGATTCAAGATCGGCTAAATTCACATCGAGAATGTCGTAATAAATGACGGGTTGTGGAATTGATTCCAGGCTGATAGCATGTGCATACTCGGCTGCTGTTGGTATAGAAGATGCCATATTCTCGAGAGCCATCCGTGGCGTGTAAGGAAGTGGGTCTTTGGGTTGCTTGGTGATAGGATTGGCTGTGATGAATAATATCTTGAGGGGATCAGCACCAAGCGCTTTTCCCAATTCTCGTGCAACACCGTTGTAGTTTGTACGTCGATCCAATGTCAATGACACCTCTTGGCTTCCTTCCTTCTCGGGTGACTTTGGTTGGAATTTCACGATAACGCGGTTGTACACTGCTGAAAAGTATTCTCGCACAGTCGCATATTGTCCTCGTGCATGTAAATCCTTCCACCTATCATCCATCAAGGAACAACGTTAAAGCCTTGGTTGCAAAAACCCATATCACCAATACTTACTCCATATCCGTAGGTGCCAGTTGGAAGCATACGATATCGCCATGCTGAATCTCTGCTTGCGTAAATGTCTCCTTCACATTCATATGATCCAGCATTGTTGGTTTTACTTCCTGTAATGTACATGTCATACACAATTAGATCACATTCGCCTATACATGATATTAACCTACCTCATATAATACCAAGTTTGCATCTTTGGGGAGATCAGCACGTTCTCGGAGCTTGGGAATAATATCGCCAACTTTATCACCTCCTCGCACATACATTCGTCCTTTCCCGCTACATCAACAATGTCAGCAAAAGAATGATGGTGATAGAAATCTTGTTGCTTACATGATCTTTTGCTGATGAATATCAAAGTACTTGAGGAAGAACATGATGCTGTCGTTCTTTAGATTCACGAGCTTATTAGTGTTGCTATCAGCAATCTCCAGGTAGAGCTTGGCAAAGCCGGCTGCATGAGAAGCGACACATGAAAGATTGCGTAATCTCTCGACAGCTAAATACAAATACAAAGAGAGAGTGTGTCAATCACCATTGTTTGATCGCATCCTACACCACTTACATGACTTTTCATCGGCTGGGGTCACTGGTTGATCGACGCGCACGGTTTTGTTGGTGCGATGCACGATGGTCCATAATCGAAACTTCTCATTCTGCAGGCGGTAATGGTCGATGATGGCTTGTTTTAGATTGGAGACCTTATCATTCTTGGCGACTTTGAAGATAGACACGCCTGGGGTGGTTTCAAGATTCTTGTCATCGAAAACTGCAAGGTCGAATTCTTGACGATTTGCAAAAGATGAATCAGTGATCACCTATTGTACATAATCATATTATAATGATGATCTCATTTTATCCTCCAATGCATGATGTACTTACAGCCACCTTTACATGAAGATGCATCTCTTCCCGATCCTTTCGTCTCCTTTCCAAAATAGCCCGTTCTTCACTGACACGCCTTTCTACAATAAAAAATTTGATAAGTAAAACGAAGTCAAGATGCCATAGCTGGATATATATATACGCACTGAGATGAAGCGGGATATCGTCATCCACCACAGGACCAAGCACGTTGTCAAGTTGGCTCTTTCTGATGTACACGAGCATATAGGCATTGGTAAATCGCTTCATGAGCCGAGCACTATTGTTACGCATCCCATTGAGGAAAGGAGGACTACCATTTGTGCCGACTGGATCATCACCAAAGTTCTCTTCAAAGACTTCTTTCTTGGTAACAGGTGTGACGCGATCATCATCAAAGCGATACCTAGCAATGGTTGATCATGCTTAGTTAAAGAACCCACTTCATCACATGTCCATGTTTGTATTTACCATTTACCATCCTTATCCGGTTTGATAAGTGCAAAGTAATGGCCCCCATGTAAATCACCGCTATGCACCAAGACACTAAAGATAAAAAGATATGAGGATCTTTGTCTATATGAATGCATGCCTGATACTTACCCATGAAGAACGTAATCATTTGGATCACGCTCAGATCCCTCATTCAATGCATCTTCCGAGCAATAGGCATCAAGATTGATCTCCTCAGGAAATTCATGGCGGTCGTTGATCTATACAGGTAAAAGATCGTCGTATGAACGTCAACGTATGCTTCCATCATTTACTAAAAGACACTCACCTTAACCATTGTATCCCTCATGAAATCATATTCAAACCGCTTCAATTGGAGATGTAGCACGGGAGGGAAGCTGTCAAATATGACACCCTTCTTTGCATCTTGTAAACCGTGACCTTCAGCCATGTACTTGTTTTCTCCTTCGAGAGTTTCGACCATGATGTAATCATCGAATGATGCATGTAAGTCTTTGCACCCCTTGACGTTCAGCTGGATATCTATTATTATACACTAGTGGGTCTCAATGCGTCTCAAATTCCATACACACAAACCTACCATAATAATCCTCCACACGAGATGATTCATAATCCACATTGATGCATTTGATATAACTCTTCATCTTGCCCACGAAAAGCTTTGAGATGGCACCATCAGCCGGTGTACCCTGCATAGAAAATGAGCAAAAAATGTCATAAAGTAGGTGGGGGAGGGGACATGCTTGCCTTCATCTTTTCTTCCAAGCGATCTTGCAACACGCGATTGAATTCTTGCACGTCATGTTGTCGAAAAGCCTCAAGTGAGTCCCAACCAAATGATTTTGTCAATTCAGTTGTTCCTGAAATTGAATCCAACGAGTCAAAACAAACATGAATCACAAAAAGAAAGGGGATTGCCATAGTAGCTTACCGATGGGTAAATCCGAATATTGAAGATTATAAAAGCAACGTTGTAAAGCCAAAGATACACTTTCAGTGGGTTTGTCACTATCCGTAGGGATCTGGTAGACTGCCTTTCGGAAGCTGTTTGTGCAGTAGAGTGATTGCAAGAGCGAGTTCATGTAGCAGGTAGCACCTTGATTCTTGATGCCGACATAGCCGGTTTCCTTGCGTGAGTCGTAACTAAATAACACTCCGCGGTTAATGCAGATCGCTCCAAAAAGTCCAAGATCCGCTCACACACACGCACACTTACTTTGCAAATGTGTGCCACAAGACACCTGTTTCATCCTTGACAACACGAACGAATACTGAAATCATCACTGAATTGTTGACGAGGAAGGGTCCTTTGCCTGTAGTGGCATTGTTACGCGCCATGGCTTTGAGCTCATAAAAGCGGGTGAAGCCCCAATCAATTTCATCCGCTGAGAATCGATGGGTGGCATCTGTATAAAAGTAAAAGCGTTAATCATTTACACACACACACATGTACACCCTTATGATGGAATAGCTTACGATTGGCGTAAAAGTTGGTTGGATCATCTGGATTGGATAACACCAAAGAGAATTGTGCGCAGACATGCCAATCATCTGGAAGACCATGGGATGCAGGATCAGCTACCTCCAAGTAAATGGATACGGATTCTCGCTGATTGTTGCCTCTTGGAAATAGTAGAATGCGCCTAAAACACAAGAGAACATTAGATCCAAACTCTATTTTAATCCATCCGCACGCGCGTGCGCGCACGCATAAAACGATCCACCACTTACCAAGGGAATCCGCCCACTGTAAATTCTGGTCCATGACACCTAGGTTCCAATGCACGCCAATCTTCAATATGCCAATGGAAGACCTTGATCTCTTCTGTTTCCAAATCGCTTATTTCAGGTAACAAATGATTGATAGTGTTGTTGCCTAATGGGAAAAAGAAAGCAAGGAGATGAATGAGACCATCAGCAAGCAACCAAAGCACGAAGTACTTACTATCCATGATATTAAACTTGGCATCCCGTGTCTTGACACTCTCGCTATCTGATACAGACGTTGGACGAGTTGTATTATCATTGGGCTGCTGTACAGGTGGTGGTGGTGCATTGCCCTGTGTTTCACCATTGGTCTTCCTACTCCCATTGTCAGGCCCCATCTCGGATGCATCGCTCGCATTAGACCCTGTTGTGTCGTTGGGTGACGGTGCTGTGCTAGGAGGCGAAGGAGTCGCTCGAGTCTCATGCACGGTCATGTCAGACAAGTCTGCTGCTGAAGGGGGATTGTTGTTGGTGGAGAGGGTGAGCGAATCGGAAGTTGCCGCAGGACGAAAGGGATTGCGTTTGGGAAACAAGTTGTTGAAGAACGTTTTGAATAATACTTTGAGGGGGAAACGATAAACAAGGTGTAAAGTCGAAAGCGGACACTGCCAAATAGAAGTTGTTGTTGATGATGTGTGAGAATAAAATAAGAGAGGAAGAGGGAAAAGAGAGAGTAAGAAGATAATGGAAAAGAGGGAAAGCGCCCTCCATCTCTCTCTTACCTTGATACAATGCAACCGGACATCGAATGAGATTGCCCACACACACACACACAGAAAAAGTGAACACGCAAGCCCATCTCACCACTATTCAATACCTCTTTTTTCCCTTCTTTATCTTTTCCTTTCTTCCTCATTATACCTCTTATCTAGATATCTTTAATGCATCAGTCATAATATCATGCAGGGTAAGAAAAAAGGATCGCTCAACTGTATACCAAAATACCACCCATAGAAAACGCTGTCGGTGTCGCTGGCATTAAACTGTCCGTGTTGCATAACTTGAGGCTCATACATACCATTGGACTCGGAAAAGAATCCGCTTAGTATAGTTGACCAAGGATGGGGTTGATTGCTTAGCCTACTATGGCCATTCCAAAGAAAATACATAAACGTATACTTGACGCATGTACGCAGTTCTTTATATCACACGTCATAGCATAGCAATACATGTAAGAGAAAGGAATGTTGCATAATAATCGCTGTTGTTGCTCAGGAATGAATGCCACGTCGACCTTTTCAATTTCTACTTCCCCAAACAAGTGACAAGGTTATGCATGAAATGACAGCAGTCATACTTTATTGCTGCACAAGTAAATAATGAAAGAGGGTGATTAACTTGCTAATTGGATGGTTGCCTCGTTGGGTATCAGGTATAGTTTGCTCCCTTTGGTCAAATCATCAATGGTCAATAATACCAATCTTCACCCCCTTGATTACACTTTCATCCTATACCCAATCCAGCAGCCCTATTACATAATCATACCCTGTCCCCCCATACATGTTACTACTACTATGTCGTGATCCAATGACAACCATCCATGTTGCTGGTCGTCCCAATAATAAAGTATCATGATGTTGTAAAGTACGACCCAAAGAGGAACAAAGTCATGGGGATGACAAGAAAAGGAGCGTACGTACAAAGAAACCACTACCAGGATGGGTTTAAGTTGACCCATGTAGAGGGGTAGTTGCCAAGAATAATATTGGGCATGGTGGTGCTTGTGTAGTATGTATGTAGGCTTGTCAGCATCCAGCTGCTTGAGACATGCATACAAGGTGTTGTCATTGTGCGTGAGTGTGTGTGTGTGCAAAAGAGACAAGACAAGATGTGAGGCCGTGTTACAGCATTGAGCAGATGATGTGTAACCTGGGTACCTATTATACATGCTTGTTGCCCACGGACGACTACGAGATACATCAACTGACTTGTGCAGTGTGCTGAGCAGAAAAAAGGTCCTCTTTGGCAAATCATGTTCACACCGGGTTTAAAAACATGAGTTGGCTGATACGAGCCATGACTATGTGCATCAATAAAACCAGGCTTACGATTGTCAGGATGGTGTCTTTTGGTAGCAGGTATACATAAAGAATATCCTTTATGAATAAATGACAAGTCATATGCCGTATTGCTCATCGCCATCCTACGCCTTCGGTTGCCAAGACAACCCGATTGCGTTTCCTGGATACTTAGCGAATGTCAAGGAAACAAGTAATAGCAATTTGGATGAGGACTATGTATCTCGCCAATTAGTAAAATGATGTAATTTTGGGATCATGTGATTCTTGTTGTGCTGGAGGTCCCATTTCCCCACTTTATTATCATACTGAACTGGGTTAAAGCAATCTATACGAATGCTCACTCGAAAATGAGTGTGAAAAACCACACAACGCTATATACAAAGTCCGAGTTCAAGCGAGGAGTAGTAGATCTGGTAAGATTGTGCGCAAGTATGCAGGAAATTTGGCTCATCATTGAGTGCATATGAATTTTGGATTTCGGGAAAGAATGTACCCACGATGATGATAAGATACGCCAAAGCCACGATGATGCATCGTGTGTGGCACAACCATCATCTTCATCATTGATGCAAGGGGGGAGGGAGATTGGAGAAAAAGGGGGCAAGTAATCGATACATCATGTGCAAGAAATACTGGGGCAGTCAGGGTGCTGCTGTTGTTGCCATTAATGAATGCCTCGTTCATTGGGAGTAGTATGCCGCACGGGACTTTGTCTCTTTTGCCATTAGTAGGAAAAAAGAAAGCACATTGAAAAATGGACGAGCATCAACATAGAAAGGCCGTGTGATGTGTGTGTGGTTGCAACATCATCATCATAGTGCATTCATTTGCTGTTGTTGCCGTTGCTGTCATAAAGTGCCAATAGCACTCCCTCATTGGAAGGCCTTAATCACTTGAGATTGTATGGCGGTTTAGAAAAAACGGGAGGATGCAAATTGGGGGAAAAGAGAGGGGGTGTGCGTTGGAAAATGCTCATTCAGGGGAGACATTTACGACAATGAGGTTATTTTGCCCTTGGTGAGAAACCGCTCAGTCGGTGCATATCTTTTCGTTGTACGATGGGTATAAAGCATTGTATCTTGTCCCACTTGGTCATTTTTTCTTCCCTCATCCAATATAGCGTTCTTGTAACAATACATTATCATCTTTATCAAAACCAAAAAAGAAAAAGAAACGGCCACCATCACCACCACGCACTACAGCAACATCATATTGTACTTTTAGTTTACGATGGCCTTGTCGACTATGTCTCCTTCATCATCATCCACCAGCCAAACACGTTTGCGATCCGTATGGTCAAAATGGTCGACAGCACGCGAAAAGCGCAAGATGCTTATGCTTCCTACCGTTATGGCCGCTGCTACGGAAAAAGTGGTGATGCATCGTCGATCGTCTCCATCACAACATCAGTCTCAGCAGATTAAATCCGAGGATCTCACTTGCAGCCAATTTGCACATATGGCTGGTATCCGCATCCTACGCGAGAATGATGACGAAGACGACAACGACGACGTAGAATCGGATGATGACGACGATGATGATGAATGTGCTGCATTGACACATGGCTATGGTGATCAACGTGTGATGGCAACATCATCAGTGCACATGGGCCGTAGTTTTTCGGATCGTGGTGGTTCAAGAAGATCACAACCACAAATTTGGGATCCAGCATTTTGGCAGCATCAAATTCAACAACAACAACACGATGAAAAAATGCACCAACCTCAACCTGGTGCTGTGATGATGACACCTCTTCATTCATACGCATCCACATCATCCACCGCTTCATCGTATTCAAATCCTTCTTCTACTTGCTCCAGCCCACCCAGCCTCATGCGATCGGGCCCAAGCGTTATTCGCAAGGGTCGTTTCAAGATTGTGGTTGGCCAAGATGAAGAACAACAAAATGATGCCAATGCTGCTGAACCAAAGTATGTTGAATGGCGTCGCAAGCGTGCTTGCACCACTTGAATCAGTAAAACAACATCTTGACGTTCCTTTCGTTACCTTCTGGTGAAACAAACAAACAATGACATGCATCTGTATATATAAAGCAAAATTATCCAAATTCCCTCGTTCTATCGCCAGAGGCGCTACGACCCCCCTATGGACAATCAACCAACCAACCAACCTGCCATTCAATTTCCTGCATGCACACGGCTACTCTTTTCTCTTTGATGTATACCCCATCTTTATGATCTACCTTGCTAATTTATATGCTCATGGCGTTGTACGCCTTTTCTCGATATGGATTCGCACACACTTTATATTGTAATCAGCTCTTTCCCAACTCACAAACATCCATCGGTGGATCTTTTCCCTTTCTCTCTCTTTCTCTACGCCCACATGACGGGATTTCTTTTTTCCTTTTTTTTATAATTATTTTGTATATACACATTGATCTGCACATAAAGATAAGATAAATGGGAATCTATTTGTTTTTGATGATCTCGACATTCTATAAACATGTGAGCATTAGCATATGGCTGTGTGACATGACAATGTTTTGATCGACAAGTTACCTTTGCTCCCATCAATTCCTTGACAGCCTTCATCTTGGCATGTTTGTTTCCAAGTCCAGGGTTCTGCTTGTGAATCAACTTCATCTCGCGTTCCTTCAATGCTCGCTCCTTTCGCTTTTGTTGTTTCTTCTTTGCATGTGTGCGTTTACGTTCCTCTTGTGTCATCTCTTCCTTGCTCTTGACTTCACCACGCTTCTTATCATAGACTTCCTCAGGTGCCAATAGCGTTGCATCCGACATATTCACTGGCATAGCTTCTTCCATACTGATTGCAGGTGCATCACTGACAATGTTCACATCGGCCTTGGGCTATATAACAAAAGGTCAATACTCTGTCATTCCTTCATCCTTCCTTATCCCTCCTACCTGTTTGGGTGTAAAGTGGAAATTGCTGAGAGAATCAAGTTTGCCGCACAATTCATTGAACAGATCTGTGATAGCTTGATGTTCTTGTTCTAATGCCGCATCCTTTTCATTCGTCGTGTCACCGGTCTTTTGCTTCATGTAATCCTCTTCATAGAGCTCAGCCAAGGACTTTTTAGATCTCTCATCACTGATATCAATCTTCTTGGATGGTAAGAATGGTCGCTCTTGTGGATCTTGTTTGCGTTCAACGTCGTCAAATTGATTCTATAGGGTAAAAATGTGAGCCATTGTAAAAAGGCATCATGTAATATCATCCTACTCACATCCAAAATACGCTTCTTGATGATCTCCTCCAATGCACTTGTAACTTCTTGGGTGATGACAGGAACAGGCTATGAAACAATCAAAGGGGGTAAGAAATCAATACAACACAAATGCAATACCAAGCGCAACATACCTTTACTGATTGCTCAAACTCGAGATCTTCTTCCAAAAGACTGTTGACGGGTCGTGCTTTTGCATCGGTTTCACCCTTCAATGTCCAATGCTTATCTTGAATATTCTCTTGTTCAAACTGCTCGATTTGTTCCTGAATGCGTTCTAATCGTTTTTCATGTGCTGATGTTGTGTTATCCTCTTCCTCCTCTTCATCATCGTCGAAAAGGCTGCGAGTCTTTGGTTCTTGCTCTTCATCGTCTTCTTCATCATCCTCGTCCATAACATCAGCTTCATCCTCGTCATTGCTTGGTTCTTCATCAGCAAACTGGACCTTTTTCTTTTCAGGCTTGGCACCACCTCGTCGCTTTGCAGGGGCAAGGAAAAAGTCTTTGAATGTCATTTCTATTGAAAATCAAAGTGAGTTACAATGCATATAATTCCTATCCGAGGCTTTTGAGATTGCTTACCTGATGCGTCAACAAGAGCATCCTCATCCTCGTCCTCATCATCCACGTCTTCAAGATCTTCGTCGTAATCAATGTCGTCTTCATCCTCTTCACGATCTGACATCATATCCAACTCTTCTTGATCCTCGGTCCACTTGTTGAATTTCTCGAGATTGAAAAAGTCATCATCCACCTCGGATCGTTTTGTAGAACTAAACCCATCCCAATACAATGTTAATGCCTTGCATGATTATACAAATCCGATATTGACACTCACCTTGGCTCTTCTTCTTCTTCGATATCCTCTTCCTCTTCCTCTTCAACTTGTTCTTCAACATCCTCGTCATCTTCATCCTCGTCAAATTGCTGTAAAGCTTCATCGTCGTCGTCGTCGTCATTCTCAAGCATCTCGCCATATTCTTCCTCATCGTCTTCTTCTTGGACATCATCAACATCATCGTGCTCAAGTTCCATCGATTGTCCAGATATGCTGGCATCATCATCCTCGTGTTCGTCGTATTCGATTTCAGATCGTTTCCGTTTCCTTGAATACTCCTTCACGGTGGATTTGGCATAGTGCAAAAAAGGCTCGTTTTGGCTAGCAATCTCTTCCCAAATCTGCTCGGTCTCGAATCCCTCGGTCAACAACTCTGGAAAAGGCGAGAATTCCATAGTCTCGTGCTGCTTGGCTATACATGGCTATCGTCAATCAACGCTTGATCGTCAAGATCGATCGCAATCCAACTTGCCTGTATCGTAGAAATGCTTTGCCATGGCCAATGCCTGGTTGACGATCTTGGTATCGGCAGCAAAAAAGACTTGCGGCTTGTCAACGACGTTGTTGATAAACCGATTCACTGGATTGGTTCGTTTCTTGGTGGCGACCATGGGCGTTATTGAAAGAAGCAACTTGAAAGAAAATCTGTCAAAGCCGCAATCCCCCCTTTATTGAGTTGAGCGGGAGTGAACTTCATCACGTGACCCTGATCCACCAGTAGAGCTGTGGGCTATTCATAGTCATGTCTTTCTACCCTACTTTCATTGTCGTCGTTGTCATTGTGAATGAGGTGAAACTTAATACATTGTTTGATGCACCATATGTTCGCTTAGATCTTTTGCTTCCTCCACCATAAATCATATACGTATCGAGTGCAGCACTACTATCCTTGCTATTGATGCAATGATAGATATACCTACAACGTTGCTCGCTTTCGCTTGTAAACTTTTGATCTCTCTTTGGACACCACCTATGAGGCAATGGTTTCTAGGATAAGCTTACACGTTTACGCACCCACATTACAATTTCGTGGTGGTCTTCACTATACAGGAACTTGCAATAAGATGCCTCTATAATAAGCTACCTAGCAACGATTTTCATCAGCTTACAATCAGTATACATAATACCTTTTTTAACTTTCATTTCATAAACTGCCAGCTACATAACAGCCTCTTCCTCTTAATTAGCACTGTTGCCAATACAATGCATGCGAGCTATGCTCCTGCCCCCATGATTAGATTATCTTGATCCGAGTTGATTTGACCGAGATACGCTCAAGCAAGATTGTATCAGTTGAGATAGATAGAGCATGATGTACGTATGGGTTGATGTATTCTCTCTTTGACCGTAACTCAACCAAATCAACTCTGACCAATATAATTGAATCATGGGAATGAATGTCTGGAGCAGGAGCATAGTTCACATGTCATAGAATGGACAACAGAGCCGATTGTGAGGAAATGGCTGTTAGCTGGCAATAGATGACTGGCACTGAAAATGCATAAATTAATCATACATCGACCCTTCCAATCATGCAAAACAGCTGTGTCACACAAACACGCCCCTGCACATCTTTGGCTCTATCAGCGTCAATCTGATTGACAAGGAACAAAGAGCGCCTTTCATATAGTGTCACGCATGCAGCATAGCTAAAACATAAAGGTGCCTGTATCTCTAAGCTTTACAATCAAATGCGGGGTCTTTATGAGGACAAAGTTGCTCGGCGGGGTGAAAGCGATCTTGTGTCAAACTATGAAGTCCATCATGGCCAATCCCAGATTTCGCAATGTCGCTACCAGCCAAACTGGATCCAGTGGTCGACCTCTTCGACGACAACGACCAAAAAAATATTTTTTGGGCTGTTTGCGACATTGAACGTGAAACTTTCACACAAGGTGCTGTTGGCCAAGCCGAGCCCATTGCTCTAATAAAAACCCCACGTTTCATTGTAAAGTTTAGAGATACAGGCACCTTTATGTTTGTAAGCGTGATGCTATATGAAGCGTGGTCTTTGTTCATTGTGAAGTAGCTAGACCCTGGCAGAGCAAAAGATGCAGAGGGACGTGTTTGTGTAACTGGGGTAAAAAGTTTGGACTTCAGGGACCATGCATGACAGGTACGCAACCCTCATTTTCAGGTCATACATTGGCAGCTAATAGCCACTTTTGTGCATTCACAACTTTTGTGCATTCCATTGTAGGTGGACGATTCTCCTGCTCCAGACATTCATTTCCATGATTCAAGTAGGTTGATCCGAGCTGATTTGGTTGAGTTACGGTCGAACAGGGGTTGATCAGCTGAGACATTCGCACGTATGCTGATGTATGGATTGATGTAATCTCTCTTTGACCGTAGCTCAGCCAAATCAGCTCGGATCAAGATAATTGAATCATGGAAATGAATGTCTGGAGGAGGAGCATCGTTACATTATGATGAAGTAGACAAAAGTTGGTATTGGGTGGAAGTAGCTGTTAGCTGGCACTACATGCCTATTCCTAGATAATCCATAACTAATTATACATGGACCCTTCCATTCATGCAAACGTAGCTGTGTTACACAAAGAGGTCCCTCTGCATCTTTTGCTCTGCCAGGGTCTAGCTACTTCACAATGAACAAAGACCACGCTTCATATAGCATCACGCTTACAAACATAAAGGTGCCTGTATCTCTAAACTTTATAATGAAACGTGGGGTTTTTATTAGAGCAATGGGCTCGGCTTGGCCAACAGCACCTTGTGTGAAAGTTTCACGTTCAATGTCGCAAACAGCCCAAAAAATATTTTTTTTGGTCGTTGTCGTCGAAGAGGTCGACCACTGGATCCAGTTTGGCTGGTAGCGACATTGCGAAATCTGGGATTGGCCATGATGGACTTGAAACTTGCACCCAAGGTGCAGTTGGCCAAGCCGAGCCCATTGCTCGAATAAAAACCACACGTTTCATTGTAAAATTTAGAGATACAGGCACCTTTATGTTTTACATATGCTGTAAGCGTGATGCTATATGAAAAGAGTTCTTTGTTCATTGTAAAGTAGCATGCTTACAATAGAGCCAAAGATGCAGAGGGACGTGTTGTGTAACTTGAGTCAGTCACCACAGGCGATGCATGATACTTGTACACTACTTAGGAGTAGTTCCTAAAATGCCAGCTAATAATCCAGTCCTTCCAATCATCTTTGTTGCCCAACCCAATGCATGTGAACGATTCTCCTGCTCCAGCCCAGTATGTCCATCATTCAAGTTTCTTGATCCGAGAGGATTTGACTGAAAAATGCTCAAACACAGAACTATCATCCAAAATGAGAAAAAATTATCTGGTTAGTTATACATAAACTGCCACTTGATAGCCCACTCCTCCCCTTCTCTATTGTTGATCAAAACATTGCATGTGAACGATTGTCTTGCTCCAGCCCATCGTCGCCATCATTCAAGTTTCTTGATGCGAGTGGATTTGGTTGAGTTACGCTCAAACACAAAACATCATCCAATTTCACAAAAATCATTTTGCAAAGTTATTTGTAAACTGCCAGCTAGCAGCCCATCACTCCCATTCGGCATTATTACCCAACCCAATGCATACGAACGATTGTCCTGCTTCAGCTCAACACTTCCATCATTCAACTTTCTTGATCCGAGAGGATTTGGATGAGAACGCTCAAACAAAGACATGGCATCCAACACCAAAGAAATCTACTTGAACTCCACCTCTTCCACTCTCCACTTCATCTTCTCTTCCTCCCATTCTCAACTGGTGACCCATTCAAGCACATACAACAACCATCTGCGAACGATTGTCCTGCTTCAACCCATCATGTCAATCCCACAGCTGTCTTGATCCGATTGCCTTGACTGAATGGCAAGTCCATGCCGTGTACGCCCCATTACAACACCCTCGCTTCTTGACACTTCACCTACTCTTGTATCATCCTCTACCACAAACAAACGTAACGGGCGTTCATTCATTCCAGCAGTTTGCTATTAGCAAGTTCTTTACTCCATCGTCTCAAGCAGCATTCTTTACTTGCAGCAACTTGTCGTACAGCTTTTTTTTGCGTGAACAGCAGATAGCCATTGTATAGAAGCAGCTTTATTTACGTGCAGCAACTTGCTTTGATACGTACGAACGCCTAAGGATATGGAACTGAATATTGCTTTGGTACATGGAACGAGAGGATCTGGGTACATACACAACATGTAGAAAGGAGCCTTGTCCTTATGTCTGAATTGTCCCTAAACGATTGATGGAACCCATTATCCTACCTGACACGCTGTTTCATTGCAGCTACAATGAACATCCACTGTGCAACCTGTCAACCATTGTCATCCAACTCCATGTCTTGAGATCGCCACGACGCATCAAGTGTCACCTCAGGTTCACCCATTCATCTTTGTCCTATGCACACTCAAAGGATAGAATCTCTCCATATCGATGTATCTCCACCATTGAAGCAATCCGTTGAACCTCTCAATCTATCTCCCGTGAATGATGTTGGATTATTAAAAGGTGACTTTAGCGAATATGACATTGCGTTGCCCTGAGTTGGATATCGTCTTGTTGGGTACATGAAAGGTTGTAGAGTAGAAGGGTTTATGCAGGATTGCAGATGATAAGGAAAAAGAGAGGAAGGGGAAGGGTGTGATTGATTCATTGTGTCTTGAACAAAGGCTGTATTCGATATGTAGTATAAACCACCTCCCATTCTTTGTGATTAGATATTCTTGTCAATAGTGCTTTGGATCTTGTGTACATAAGATAATGTTTTATTACCATTCATTGGTTGCTATGCTACTGCCACTATGCTTGATCCTGAGCCTGAGGCAAATTGGCTGAGCGCCAATCTTGTATGTGAGTGTGCCTTGCCTTGCCTTATCATTTTCGGTTCTTCTTTACCGACGTCCCTGTTGTCACTTTTACCATGCTTCGATCAGCTCTTGCCCGACGATTCAACAGCACTGTAGCCTCAAAAGCACCCGAGGTTATTTATACTGGCCCTATGGCCAACGTTGCCAAAAAGTTAAAGCTGTTCTCCATTACCTCGCTTGGTCTCGGTGTCGGCATTTCACCCTTTGTCTACTTGATCGATGTCCCTGTGCCATTCATTGCAAAGACAGCTCTTGTCGGTGCCGCCGTTGCTACCAGTGCAGCTTCCACAGGATTGATCCAATGGGTCATGTCGCCCTATGTGACCAAGATTACGCAGTCGTCGCCTGATCAAGTAACGTTGCATACGTTGAGCTTCCTGGCCAAGGAACATACCACCACTGTCCCTGTCAATGCACTCGCCCCTGCTACTCGGATATTCACCAGCTTGATGGTCCAAGATCCTTCACAAGCCAAAGCTCAACTCGTCGCATCAGGTAAACCTGCAAAGCCAAAGATGTTATTCTATGTGCATCCCGAGTTATGCGAAGAGGAAGGTACTCCCATCAAGAACATTGTTGATAAGACCGGTATTGGCAAAGGCTTTTAAAGCGATGTATAGTAGAAGAGATATGTGATTAGATCATTGTTTGAAAAAGAAAAAAGTAATTTGAAATGTATACAGTAGACACTAGACACACACAAAGGAATGGGAATATGAATGTGTGCAAAGTGAATGTTGTGCAAGTGAAAATCTACAGAGCAACGGGGGGAATGAAAAAAAGAAAAAAGCAAATGTTGTGTGCGTGTGATGGGTGTGCATATGATGGAATAAGGAGGAGAGATAAGAGCGAGCGAGCAAAGTGTACATTCTTCAAATCCGGACGACCAGCGTCAAGTTGTGCGTGTGTGTGTGTGTGCGATATGAGGGAAGATGTTGTTTAGAGCGGATTTGTGTGAGAGAGGGGCGGGGATCAATTGAGCCATGGATGTTCCAAGACTTGATGGATATTGAGACGATTCTCCACGTTACGATCAAGCATCTTTTGAATCAAATCCAAGGAGCCTAAAAAGCGAGAGAGAGAGAGAATGAGTGAGTGAGATGGAGGAGGGACATAGTAGTAGAAATCCTTTGCTTACCTTCTGATAGCACAAATGGAATGCGTAATTCATGGCTGAGGATCTCATCAATGTCGTAAAATGGGTTTTCTCGGTACACCAATGTATAAAGAAGAATACCAAGTGCCCAAATATCTTGAGCAGGTCCTTCGTAGGTTTGACCAGCGAGGATCTCCGGGGCAGCATAATCGAGTGTACCCACAAATGTATCGTAACGACGGCCTTTGAGATAGGCAGCGCTGCCGAAATCAATAAGTCGTACACCACCGTTTTGGTCAAGAACGACATTCTCATCCTTGATATCACGATGAACAATCTTGTGATCGTGTAAATGTCGTACGGCAAGAGCAATTTGCTTGAAAATGCTTCGAATCTCCATATCATCCATGCCATTCTTGAGCTCAATGTAATCGAAAAGGTCCATGCCGACACCATGTAATCCCATCACAATGTAATAGTGATCGTCGTCTTCAAAGTAATCCAGCATGTCACTACAATTGGCGTGGGGTATCTTGCGTAACGTATGAAGGATATGAATTTCGACGGGGATCACACCCAGCTTACGATCCTTGGTCCAACAATCAACAAGGATTCGCGACTTGATCACATACTTGATCACCACCTTGCGTTCTTCAGGATCATCCTTACGTACAGCCAACTTGACAAGCCCATAGGCTCCTTGTCCAAGATTCTCAATGATGGTGTAATCGTCAATCGTTGTGGCATTGGTTTGTGCAGAGTATTCAGGTCCCGATGACGATGATGATGATGATGATGCGTATGTTTGGAATAAGCTACCCGATCGTTGTCGTGTTCCATTCACAGGCGTCCCAATGGTGCAAGGTGAAATGGGTGATGAAGGTACATTGTTGTTGCTGCCATTATCATTGTTATTCACAGTGGATGCAAACGTCGGCCGTGAAAAGCTGGTGATGATGCGTGGTGCTGGTCGATCATTTTCTTCTTGTGAACGAGGATTCAAGGGTGTCGAATCATCGTGTTTTGAACAAGAATGATCTGATTTGTCGTTGATGCTCGTGCTAATTGCACTCGAGGCTGTGCTAGGAGGATAATGTTGATCATCGGATGAAGACGACGTCGTTGTCTTGTCGGCAGGAGGTCGTTTTGCAGTAGGAAGACCAAGGCCATCTTGTTGTTTAATTTCCAATGGTGGATTGGTAGCTCGAATAACATGACCAAATCGTGCAAAGGTTGCATCACGATCAAAAGTAATCCACAGCGCACAAATATCATCCGTGCCTTCCATTAACTTGAGTTGTAGTTGTACTTCAAATGGTGTCTTGTCACGATGAACGGCGAATAGAATAGGCAATGATTGACCATTGGGTGTCTCTGTCAATTTGCGGCTATTGGATCCTTGCATAGGTGAAAGAAATCTTGGTGTGGTTTCCATGTCGGCTACCAATTTGCGACAAATAAGGCTGTTGATGATAATGCCGTGCTGTAAAAGATCATCACGTTGCAAGCATTGAAGCAAAGTAGGTATTTGTGGAAGCACGTCGGCGATGCCTTGTTTCTTTCCGGTCACAAATGCATCCTGCGATAATCCAAACATGTACTTTGCAAATTCGGCATTGCATCCCTCAATAGTGCCGTCGCGATGAATAGTCACAAGACCTGCAATCATTGGTATGGAAGTGATGCGAAGCGTAAAACACGGGACCTGTTGCTGTTGCCGCTGGTCACTGGCATCGGATCTAGACACTGTATGCACCTTGGCGACGATGGGAAAATGGGCACCCAACTTGGTTCGACTTCCAAAGAAACGCAAATGGTTGATATGCTCGACCCGGTTGGCATATGGACTTTGCGCCAGTGATGGAATTATCATATCAACCGATTGCCCAATCAATTCGCCTGGTTCATAGCCGTACAATTCATGCACTGTATCATCAACATAACGTATAGTACCCTATTAAACGTTATTAACCTTGATTCCCCCTGTATATAGGATGAATGAATGAATAACCTACCTCCATATCAATGGAAAGATGTGTGACGGTTTCAAAGACTTCTTCAAAGATCCAGATGTAGACCGGTGAACCGGCGTCGTTCCGTTTTTCTTTGAGCCACAAAGATGCCGCGGATTTGGTGCCGTCCTGCTTTACAATAGGAAGCTAAAAAGAGGGGAGAAAGAAAAAAAGGAAAATATTTGGGGTGAGTGTGTGTGTGTGTGATGTACAAAAAGAGAGAGCGTGTATGGGTGTAATGTGTAACACGTGTACATACCACGTTGCCGCAAACAAGTACCATTCCGCCAGAGCTGTCTTCAAGATGACTTAATTCTTGTTTCCTTTTGCTGACCATATCAAGGAAACGAGATCGATAGGATGGCTCAATAAACTCAACAACCGATCGACCCACCAAGCTACGACAACTTCCGGAAGCACCCACCAAAACCAATGCTGCAATGTCGTTTGATAATATAACACGCCAGTCATCATACGTTGTGAGAATAGCTTGATTTTGAGGAAGAAAACGTGATGTGTTATGCAACACTGGGTGGGGGAATATCGCAGCACACGATGATGGATGTCTTTGTTGATGCCGTGGAGATAATGTACCACCATCATTCCTTGGATCATCTGATAAAGATGATGAAGAACAACATGAAGATGAATAAGATGCTGTGGATGTTCTTGAAAATCGTTCGGTAGTAGTCGTCGACGTCGTATTGTCGTTGTTGTTATTGTTGTCATCGGGTGTGATGATATTGAGAGGCGGTGGTGGAGAACAAGAGGAGGGTCGTGTCGTTGTTGTTGTGGTGGTGGTTTCATTCACTTTGAGACTTTTGAACTTTTCTGCTACAAGATCGCCATCATCTGGTGTCACAGGCGATGCTGGTCTCGAGGATTTGCCTTCTATGATATCTGCCATCGGATTCGTGTGTTGCCGACGCCGACTGCTGCTGCTGGTGCGATAATGTTCCATACTAAAGTAGGCGACGGGGCTATGACCCACACTCTTTGTCTTTGTACGTCCAATGTCTTCCATCATCATCATCGTGGCTGGATCATAATGAGCTGGCAATGTATCGGTCGTCTTCCAAGAGGATGATCTCGATTGTCGAATGAAGTTTCTGGAGCGATTCATAAGACTTCTACGCAAGTCGGCAATATCAGTGCGAGTGGTGCTGCTATTGGATGATGCAAAGCGGTAGCTGTGTAATGATTCTTGTGGATGTCTTGTGCTGCTGCTGTTGCTATTGCTCTCTCGGGATCGGTGATGCCAATCATCCTCGTGGTGCTCCCTAAGTCGAATCAAGCTGTCGGCTCCAAGCACAAGATCATCATTCACCGCATCTCGACTATCCCTAATCATATAAACAGGTTACATCATGATCCCCTTGTTGATGGCTTGCTATATATCACACACTCACTGTGTCATTGGTAGCTCAAGTAAGCTGTTGTTCTTGTCGTTGGATGACTCGCGTATATTGGAAGGTGAATTCTCTACTAGGTGTTTGGTGTCAACAACCATGTATGTTGCCAAGTGGTATTCCCTCTCTCTCTCGGCTGTCAGTGCGTCTGCAGCATCTAACCTTTGATCACGCTTTGCATTGAATGTGTTGAACGCGGCAGGACTGGATTCAATGGTCGCGTGAGTCAATTGAACAATGTGGAAAGGGAATGAACAAGTACCTGTAATAGTTATGAGATGACAGTACAAGTAGTAGTGTAGGTGGTAGAGTAAAAAAAAGAGAGGAAAAAGGGACCCTTTCTTGGTATAGAGAAGGGAAAAAGAAAAAAAAAAGGTCAGACAGGCAACTCATAACAGGTGTCCCCCAAATCCACACCATCCATTCAACCCATTTGCCTCACTCCACTACCACGATCATCATCCATTGAAACCTTGTGCTTAGTTTCTTTTTCAGTACATTCGATTTTTTTTTTCATGTTTATTGCCTTCATGCCTTGTAAACGGGTTCCAATGTTTCTTTGCCATTATCACATTTCATATCGCACTTTACTAAATCAAGTGGAAATCAAAGCAGCGAATGACGTAGGGATTGTATGTGTGAGTGTGAGGAGCAGCATTATCAGTACACCGGAGCGGAAGAAGCAACATGTAGGTTATGTGCCTGAGCTGGTTCCGCGGAATACACCAATTACCTTTGATGGCAATTGGAATTGGAAACAGGGCAACTTTTTTACACAAGGACGTGAACCAACCGAGTCAAACCATCTCTTCAAGTGCCGTGGTTTCATTTTCATTCTCGGCATCCATCACTCCCCCATTTCAGGAGCAACGTGTCTCTTTTATCATTGGATGTAAACCCATCATTCTAGTGTGGGTTGATTTGTGCATATATGCAAGTACCTACTTATGTCTCTCTCTATGCATCATCATCATCATCATGCTAAGCAATAGCAGCAAACTACTTATGTGGCTCCTCTTGTAACTTATGCACAGAAAAAAAATCTCTTTTCTCCGTCAATCCATGTCCCTCTTTTCTCCCCCCCCCCAATAAAACCCTGGTGTTATGTCAGATCATCCCCCCATCAAACAAGAAAGTATGGCCATCATTGGTACAAAAAGTCATGTAAAACCACAACGTAGCAGGATTATGTAACTACCTCCCCATTGATAAATGTTGTTTCAGACCACTCTTTTATCTCGGCTGGTGGTATAATCCTGCAATTTATGCCACCACCTGATATACACATGGAGGAGCTGTCTTACAAAAGAAGCTTATTCACTGCGTCATTTGCTCAAGTGAGATAGATAGACAATACCAAACAATCGATTCGGGCAGATTGTAATTCCTCTTTATAGAATGTGAACGATATACAACATTATTCTCGCCGTACACTAAAGGTGACTTGACCTGGGTAACATCCACTGATCAATCATGATAGGATTATTTCACACGCTTGAGTTCATTCACACCAAGCATTCTCTTGAGTACAAAGTCCTTGACAAAGAATGGCAAGTAATAAAACAAGAGGAATGCGAATGATTTGGCTCCATAGGTAATGTAACGAGGTGGTGATCCCAATAGTTTGCCAGCTACCTTGGCAGCAAAGTCATCCGTGGGTGTTGCACCCGGACCTAAAAAAACAAGATTGAAATGTTAACCTGCCTGATCTTCATGTGATGAATGATATAGATAACTTGCCTTGAGACATGGTTGCGCGTGCATAGATGTGCTTGATCACCGACTTGTACATGGTATCTATGTAGGTAGAAAGAAAAAAAGTGATGATGAATATGAATCCTATTGTTGGCCCAACGTCACAAAGAGTCCCTTCTTCCTTACCTTCTGGAATACTGACGGTGCCAGTTGCTGCATGACCGAAATTAGATTTGATAGATCCAGGAGCCACAAGCACCACTTGAACACCAAAAGGCTCCAACTCAAGTCGCAAAGCATCTGTCATGGAATGAACGGCCGCTTTGGACAAGGAATAGATGCCAGCCCAAGGAGTGGAACAATAGCCAACCACCGATCCCACATTGGCAATCTTGCCAGATCCACGCTCTGCCATATGCTTTCCCACCGCACGACACATGGCCAAGGTACCGAACACGTTGGTTTCTACGCATCTGCGGGCCACATCCAGATCAATCTCCATGAGAGGTCCAATAGCCTAAATACAAATCCCTGTGGTCAATCCCTTATGCACACCACACACACATACACACATGATCCACATCATACTTACAGGAGCACCAGCATTATTGACAAGGATATCTTTTAAAGGGAATAATGGGTCATCATCATCTTCTTCTCATCCAAGTTTTTGGTTCCTTTCCCTCCCCCCTGCTTACCAATGTGTCCTTCTTTGGTAATCACGCCCTATTGTAGACGCATATCAATATATGGGATCAAAGCACCTCCATGCTGAAACATACCTCTACTGCTGCATTCACGGACGCGGGATCGTTCACGTCGAGTGCGATGAGTTCACAGCCTGATCCAGCAAGCAACCAATATCAGCCATTCGTGTCATTCGCAATGCACATTCATTGAGCTTCATGTACCTTCAAGACCTGTCATGTTTTCCACTTTTCGAGCAGTAGCGTAGACGCGACATCCCTTGGCAGCAAATTGTTTACAGAGTCCGTGGCCTGGTGCAAGAGAGATTAGCCACTAGCAATGAACCCAATGGAGCAACGAACAGCGTACCAATGCCACCGGTAGTGCAACCTGTTACCAAGACGACTGGAGCCATTAGACAGAAAGAAATTAAAGGCGAGATAGAGAGACACGATGTGCGATACGCCACCAAATCAATAGCTAGCACTGTAGGTTGTTACACATATCGAGCTGTAGATGAAAGTTGCATAGATAAAGCTTTAGTCATACCCAATGGGATCCTGGGTTAGTAAGGTCACATGTGCTGTTTTGTAATTTTTGTCAGAAAGATTCTCAAGGGCATGATGCTCTCTCTTTTTCAATAAGCCAACTTTTAGTATAGCAGAGACAAGGTGTGTTGATCTCATCACAATGAATAAAAGAGGAAGCATCATGACGCATGACAGGGCTTGCTTGAGGAGCGCGTTGTTATCTAATAACGAAGTTCCCCTGACAATGAAAATGGGATGCGGCATAAACGAGAGACCGCTGCTGAGTGACGTGTCTCATTCGTTCATCCTATATTGCATAAGTGCTATCTACATACTTTGTTAATGAATACCATCATCGCTTTACTAACAAGCCTAAAAAAAGGATGATGGTATCATTGCCACATGTACATTCTTCAAGGAGAGAGAGTGAGTAAGTGAGATCCACATCGTACGCATTTGTTGACATTGAAAGCATGCACGTTAATGAGATCTCTTTTGTGTCCCAGGATTGCACATACACACATACAGCAGCTCGGGTGCACACCCGGAGTGTGTCCCCAGGATGTGACAAGAATAGACCACCCCTCTCTCGATTGCAATCGATGTCACACAATGGATCCATCGACGGCTTGTACAACAAGCTGGGACACCAAGAAGAAGGAAACCCAACAATATAAAAAATGATCCTATACTTATCAACATGTATGATAGCATTGAAAGAGGAGGAGGTCTTTTGTGGACAAGTCAATTCGTAAACCCCCCCCTTACTACCAACACGTGTAAGCGATGAACGTAAACACCAACGTACTCGAGACCTGGCGTGTTTGAAATACGTACATATTTTGTTGCATGATAGTGAATGGTGGCAAGTGCGCAATTTTATTAGCGTGTAACAATGGCTAAAGGGTTCATTTATTGACCAAGTAATACAATGGATCCACGGCAAAATGAGATGGTGTTGTAATAGTAGTAGCAATCCCCCGCACAAATTACATTGTCGTCTTTGGATTGATTGTGGCAAGATATGACAGTATTGACAGCCAACAACCAAAAGCAGGCTTGCTGCTGCTGCTCTACATGGATCATCTACATAGGTCTCCTTCTCTCTCTTTCAACCACCCCCAATAAAAAAACATGCTCTCCCTAACTTTTTATTGAGAATGTGCAGTAGTTGGCATCCAGCAACACCACTCCCATCTTCTAGCCTTGTTTTTCCTCCTCCTCCTCATCAGTGCTACTGTTTGTCGTTTACTGCTACTATAACTCCTGTGTTGCACATTCAAGAGCACGAGACCTGGAACCGCCAAGTGGCGATATTTTTTTTTGGGGATCGTCATCTTCATCTCTATGGATGTGAAAGAAACACAACGGAAAGGCTATTCCGAGGAATGATCAGTTCATGATATGGGATACTACCCATTACAACAATGGGGTCATAATGATGCCAAGCGCAGTAGAAAAAACACTAAAAAGAAGCAACGACGCACATACAAACGAGTGGTTGATTGCCACTAGTATTGCAGCATGGGGATCGTCGATCCTAAAAAGAATAAAGAGCTAGGGGTGTGTGCTCTACTATCGGGAGAAGGAGATAGGACAGAAATGTGGGGGGGGTGGGAAACAAGCTGCTATCCCAGTTTGTCGAATCCAAATATAAAGAGTGCTACCCCTCGTTTCTTCATCCCATACGACACTTTTTTTTTCTTTTTCTCTCTCTCTCACTCTTCACACTACTACCACTACTCCCATACACTCTTTCCATTCCTTTACAAAACAATGTCACCGCGTTTTCCATATCATATCTCTGTGGCCGCCATGGCCCGTTCATTTGAAAAAATGGTCAATCATGATGTAAAACCACCACTCCCACCACCTCCAAAACCCACAGTTGTTGTCCCATCCGTGTCTTCGTCTTCAACAACATCCTCGGTTTCCACTGCAAGCAGTACTACCTTATCATCACCATCATCGATACACCATCACAATGACGACCACTTTGCAGCATTACTTTTCACTCTTTGGATGCACATCAATGTGCAGTTGGCTGTATTGGTGCTCGTGCGTTCCTCCTCCTACTTCTCCTTCTCCTTATCGCCACCATTGGCTCATTCCTCCACCACCCGTGGTGGTGTGTCTCAGCTCTGTTTGCTTGATGACATCCCTTGTCTCAATGACCTTGTGGATCGTCACACACAACCTCCAGTAGCATCTTTGTGGCATGAACATGAACAAGCTGGCTACGCTAAAAGGATACAAATGGGACCTTCAAGACGCAGGATTCGAAAGCCTCAACAAGAGCCACGGATGATGCAAGAGACCATTTGTGGTCAAGTCGTAGCTGACAATGACGACGTTGAGGAAGAAGAAGAGGCAACCATGACCAAACTGGCACAGGATGTACTATCATACCTTAATCAGTGTTCATCATCATACGAGGCTTCATCAGAGCTTTTAGCATTAACACCTCGGCTGCAAGGCTATGCTGCTGCTGTTTGAACATCCCATCCCTTGTATCTCTTTTTCGCACAACATGCACATACACCATCATCATCATCCGCATCTTCCCCCCTGATTCATTTCCTCCTTCAACTACTACTACTACTATTACTACAACACCATCGCAGCATACCCTTCTCCCCTCCCCCAGCATCCACATTTTGTTTGGCATTGTAAATACGTATACACACACCCATTTCAAGCATTGCATATTGTAGCTTGTGTCAATGTACCATAATTTTCGGAATACATTCAATGCCGAGCTAGCCTCGTATTCAACGCATACATACATACACGTGTCGTTCCTGAATGTTTATGCAATTGGATTATGTCTCATACATACATAGCAGCATACACATCACCCTGATAAATTGAGCAACAACAGTAGTAATAGGTATATATACACATGAATGATGCTAAACCAGGTATATTACAAAGTAGTTGGATCTAAATACTTTTTTCTTCTATGGTGCCATGGGGGACTCATTGTGCCTTGAGAGCAGGTAGTAATCGTGTCTTTATGGTTTCTTCATCCAAAATGGCTTCTGCAAGACGACCTTGAGCAAATTCCTTTTGTCCACCTCCTCCTCCTTTGACATGCTTGAGGATATGACGCAGGATCTGTTTTTTTAAAAGAGTAAGTATCCATGTAGGTATTCCATGTACGTATGATTTGATTCTTACCGAGTTGGCAGTGTGATCTTGGACTTGAGATGTATTCAAGGCAACAACGATGGTATTCTTATTGACCAAGAGATGAGCATATTCAGGCTGAGATTCCTTGAGAACATTGGCACGCTTTTGCATAAATAGAGCATCAAGATCTGGGTCGATGAGATGAACGCGTACAGGGATGTTGTTGTAAATGCCTTCCACAGGGTGTACAATCTTTTCACCAGCAGTAGCCAATTTCTCGGTCATGAGTTCCAAGCGCTTTTGTGTCTCACGCGTTTGCTGCATTAGCTTATCCAACTTGGTCACAGCATCGTTGGTGTTGTTTGCCTATACCAAAAATACAATACACCAATAAATATTTATCAACAAGCCATCCTTTACTATTTGTTTACCCGTAGCATTTTCAAAAGGTCAGGTACCGGCATAAACGATTGACGATACCATTCCATGCATGACAATCCTGCAACTGCTTCAATTCGACGTGTGCCTATTATATACCACGTGTGTTAGTATGTAGCATGTGTGAGCCAACTACAACAACTTACCGGCAGCAACCGAGGTCTCATTGAGAATCTTGAATGGATAGAGCTTCCGGATATTGTCAACATGGGTACCACCGCATAATTCTTTGGTCACTCCAGGAACCTAAATAATACGACCATCATCTAAGAACCCTATACACTCCATTCCTAATGGTATCAATCTTACCTCCACTACGCGCACGACATCGCCATACTTTTCAGAGAATGCTGCAATGGCACCAGAGTCCACGGCCTCATTTAATTTCATATGCTATCAAGGAGGGATGTCAGTTAAATTTCAATACCGACCAAGGATCTCTTTCTCCTTTTTTTTCGTACCTGCACATTTGTTTCACCACCAGACAATGCTGCCTCATTGATCCATTCTTCTACTTTCAAAAGTTGATCATTCGACAATGGCTTGCCATAGGTAAAATCAAATCGAAGCTTCTTTGGTTCCACCGTTGATCCTGTACCACCACCACAATCAACAATCAACATGTATCCTTTTATGAGCGCGATAAAGAATACCAACCTGCTTGCACAATATCAGTCTTGAGGATAGCACGTAAACCAGCATTCAATAAATGAGTAGCGGTGTGATGCACCTCGGCTCCTTGACGTTTATCCACATCAATCTCGGTTCGTACCAAATTGCCGATCTGCAACAATGCATTTGTGAGTGAGTAATTAAAAAAGGAGAGAGAGAGAGATAAACAATCAATTACAAACCTGCAAAAACTCTTGATCCTCCTCCAATTGTTTTTGCATTTCCTTGGGTCCCTTGGGTGAAGCCAATTTCAATGCAATACCACCTTCATAAGGTTGAAAGACATCTGTCACTTTCCATTGGCTGCCATTGGCAAGAGTGAGAAAACCAGTATCTGGGACTTGACCACCACCAAGACCATAGAATGGACATGGATCAATCGCCACCACTAATTCGGTCTTTTTCCCTTTGTGAATCGTCTCTGCTGCCACAATTTGTGATTCTTGGTGAAGAAGAGCATGATCATAACCGGTAAACTGAGGCAAGATGGCTTGATTTCTCCATTCTATGTGTGGATGTCTTTCTATTAGTTATTCCTCCCATCGTCTACCATCATCATCCTTTTTACCTGCAAGTCTCGACTTGTCAGCGAGATCATCCGCTTTCCATGATTCACGTCCAAGTGCCTTTTGCTTTTCTTGAAGTGCTTCCACAGCTGATGAAACAACCCTCCATCAGTTACCTTTTCCCTTCTTTCCTTTCGAGTAATCTTTTACCTTGCATATCCACAGTCCAACCACGCTCACGTGCAATGATCAATGTCAGATCAAAAGGAAAGCCGTATGTGTCGTAAAGTTGAAAAGCAACTTGGGGTGGGATCACTTTTGATTGTTGCAGATCGGGTTGTTCAAATACATTGTTCAAGAGTGAAAGGCCACGGTTCAACGTCTTGAGAAAGGTTGCTTCTTCGTTGGCAATGACGTTGCAAATAGATGCTGCGCGGCTGCTCAATTCAGGGTACATGCCATCTTTGTATCCATCCAACAAGTGTGGGTACAAGTCTGTGAGGAAGGGTTCTATGATATCCGAATACAAATTAGCCTGTGTGAGCATTCTCATTAAAGTACTTACCATTGATCCCTAATTGTTGTGCTGATCGTAGCGCTCTTCGAATGATACGTCGCAAAACATAGCCTCGGCCGATATTGCTTTGAAGGGTTGGGATCAATAGGCGTGCTCATGTAGATGCATACAAGCAAACTTACCTGGGAATGACACCATCACTGATAAGAAAGCACATGGCACGAAAATGATCCGCAATGATTTTCTCATGGGCATTTGGGTCTTCTGATGATGGTACCTGAGAAAAACGTCAACCTAAGAATCACATGAAACACGTTCGCATTTGATCTTACCACTGCATTCCTCTTTTCAAGTACACTCCGGATGCCTGAAATCAAATGTTGAAATTGATCCACTTGAAAGTTGTTTGCTTTTCCCTGTGAAAGATGGGGGGATGCGTGTGAGTTATTGGATACATCAACAACACCATCATCACCATCATTGTTACCTGAAGAACCGAAGCCACACGTTCAAGACCCATACCCGTATCAATGCAAGGACTTGGCAACTTTGTGATTTGACCATCTGCTGTACGATAATTCTCCATAAAGACAAGATTCCATATTTCAAGCCATGGATCATCCAGGGATTTGTCTTGGGTATCCCAAAAGATTTCAGTGCACGGACCACATGGACCTTCGCCATCACCCATTGACCAAAAGTTATCTTCCATGCCACACCGTACGATCTTGTCATCAGGTAATCCCATGGCTTTCCATAGCTGATATCCTTCCTCGTCATTCTCCAGCACACTATAGCGATCATCATCATCATCATTTAATCCTTGACCCTTTTTCTTTCTCTCTCAAACCACTTTTCACTCACGTTACTCGTAGTCGTGCTAAAGGTAGTTCCAATTCCTCCAACAAGAATCGCCATGCGAGCTGAATAGCTTCTTTTTTGCTGTATCCACCAAATGAAAAGTTGCCAAGCATTTCAAAAAAAGTATGATGACGTGGAGTATAGCCGACATTATCCAGATCATTGTGTTTGCCACCGGCACGCATACACTTTTGAATACTGGTAGCTGTCTTGAAAGGTGCAGTGTCGGGTTTCATGAAGTACTCCTTGAAAGGCACCATGCCTATTCAACAACAAGGCCCTTTGTTAACATTCCCATACCCCATGCGCGTATTGGTTGGCGTACCAGCATTAGTGAAGAGTAAACTCTTATCATTGTGAGGAATGAGACTCGCACTTTTGACACGCGTATGTCCCTGTTTCTCAAAGTAGTCGACAAATTGAACTCGTAACTCGGCCGATGTCAATTGCTTAATGAAGCGTTGTTGAAGAACAAATCGGTGGTGCCATTGCGCTGCTGTTTGTAGCACCCTGACTTTGTACATGTCGAGCGGATTATGGAGTGGTGGTGGACTGTCAACAAAAGAAGTGTGCTAGAGGCCGCTTCGGCCGCCGAGTCTTCCGACTGATTTTTCTGGGCCAGTGACACATAGCACGTACAATGTCCACACTCAAATCATTTTCACTATTAAGGTTTATAGTAGACATGGAGGATGTACAATATGCCAATGCAAGAGTACCATGACCATTCAATGCAAGATAAGGAAACAAGGTCAAGGGAGTAGTAGTAATAGTGGGATAGATGGTTTTGGCAGTTCTCGGAACCTGCAATCAGATGAATATATAGCCGATGTGGACTGTTTGCAATCATTCTCCCGGTTCATGCGCAACTGCAGTTTGTGGAAACTTGCAATTTACCGATAGCAAATGCGAGTCGTACAGAGTCAACCTTGTCTTTAAGCACGTAATTTTTTTTTGTTCTGTAAGCATCTATGCGGAGTAAAAGAGTAAAGTCATCTTTCTTTTTTCCCTTATCTTTTGTAATATACCAAAGGAGAGGAGGGAGGAAGATTGAGGGAAAAACTTTTTTATTCATCATTAATCATTACAGAAGCGGACAAGTCTGGGTTTGGGTTGGCTCTTCTTTTCTGGCATAGAGATGATAATGGTGAATAATAGTGTATGGTGGCTGTTTCAAATATCATGTTACCCGGGCCCATAAGGCCGCGTAGAAAAAGACAATGAGCTTATTGCATGGGTTATAGTACAATGGATTCATGCATTCAATACAATGATCCCATTCTTTTTCCTTAAGGTAGTTGGCTCTAGTTCATTCATTTTCATGTTGCATTTGTTTCTAGCAAAGGTAGATAATGGACCATCAAGCACATTTTTTTTAAAGTGAGACAAGCCATTGTGATTTTGCGAAACGACGATCCTTTTGTGGGATCCAAAGTTCCGATGGGATGGTGGTCCATTAGCTAATTTTCAGCCACCGATCCTGGCATGTGCTTGTCTATTCGATAAACCACATGCCATACATTGGTCATAATCATTTAGCACGCATAGGTCACAAGATGAACGACAGCGTGATGAACACGCGCGTAAAAGGAATAATGATGATCATTCACGGAAACGACGAGGGAATCGGAAGTTCCCAAAAGACAAGCGTAGTTGGTTGACATTCTCGAGTTGTGTGTGTCGTGTGTGTGTGAGTGAGTGAATGGGTGGTGGGTGGTGCTTTATCCGCTGGCCATGGCCCCCCTCTCCCCCACCACCCCTTTGTTCATTATGCGACCTATGGGCATCATTCGTAGAGAAACCCCTTGCTATATTAGAGTCAATCTTCATGTTGGAATCCAGTGTATCCGAATCGAGGTTCAGGGGATGAAAAAGTAAACTAGAGAAGCCTACCCCACAACCAAACAAGAAGAACCCAAGAAAATAAAGCTTGCAAAACGCATTTGTTTGAAGAACGCATCGTGCTTTCTTCTCCGCAAAATCGACCGACTCCATTTTTTTTCTTTTTGTAATCTACGAAAAAGGTCAGCTTGGCTTCTTCTTTCCGTCCTTTCTCCACCGCGTATCTCTTTTTCTCTTTTTCTTTGGCATCCATACAAGATCTTTACGGGCTGAAGCGCGTCTTGTTTTATTCTCCATACCACCCCACTCTTCACAATATCACCACCCTTCTCTATCAATCATGGATGACAAGACCACCACCACCACCAACAATGGCACATCAATATCAGCTGCAGCTGCAGCCATCGTTGCAGCTACCCTCGCAGCTACCTGCAGCAACAACAACAACAACAACGGCTCTCTATCACTCAGTAACATAGCAACATCATCATCGTCATCATCCAATAGCAATCCTCAACTATGCGTAAATGATCTTTTGCATCCGACAGCCAAAGCTGAAAGTTTGTTGGAAGCATTGACCACTGAGCAATTGAATGTGATTGAACAAACACTCAACAAGATCCGAGAGAAGAAACATCTCAGTGAAGGTAATGCATTGGATGATAGGGCGTGTTATTGTGTACATACGTTTGAGATAAAACACGACTAAATTATACTATTATCTCTCTTTTCTTTTTCTTTAACATCCATCGTTTCACAGACATTCACACCACTGCTGCTATCAATACTCCTGCCACTACACCACCAACCAGCACTACTACTACTACTACCACTACCACCACCTCATCGCCACCATCACCACCAGCAACAGCAGCCATGCCGCCATCAGACGTGCCATTGCCACCATCGCCACCTGCTGCCCCCCAGGACGAATGGGCACGCGCTGCCAATCAAGTTGCCAAAGCCCTTGCAGACGCGATATCTGCTGTGGATAACAATACGAATGATGGTAGTAGTAATAACAAGGAGGATGGATCCGGTGGTAGTCAACAACAACAACAACATCATCATCATGAACCAGTGACTGAAATACGCGATGGTGTCGAGTGGGTCAGCTTTGTGTATTCGCATCATCGAATCCTACGACGTTATTGCATTCGCACTGATCTGGACAAGGTTGACATTCAACAGCTTGACGACAAGTTCAAACGCGATAACTGCGTGAGTAATGCTTCATGCATCACCATCCACCATTACCACCACCATCCACCATTTTTTCATCTTCCTACTCTTGCTGCTGCTATGTGTCATCCTTCTTTGGGCGCAAAAGGATATGACAGGGAGTGCGTGTGATCTATATATTATGGTTTGATATTGCTTTTTCGTGTATGTGTATACATTCGTGGGTTTTTATGGGCATGGTTTACATTGGATTCCTTGGTTCTTCTTTATTCTTCTTTTTCTTCTTCTCTATCAACTCTCCCCCATCTCGCTCTCTCTCTCTTTTTGATTTGGGCGTATGTCATACTAAGACACGGCATTCTTGTGTATAGGTGTATCCACGTGCCAACCTGCCTCGTGAAACATACCGTGGAAATCGATGGGCGTACGAAACCGAGTGCAACATGCTAGGCTGGAAGCTTGCTTACTTGAACGCCAATGAGATTGCTGGTAAGCGAGGTTTGATCCAACGTGCCGTTGACTCGTACCGTAATCGTTATCCAAGCATGCGATCACGTCGAGTAGCTCGTCAAGAAAAGCTTTTGAATGGTACTTTGAGGAAACGAAAGCATCGTGATTGCAGTCCCGAAGAGTCGATTGGCGGAGGAAGCGCCACCAACAACGCCCATTTGCAGGATGACAATCTTCTTTTGAAGCAATCATTGGCACCCATATCACCCTCTCAACATGAAGCAGTGGCTGCTGCTGCTGCTGCTGCAGTCTTGGCAGCTCAACAACAACAACAACAACAACAACAAAGGAATATGCCAAAGACGATTTCAATTGATGATGGGCCACAAGGTAGCAAGTGCCGTATTCGAATCAACATTGAGACAGTGCCACTAGAAGTGATTGATATGGCCTTTCGCAAGAACAATTGTGTGTTTCCTCGTGCTATCAATATCACCGGCAACGCCCAATCAGTCACCCAACGCCAACTGGATGAAGCAAAGTGTAATGAGCTGGGCTGGAAATTGGTAAGTGTGTGTGTGCAAAAAGTGGTCATATTGGTTATAAGAAAGACTAATGTTCTATTTTACAAGGCATGGCTAAATCCACGACAACTTGCCAATCGAAAGAGTTTGCTGCAACGCGTGTTGGATATTTACCGTATCAAGTTTGCACCCCATCTCAGACCACGTAAATACGCCTCACGTATGCCACCCGCTCCTTTTGCTCCACCTCCACGTTCACATGATTGCAGCAACTCCGAGTCATCACAACAACAACAACAGCAACCTCTCAAATTGACTGCTGAGACACTTGCTGCTCAACAACAGCAACTAGCAGCACAAGATGCTACCTGCAGTGATGGTGGTGTCACATCATCAATACCATCCTCATCGTCATGTTCAAAACGTCGTCGATTATCTGAATCATCACCACAGCAACCAAAACAAGATGATCAAGAATCCATTTATAGTGGCACCACGGCGTCACTTGATTTTCGTGATTGTTTCTCACCACCTGCGGAAGCTGCCGATTCTCCTTTCTTTGCTGGTGAAGATGATGTTATTACCACCCTTCCCGATATGGAACAACAACCTGCTGCTGCTGCTGCACCACCACCACCACCATCCTCTTCCTCAACCTTGTTGTTACCATCCTCTACTGCTGAAATGCAAGATTTCACACTCAACGATCTAATGTTGCCAGCATCACGTGGTGATTTAATGTTATGTCAAGGCCAAAGTGATAACGATGCCATGTCAGTGGCAATGGCTGCTGCTGCCGCTGCTGCTGCTGCTTCGGCTGCTGCCTCTTCTACAACTACTACTACAACTTCAACTTCCCACTTGAAAACGCCATGTGCAACCGTGGATATTGGACAAGATGATATGAGCTGCCAATTAAGTGTCGAGAGCTGCAGTACAGGTAGCAGCAGTAGCAATCCATCAAACCAAAGCTCGCCACGCCATGGTCCTACTACAACAGAATGGACCCTTGCTTATCCACCTTCCGTTGACGGCAATGATCTTTCTCTCTTTGGTCAACCTGACGACGTATTGAAGAAATACCTTGAGCAAGTTGGCAGCGATACTATTCTTTCATCGTTCATGGATCCTCAAAGCTATACAACAGAGGCCACCGTCAAATTGGAGCATGAGGATGATGACATGGGCTTTGCTCCTTTGACAACGGATTGTCTATTAGATCAGCTCTTTTGATATTCATTGTTTTCCCCCACCCCACCCACCCCTCATCTATTTCAAAAAACAAAATAACCCCTCATACTTACATATATACACACACACACACACTCCCCCACCTCACACACACTCATACCGATTCTTTTTTTGTTTTACATTCAAAATGCACACACACATATACACACTCTCACACACACACACTCTCTCGTATACATCCATACTTCCTTTTTGTTTTCTTGTCGCATTGTATGTATAATAATTGACAAAGGAAAAGCAATTTTCAAGATGCCCAGGTGGTAAAAAAATAAAAGCTCTCTAAATCCACTTTCTTCGAACCAGCGGATGTGCTTCAGTGTTAAAGACATACTCATCTAATGAAATCACGTTGCCAGGGCTGAACAAGAGGTACAAGTACTTGAGGGTCTCGGCAAACAAGAAACTAAGATACACGCATGATGAGCGCCTCTTGTTGCTATGGCAACCCGGTTACCACCACCACCACCACCTTACCTTTCCATAGAATCAAGTTGATTGGTGCCACGTCTCGCCATCTCGACGTTGATAATAGATGCATAACCAGCCTCAGTCTTGCAATACTTTTCAATAGCCTGGAAGATTTCCCAACCATATTCTTGGTAAATTGGATCACCCGTAATGCGATACAGCATATACAAGCTTTCAAGCGTCTCTAGGGTGGCACCATGAGCATGCCATTTTATCTCTCATCCATTCCGTATGTCTTACCGGGTCGAAGCAAATAGCGCTTGTCATTCACACGCAATCCATTAGGCCGAGGCAATGGAGCGGATGGCAATTTGCTGCTAAGCAATGAAGGTGGTTCACCCGTAGATGCGCCTATAGGTTGCACAGCTCTTGCAGGTGGGGTGTTTGCGTTGGCATTGTACCACCAATCATGTGCATTGATGATTTCATCGCGAGACAAGGTGTAGGTCAAAGGATTATAGGGCTCGGTATCATCTGCTACCCAATTCTCAGGACATAAGCCTGTGGATGTGCTTCGATACATGTATACGCACATCTCGAGCAATCCTTTTGCAATGGTCATATCCTCAGGACGATCCAATACCTTGGCTCCCATGGCCAGCATACCAGGAGCAAAGCATGTCTACATACATAGAAAAAGGTCACCCCATGTGGTTCTCTTTACATCCCCCATTTCCCCCACCTACCAAATGATCCATGTGCTTTTTAAGTGTGTCAGTCCTTGTATCATAGGGAGGAAGGAATAAAAATCGGGTACCAGGTAATTGACGTAGCATGTATCGCTTCATGCTATCGATGGATTGGGTATCTATAGCATTCAATGGTTAGTCTTTTTGGCTGAGAAAGGATATGAAAAAGTCATTTGTGTACATAAACGTGCGTACTGTGGCATGGCGCCATCCGTCAAAATGTGCTCCTTGAGAAAGTACTAAAGATAATGGGTGAGTCGATGCATAGGCAAACGTGGGCTAATTAGCGTACCTCGTATGCGCTATCACCCATGGCACCAAAACTACACGTTGCTATGATACATGCATCAGCGCCATCAGCATCATACCACCTACGCCAACTACTACAACTTACCATCGGTAAATCTACCCTTGGTTGTTTGCATGCCACTTGGATAAAGACCAGGCACATAGATTCCATGTTCGTATCCTGCATTCTCGAGGAAATTCACAATAGCTTGTGCCTATGTGTGTATCGGTCAAATGTCTTGATCAAAGCAGCTGCATTTGTAACAACGCTTATCCCTGGTCCATATGTCACTCACCTTTTCTGCATAAATTTTCTTCCCGGTGTGCCGTGACAATGTGAAAAACTCAAGTTGAACAGTACCCACTTCAGCAATCAAGGTTGTATTGCTGGGTGCCTTTCCTCTATAGGTATACCCAAGGATGGTTACAAAAGCAAAATCATAGTATTTACCCTATTACCTTGCAGGGTTCCATTCATGGGTTGGTAATCCGCTTGGGGTATCAAAAGCTGGTAACAGGGCTTGACCAAGTTCATCTGCCTTTTCAAGCAAGATGGGGTATTGCTCATTTGAAAGTTCATAGGCACTAAGCAACCCACCCAAATACCGAATGATGGATTCAAAGACGCTCACTTTGCCATCAAATGCATGAAACTCGATCTTTTCTAATTCTGGTAATGCTTCGCGGAATTCATCTTCCAGGCCCATGACAAGCAAAGTGCTGAGTCCATCCACCAAAGAGGCACCCCACCCACCAAATGGGTCTTTAAAACTTTTGCTCACAGGTTTAAGTTCATCGTGTGTCCAAGCGTACTCCTCTATAGATCCATGTTGGCTTCAATCCTTGAATACCGATATAAGAAAAACTCACTGTAACCAGCCCATGCGTGCCTGAAAGCATCCACAATGGCTTCACGACGTGGATCAGGTTCGGTCATAACATTCGGGTGTTGAATGGTTGGCAATTTTGAAGCGAACCCGTTTGATGGCATAGGTGGTGTTTGGTCGTCGTTTGTTGGTACGGATAACTCATTGTGGCCCGGTGGATGGTGTGGGTGAGTGATAAACCATGACTGCAAAACGACAAGCGAAAAGATGACAAATCCAATAATGTATCGCCATCGGTAAGGTACGCTGCTGAGCAAGATCATGAAAAGAAAGAAAAGAAGGAAAAGGGGAAAGGGAAAAAAAGGGGTGAAAGGAAATAGCCAATGCGTATGTGTGCGTGTGTGTGTGAATGTATGTGGCACACCGCTCTCTCTTTAGCCACTCAAATAAAGAATCAGAAAAGGGACTCGTGTAACGCATCCCATAATTTAGGCTCGTGGGTCCTGGTAACCAATTGGAAGTGCGACACAATCACAAACGACAACGACCCAGCAACAAGTCCTTTCCTTTTGCCTACCAACGAATGATTGAGCAAGGAGATTTTCTTCGTTACAGCTCATGCAGGTAGTATAGCGCATCCCCTAATTGGCTGTCATTTAGGAATGTGAATCAAACACAAGGGATGTGCTGCTTCAGCCTGATGGTGTAATGACATACAACAACAAACACTATGAGCAAAACCCGCTGCTGTCGCTACCATAAATTTACACGCGGACCATTTACAGGATACCCCATAGAGGAAAAAGGCTAATCGGGATCGCATGTATATGGGTGGGAGGGTGTATCACCATAACAATGAGTGCTTTGTTTATGCAAAAAAGTCAACCCATCCATTGGGCTTGTTGCACCTACGGTGAAATGATAATGTTGTCCATATAGTATTACCAAGTAATGAGATCATGATCCAAAACGACGCGCGATTTTTTCCCGCTTGCAGTAATAAGCACCGAGGCACCTATTTAGCAGACTTCACACGCTGTTGCAAGCACATGCTTTTGACTGGGAATGATAACAATGATCAGTATCGCCGCGGTGGATGAGCAATCATAACGTAATAACTCACCGTTGATGTACGATGTCAATCTCAAACATGAAAAAATCAATAGATGTGCAGGAGGAAGGATTGTCTATGACTATTATTTCCGTTAGACGATCCCATACGTTTCATCCTGATCCCATGTTGTCTCTAACTTTGTTCTCGAAGATATAAAGAACGGATCATTGCACCGATTTGCAAATCAATTCGACAAGATCATCAAGTACTACAAACTACTACTACAAACATGAAGCTCTCTCTTGCTCTCCTCTTGACATTTGGCTTTGCTGCCACTTCCACATTTGCAACACCCAACGTTGAAGCTGCAAATGCTGCCAGGTAATGATCAAGCATCATCATGTGATTGATGTTTTTCATTTTCTAATACATACAACATTTCTATATAGCGTTCAATCCAAGGACAAGGCTGCTGCTGACAAGGCTGTTTCTTATACCGCAGCTGACGATGTTGATAAGCATGGTGGTCGTCATGGTGGTTGGGGCCATCATCACGGTGGTGGATGGGATCATGGTAAAGGAGGTCATCATCATGGCGGATGGAATCACGGCAAAGGAGGTCATCACCATGGAGGAAAAGGCCATGACGATGATGATGACGACGACGACTGGCATCATGGTGGAAAGGGTCATGATGACGATGACGACGACCATCATGGCGGTGGTTGGGGCCATCATCATGATCGCCGAGACGTTGACCAAGAACAACATCACCCACCACCTCACCATCCCCCTCCTCATCACCCACCACCCCATCATCCACCACCTCACCATCCTCCTCCTCATCATCCACCACCTCACCATCCTCCTCCTCATCATCCACCACCTCATCACCCTCCTCCCCACCATCCACCACCTCATCATCCACCACCCCACCATCCTCCTGCTCAGTAAATCATGCAGTAATAAACAACGCATCCTTTGAGTATGCTTCATAATGATTCCTTTTATTCATCTTGTGTATAGCCTATTTGCTACTTGACGCGTTCCTTGCCTAATTCAACACCGTAGCTCATTTCCCAGCATGATATCGCACTTACAAACCGAATTCCCAATTTGTCACATGCATCTCTCTTTCCGCACTATCGTCTTCCACCCATAATGTCAGCATCGTCCGAAGTGTCCAACGACGCTACCGTTTACGAAGCGTTCACAAAATATGACTTTGACAGTGACCAGCAGTTTCAGGTAAGGGGCAAAAAGATAATAAGCAGCAAGCTTGCATTTGACTCATGAGGTTCAACAAAGAGCGGCATGTCATCCATTTTGAAGCAAGCCGATGCCAATCCTGAGACACGAGAGCAAACACTAGAGCGAGCTAAATGGTTTTATTACAACAAGTAAGTAGTGGTGTTGGTTGGAGGGATCATATCGACCGAGATTGAGCCGGGGAGATGGATGCTATGATATGTATGTATGTATATGTCTTCTCAACTGTTCATGGTAGATTCATCCAAGCTTTCGACTTTGAAGGATATCAAAAGTGGAAATCTCAAGGCGACGACGACACATCACCAAAGGAAGAGATTCAACAACAACAAACAGACGAGAACAATGAGAAGGATACCAAGGAGGAAAACGATGATGAAGACAAACCGCCCAAATTTACCTTTCAGGAACTGGTGGAAATGATTGAGTCTGGCAAAGAGGTCCCAGGTAGGAAGGATATGGATGTTTTTGATATGTACATACCCTATTGACATGTATGGATGATGATCAAAAGGTATTCGACAAATCCCCAACAAGCTCAATGATGGCACACCGAGTGAGCCGAAGATGCCGGTTCGGCGAAAACCATGGGAAAAAGCGGTAGAAGATCAACAACAAGAATAAATGGAATACATTTTGGCCACACGAATCATCATCAGTGGAGGGCAAATTTTATATGACAACATGCGGTGGTGACACAGAGTGATAGTTGGATCGGGAATATGTGGTTCCTTCTCATCGGATGGACGTAGCATTAAGGAGATGATACATGGTGGAAAACATTCAGATGCGTTTATCTAAAGCAAATCTATGTACATTCAATAACAATAAATGATATCTATGACCTTGCTAAGAGAAGCAATGACATTTTGGTGGGGTAATAGGGTGTCGTCTTATGATGTAAGAAGGGATTATAATAACAAGGACGACATCATCGTTCATTTAAATGTTGAGTTCAAAGTGTCGTGAAGTGATGTCGGGCGTACTGGGCACTGATAACGAGTACTTCTTTTTGATTGGAGCTTTGAATGAGATGCAAATGTCAGCTGGCGGTGATGACCGACGCATGGTTCGCTTTAACGTTGAAGGGGGTGGATGTGGCTGTTGTTGACCCTGTAAGTTACGCCGCAGCGTATTCCTCTTTGGTGGTGGTGTGATCCATAGCCATGATAGAAATTGTCGAATCGATGTCAATGCAATGCCCAACCCAAACTCACAAGCAAGTAATGCCAGCTTGATGGATATAAAGGAAGACGTTATAGCACTGGTAACAACCGCCAGGGCACCGAGAATCGTCAAAAAGACCGTAATGAAGGGAGCAATTAAGATGTAACCAAGAGTCGAAATGATGGATGGCATCAGGAGGAGGAGGAGTAGGAGGATAATAGATAAAAGTAAAAGAGAAAGAAGAAAAGGTATAGAATAATCACGATGTGTGCGATGCACTAAATAAGTTTCCGCAAGTCGATCGACCATTTTGTACCACATCACTCGCCATTCACGCAGCTCGAATGAGTCTGGGGTAAAAAAGCCGATTGACGAAAATTCCTTTAAAGTGGGGTTAAGCGATCACATGGCAACTGCTGTGTTGCAAGCGTGTGATGTCAGTGGGTGGGTGAGCCATTCAAAAGTCTGGAAACACAATGAACCAATCCACATCCTCCTTTCTCACGCATGTCATTCATTCACTGCTACTATTCTTCGCATTTGGTTGCCTCCTTTCCACCTTTTTAGCTTCCTTGTTCTTATTATTAGAGCACTGTAAATTTATCCATCCTATGTATGTACATTCATTGTGTGTCCGTTTTTAAGTCTTAAAGACACAATGGATACCTACCACGCATACCTATAAAGCTATTTCAAGTAGTGAAAACAAAAAGACATGACATGCGGGGATGATGGCAACATATGTCAATACAACAAGCATGGCAGCTTACGCCGCATATGCCTTTTTCCTTATTGCCGATGACCCGTATATATGGATACAAGAGCAATTGGATGGGGCAAACCATGATAAAAGGTTAAATTTATAATCAGGATGCAAAACTGTCGATGGATGTGAGTGTGATTATGCATATTGGGAACTCAAAAACTTGATAATGGCGAGCAAGGTTTCGGCTCATGCAAGGAGAAGATCGAGGAGTTGCTCTTATCGGATAAAAGGGTAAGGACCTCCACGCCGGGTTGCTGCAAGAAAAGGAAAGAAGAAGGCAGGAGACCGCACCACAAGTAACATACACAAATAGAGTGGGTGAATGCGGTAGATCAAAAGCAATACAAAAACGTAAATGATATGTGTAGGGGTTATGGGTTGAGCTGTTGTTGCTTATGTAGGAGCTTGCACACAGGACTTGCTATGCATATTCACACACGTACAAATACACACAGGGCTAGCTACTATAATACCAATGTCATGGTAAAAGCCAACAACAGAGTTGGTGATGATTGTAATGATATGAATGAGCTATAGCAGCAAAACAAGACCACAGGGCACACATACATGGCTATCATCATACATCAAACAAGGCATGTGCAAGATGATGATGAGAGCACTCTCTCCCCTTTCAGACTGGCCCAATTGCCAATAACGTTAATCCGAGCAAAAAGAGTAAGCTGGCAGATCCCATGTGCTGCCGCTTGTAAAAAAAAGTTCCCAAAAGCAGGCGTAGAAATTGTTCAAGAATGGAAAGGAAAAGGGGGTCTCATGCGCCCGTTTGAAGATTTGGCGGCAGTACCTTGACACCAGTCAACACCAAAAATGGCTTTATCACACAGTATATAAAATGATGCAGCAACGACCCCGTCTTAGAACGGGTGACGCGATTGGCAAATACATCACACGTAAAGCCTACATAATACAGCGGATGCATTTCCCGCCTGCCCTTACTCTCATCCTTCTCCTTCTCCCTTTTGCTCACCATACGCACACAAACGCAGCACACTTTTGCACTCATACCCCCAAATCAGCCTTCCCCTTCGTTTTGAACTGACCCCCCTGGCAAAAAAATAACTCTAAGTCTCTTGTGGTATAAAAACTTGGTTCCATTTAGCCCTTCACAAACGCATCGTATTCATTCTCGCTTTGTACCAGTAGAGCATTACGTATACCTCTTTACAGAGGCCTCTTTTTTTCTTCCTTTTACCCAACATCGCCTATTGTACATTATATATCGATTGCTATCATGCCAGGCAAGTAGTTTTTTTTTCTCTTGTTTGTGTCTCATGTTTAGACAGCAGCAAGCTAATGTACTACAAACAGGTGTTATGGATATCAAACACTTGCTCTGTCATCCATGCGATCCATATCCGCTTCCTTCTGCTATAGGTGAAAAGAAATCACCATCGGCAGTTTGCTTTCAATCGACTCCAGTTTATGATCCGATTCGCGAGCATAATTGGTACGACAGCAGCAATCTCATTGTTCCACACAATACGCCTGCCTATCAACAACAAGTAGCATCGCCATCATCACCACCACCACCACCAGGATTAGTACGTAGTCGTACATCGAGTGATGTATCATCGGTTGCATCAGCCAGCCCTAAAGAATGGCCCATGTATCCAACAACGCCACGAGATGATGACATGAGCGTGAGCCCATATTTTGGTAGTGGTCCTTCAACAAGCACTGGAAGTAGCACCGTTAGCAGCAACAGCAATAGCAGCTTGGCTCGATACAGAGCACCCTCATCACGCCGATCACGATCACCATCCACGGCTGCTGGTGGTGGTAGTAGTAGCAGCATGGCTAACACACCTGTGCAAACACGAATGGCATGGACACCAACAGAAGATGATTTACTACAACAAGGCTATGACGAAGGTTTATCTTGGGCTATGATCTCAGCAACCTATCTGCCACACCGCTCACGCGGTTGTTGCTGGGGCCGTTTCAAGACCCTGCAAAGCAAAAACTTGGTCGATCCCAAACGACAAAATGCGCGTTTATTCCGTAGACCTTGGAAAGCTATCCACGGTGTCAACAAGCGTCAATGATACGCCTTTTTCTTCCAACGTTTTGGGAGAAACCACACAATCCCTTTTTTCCGTTTCCCCTTTTACTTGTCCCTTCTTCTTCCTCTTTCTTCAACATTATTTACTTTCTCTATCTCTCTCCCTTTCTCCTCTTTGCCCATTCTCCACAGGGGCACATATTTTTCATTACCTTTTTCGTTCTTTTGTCCTTTTTTGAACAAGCTTATGCAGTGTTGACACTCTCAGACACAAAAATCCCCATCTATCCTTTATCAAAACCCACTACTATACTTGTATTTACAGCAGCAAATATGCCCGGTGCATCTCTTTACAATTACCATTCTACACCTTTATAACTTTTTCACTATAGCCAAGAATTCCCTATATGCCCCATCTCTCTCTTTCTTTATATACACCTTCCCTTTTACTACAGCTATTACAGCAGCAGCAACAACAACATCAACATCAACAAATATCCAACCCCCCAAATGTAGGTGGGCGAAACCTTGCAAGTACAGCCCCTTGCATTGTTCCCTGCCAGCAGCCTCATATTTTTTACCTTGATTTGGCCATTTTTCCATTTTTTGGTTATTCGTACCAACCAACCTTTACTCCCCCAGATCCTTTTTCAATGTTGTGTGGCAGCAACAGCCAGCCAGCTCCATCAAACAAAGCAGAGATGATGCAACAATTGTCCAAACTATTCTCACAAATAAATATCGTATATATATTTAGTCTTTGAATAACCTCCTCTCCCCCTTTTTTACTTTAAAGTCTCGTTGCATTCGTACATGTAGTGTTTTCATGCGTAATGCAATCATCACTAGAGTATGCACAATGCGCCCTCGCACATAAAGGAGAGCGTACAAAAGATAGAGTGCTGCGCACACAAGGGGTGTATGTATGTATGTGTGTGCGTGTGTGTGCGAAAGGGGATATACTACACTGCATGGGATGAATATGGGTTGAATTTGAGGAGGAGGAGTAAAACGCGTGTGATGACATCGCCTCCTCCCTCTCTCTCTTTCTCTCTCCTCATCATCATGCGTTGTGTGTGTGCGTGTGTGTGGTGGTGGATGAATCATTAGCGTCATGTTTTGCTGCGTGAGTGTGTGAGTTATTTTTATTCTTGCAGCAGGTACTACCTACATGCAACAATTGAACAGCGCATACATGCTACCATCTGCAGTGACAACGTGTGGCTAAAGAACAGGGAGCTGTCTACTACAGGGTAAATTTAGATGGCGTTACACACCATTTGCATCGTGCTGGTATTGACAAGGAGAACAAAAATGCCTCTATTTACTCTCCTCTTTCACCATCTTTGTTGCCGTATTGAATAGCATAATGCGTCATTTTGAAATGAGACGCATCAATGTATTAGCACAGATGCATGATGTTCCCCTGTTTTCTTCTATTCCAGGATGAGCCGTGTACATGAAAAGGGAAGCGCATTTACAAAAAGTGAGCCGTTTATGATGTTCCCGGAGCACCCCGAGGAAGAAGACATGAGCGACGACCCGTATTTGTATTGATCATTTGACGCACTGACCACGACTTGAATAAGGATTGCATGGCTGTGTGTGTGGTATCGTGATCACACCGTGATAGACATAAACGCAGTATAACGATCTCTCTTATGATGCTCGCTTTTGCTCATTCATGCATTGAATGTTTGTTGTACAAAAAGTCTCTTGCGGCTCGGTTGAAACTGAAATTGCTGTTGCTGAGCAAACAATGACATGTTTATTCTTTATTACAATCTTGAAAGCAAATGTCCCTTTGAAATTATCCACTTGAGTACTATAAGCGTTGTAGTCCCGGAAAGGTATCCTGCACCAGCAAACATCTTGTGGCTGAAAAAAGGTGTCCCTGGTACTTGCTGTTCAATCGCACCCGAAGCATTTGGCCCAAACATGGAAATCGCCGTAATAAGTAAAAACGCTGACAATCCTGATTGCAATCGATCCATTCCTGTCACCACTGCTGTCACCGCTGGAGCTGTAAACAATACATATCCATGTCATGTTATGCATCCATCCAAATATTCCCCTGCATCATCAGCTACTTACTAAGTGAGATGAAGGCACCACCAAAGAAACCAAATAGCAATGAGTATGCAAGTAACGATCCAAATTGCGTAGCAAAGGTCCATCCGAGGAAACAAGTGATCGAGCTAGCTAACCCATAAAGGATAACCGTATTCACGTGCCCAATGCGATCAGCTATGAATCTACAACCAAACGTTGTATGAGTGTACAGAAGACTTAACAATAGCCTTTCTTTTACCCAGCAGCCAAACGCCCCACAAGATTCATTGCCGATGCACCTGAGATCAATGCCGAACCTTGTGTTGATGATAATCCAAGATAGGTTGCATATGCTACATTTGGCATTAGTGAGAAAAATGCATACATTAACATAAAACGATCGTCTTACATGGCAAATAAAAGAATGGGACATAGTATGCGCCTTCCATGAAGATATCGGTGAGGCACCAGAGTAAAAAAGTGGGCGTTTTCAGCAAGTCAAGTTGAAAGATCTCTCCTAATTTGGGTCGTTCCTTTGTAGCTGTAGCTGTTTTCCTTGCCTTGTTCTCTCCACGTTCACGAAACATGAATGTAGCAACCAATCCAGAAACCAGCATGATCAGACCGAGAATCCGATAACACCTATATCACGTATGTATGAATCATCAAGTAACTATGTAGCTGTAGATTAGGCATGCAAGCTTGCAATATGTACCATGGCGCACCGAGACTTTGATTGAGCGACGTCATAATCAATGGCATGATAAAGGAACCAATGCTTGAACCCGATGATGCAAGACCCAATGCAAGGCCACGTCGTGCTTCAAACCATTCAGGCACCACACTCATGGCCACCTTTTTTTCCCTTTGTCAAACACTGTAAATTTGTTGCTGCTCAAAGCACTTACATAAAACATGATGGAAGCACCTGCACCATAAAGGACACCCTAGTAAGCACACATCATCAGCTTGCGTTGGTAACTTTCATGCTCTTTGTACACACCTGTGTAACGTATAGAATCCAAATCTGCAACAAAGAGGAATTTGAGATCAACATGCAAGATCTTCAGGTGGATTCTTACCTCACTACCCCAGCTTGCACCTTCCAAACCAAGCACGCATAAGATCACTGCAATAAATAGAACGACTCGGATGTGTAACAAAGCAAGCATCAACTGTGCCACCGGGCCTAAGCAATTTAAACATATGTTTGCAATGGTGCCAACAAAAGAAAGCTGTACGGTCGCCTTTGGAAAATCATGTTGTTCATAGTAGTCTTGCATGACACCTAATCATCAAACAACAACAATGATCAGGATCTCTTTGTCTAACAAGGATCGTTCATCTTTCCCCACCCCTAAGAAATAACAATGAGCCATACTTCATTTGACGTGGATGATTCTTTGTCATGAGATTTACCATGCCTGAGAAATTCCTCCTCCTGCAACTTGAATAAGACATGCGGCAACTACAATGACCCATCCATAACCACCGTCCTTGGTGTCAATCTTTTCAGGTGTTGGTTTCTCATCAACTATATAGGGTATGACTGATTTCAATATTGTGGTTCACATGTGTTGGTATCCTAGCAACGGACGATGTACCATTTTCAACGTCTTCATCATGCTGATCAACTATCGTTGCTTGGTCGAAAAAGTCATGATCTTTGCTCATAGTATTAACAAGAAGAAAGAAAAGGAATCCAGAACGCCCATTATGTCCCCTTCACTCAATCGCTCATGCCACTTTTTTGCATACGTTCTCTCTCTTTTAGGTTGCCATGCATAATGAACACAATCCGGCTAGTCCTTATAACAATGCACCCCTTGAATACGCCGTATAGAAATAGGAGAAAATGGCAAGCAAAGCGTCATGATGGCACCAGATAACCAATGGGAATAACGGGGATTGTATTGATCAATGTAGTAGCATAAAACGAGATGTTGTGATATATAAAAATGCCACCCAGCAAGGTATAGATATGATACAAGTCATGTTGCCAGTGCTTGCAAAGACCATCCAAGGAAGGGGGGATGTGTATATCATTCTGCTTTCTTTTTCTGCAAAGGCTGACCAAAGACAGGTTCTCCTTGAACGAATTGGCGGTATAAAAAGAATAGCCACAGCAATACAAAGTATCCACAGCTGATGATGGCGTTCAAAACGGCGAACAAATCCGGTAGTCGTTCTGGTGGAGTGATATAGGCCTCCATAAAATGCCAAGCGATCAATGTTGCATAAACAACCTAGAACCCCAAAAAAGCCATCAGCAAATTGCCAGCTTTATGTATTCCATCTAACCAATACTAACCATATTCAAATGTCGATTGAGTGATGTTGATAAACCCGTCATGCAATTCCATAAAAGAGTAACGCAAAAGTAAGGGATCATCAATCCTTCTCGTTTCAAAAGCGGGAACATGCTATCGAATAAATAGGAGTCAGTGTCAATCCGCTCACTGGTGACGGCGCTAATTTGATATACCTGAACATTGCCACATTCATGAACAATTGCACGGCTTGTGGTTCTTCATTTAGCATCAGCGATACGGGAAGGAGTGGGATCAGGATCGACTTTTCATGTACTTGGAACGAAAGCAAAAAGAATGCGAGTGAAGTATTGACAAGTGCATATCCAAATCTTGCAGGCGTAGGTGAAAGGCCAAGATGAACATTGATGGGGATAATAGCGACCAAAGTGGCACACAGGCTATAGATTTGCAATGTTGTTATTCTCTTGCCAAAATGATCTCTCCTGTCAATTAGACTTGCCTGAGGCGTACAGTGGATTGCAAGGACATCAGGTTACGTAACTTGACCACGACATTGAGCGCACACCAAACATTGGCGACCTTGTCTTCATAAAGCCCACGCGCTACTGGAAAGATACGATGGATGACCTGCTGCATTTGATCCAAAGACCCAATCCATGGCAAAAAGAGGAGAGCAAAGCTGATGATAACCGCCAACCCAAGCTTAACGAGAAGACCAAAGCTAACATACCCCAGTGTGAATATACTCCATTCATTGATCCAAATAGCATCTTACCCTTGGATGGTGGTAGGTGCCTTGATACATTTGCTGAGAAGGAAAGCGAAAATAGCCACAGCATAGTAGAGAGCCATTTGTTTGAATGCCAGCGACAAGCAAAATGCGATTGAACCGAGAACGTAATGACCGGATAAGAAACCATTGATGGCCCATAAGCTCAATCCCAACATAACACTGTTGTACCTAATCCATGCCATGTTGATTTAGACCCTTGAATCCATCATCTTTGTTGACATATACTTACTGAAAATGACCATGATCAATCAGGATAAGTGCAGGTTGCATCATGATAAGCAAATGCATCGTATACTGAAAACATCATTTCGTTAATGATTTGAATGTATGTTACGTGGTAAATGTTACCTTTTTTGTTGGATAGACCATTCGACAAAAATACCAAAGGGCCGATGTGTAGATCAATGCTTCGGAGACGATGACGGTGGTACGCATGAAGAACTTGCTTTCAGGAGACTCATATCCACGAGATGCATCGAGTAAGAACCATTCGGGATTGATCATTGTTCCACTAGACCTCATTGTTAGACCCTGATAGCATTGAAAATGAACTTGGGGAATACTTGCATGACACCACAGAGCCAGCTGTGATACGCGGTCAAGGGTGGATAATCGAGGCCCCACCAGTCAAGGTCATATTTGTACCATTGAGAAAAGTCAAGATACTGCGTAATCTCCATCCAATGACGCTGCGCTTCGTAATCGCCATACATTGGTGGCGTGTTGTAGCCTGTTGGAACGCGATGAGTTCGTGTGTTGTGTTGGAATGGGAAGGAAAAGGAAAGGCATGTAACCTGAGTAAGGATTCAAAGCAACGGCCCATCGCACCAGTAGCGGTATCAGGAAAGAAAGTAAAGGAAGTGTCCATGTTGTTTCTGATGAGCCAACCAGCGAATGCAACCATTGGGTCGCTTGAAAGGTCATCTTGAAGGAGGTAGTGGTGGTGGTGGTGGTCTGTGTGTAACTGAAAGAGAACGTGTCATTCACCTGACAACACAAATTAGCATCGCAATGTTTCACAAGCCGCACGTACATCAATGCTGCCCTTGATGGCATACCTACTTTACGCCGAGGTGATCGTTCTACTTGAATCAGCCACCACTAATTATCCCTAACGAAGAAGCTCGGTGTTCTACTTTAGTTTGGATCTAGAGTCAACATACATCTTGCTGTTATCATAACTACATGATGCCCCATGCCTTTCCAATTACATTGGTCCAAGAATAAAAAAAATGGTGCAAATCATTCATATCTCGACATTCGACATCATTTGAATCCTAAATGTTGATATGCATCGACATGCCTATGTCATTTTTAGGCTCACAACAGTAAGGTATATAGGTTGGTCGCTCGTCCTGCAACACACATGGTTGGTTGAGCTGATGATAGTATCATTGCAAGATGAGTTTTATTGATCCATTACGACTACTACTACTACTACTACTACTACTACTACTACTACTACTACTACTGTAATTCCATAGATAGATAGAGGATAGCATGTGGTATAGAATCACGTGAATTGAAGTGGAAGCACGCCTGTCAACATGATGCAGCCTTTGCATGATGAACACCTCGCTGGCAATAACTTGATCCACATGACGATAGAGCTTGTATGGTTGGTATGGAGAGAGTGCCTGGGGAGATATCCATATTGCTTCATGTCATCGTTGTCATGGTGATTGGTTCGTTGCCGCTTGTCGGTGGTCTTCATTCGCTTCAACAAGTCTTTGTACACAGCCATTACAACGTTCACTCATGTCATTGGACGTGGATAACAAGGCGACAGTACCCATTGCTGCAGCATGAAGGAATAGCCAATCTTAGCTAAGGACTTGGATTATGGCGTTGTTTGCTCATTGGTACCAAAAGTAAGAGAGAAGCGAGTCCCTGGCAAGCATGATCTTTATACGTTTCAAAGGAGATCCCCGATTAACATCGCCCACTGTAACTTGTCCTTTGTTGATTATGTTTATTGCACGTCAAGCTAATGGTAGTTTTGATTTCTAAGTATCTATTCTATTCAATGTGGCACCTCGTCTTCCCGCCCAAAGCTCTTCTTGTTTTCGCTTTTGCTTTTCTGCTTGTGTTTGTGTTTGATATTGAAATGTGTTTTCTAATGAAGTCACCAAAGTTAGACATCGCTTAAATGTAATGCATTGATATACGTACGTGATCAAGCTCTCTGTAATTGCTGTATCATTGATTGAAGTCCAACTCCCTCGCCAGACTTGTTTTTCGCCTCAGGGTCTTACATGAAGTCCAACTCCTTCGCCAGACTCTTTTCGCCCTCAGGGTCTTACATGAAGCCCAACTCCTTCGCCAGACTCTTTTTGCCCTTTCACTTGAGGTCTTACGCATGCTTTCACCAAACTAGTCAGTGTGCCTATAGATTGCCATACATAAGTAAACCTTCTTTCAACGATGCTTGCAACGATACAATAATTACATGACAATGATATTGTGGTCTGCTCCATTGAGAGAGCCTTTCTCTGTATGATTCAACTTGCTTTGTCGCAGGAAGATCGAGGACCGTTGCTGTTCGTATGATATGGCTGCTGCCTTTTTTTGATATGCTTTTGCTGACGTGCTTTTTTTGTGATATTGCTATGGAACAAAAGCTGGTTAGTTTCATGTATATATACTACTTGATCACTCACATACCATTTTGCTTTTGATTTTGTTGTATGATAGGATTGCGTTCTTGGCATGGTGGTGACCGATGTCAGGTGTAGCTTGATAGCTGCGATAATTGCTCGATGCTTGTGTTGATTGTTTCCAGCATAGAGCTCCTCCAATGATAATGCCTCTTCCAAAGTTGTGCCTCTCATTGCATTCGTTTGATAGCTTTGTATGATATTCCTTGGTAAGACCAATTGCCGCCAAATTGTGCTCATGCGAATTGCACCCAAGAATGGATTGATTCATGAATAGGTTCAAAAGGGAGGACCCATGCCAAATTGATAGTTTTGTCATCCGCATCGGTTCCACCACCAATAAAATGAAGAGAGGACTTGGGCCAAATTGATAACCTTGTGATCCGCATCGGCTCCACCACCAATAAGATGAAGCGAGGTATCATGGCAATAGAGAGGCTTGTCATCCGCATCGGCTTCACCATCAATAAAATGAAGAGAGGTCTTGTGCCAATGTTGATAATCTTGTCACCCGCCACCAATAGAATGAAGAGAGGACTTGGGCCAAATGATAGTCTTTGTCATCTGCATCGTTCCACCACCAATAAAATGAAGAGAGGACTTGTGCCAACGTTGATAATCTTGTCATCCGCCACCAATAAATAGAAGAGAGGTTTCATGGCAATAGAGAGGCTTGTCCACAATCATAGTCCTTGTCATCCACATCGGCTGCACCACCGATAAAAAGAAAAGAGAACTCTACTCCCCAAAAAGAGCAGGAGCTCCCACTCTGGTTTCAGGAAGAACCCACAGCACCAGAAACAGAACGTGACATCCCAGTACACCAGTGCGTCTATAAAATGAAGGAATCAAACATGCAGGATTTACACCCTTCGAGAGAATCCTACACGCAACGTCTACCACTTCAAGAACGTTACCATGACGATCACATACCATTCCAGGTCCCAAGCCCCAAACTACGATGCCCGTGCAAGTCGATGTCTTGATGTTTTTTGTTTTTTCCAAGTACCCACTTCAAAGATGATTACCGCTTGTGCCCAAACACCATCACCCAAAAAATGAAAGGGCGGCCAAACTATGCAGGGATGTATCACGGCATACACCATGACCCACCCCCACAATAAAAGACAACAGATGATTAGCATGAATGGTATCCAAGAAGCAGTGTCACTGATATCAACTTGCCTTTTCAAGTCCAATCCCATACCCCAGTGGGTAACATGATGATGATGAGTGAATCGCCCTTTGGCTCTTGATCCACGAGGAGAAGAAAGACACCGCAAATGCTTTGTGACTTAATCGTAGCAAGGGAACAAGGGATTCCTGGAACGATACGTAGTCGCCATGGCAACGCCCCTAAAGTGATAGACGTTGACGTGTAAGAAACTCCCGTCGGGATACCTTCATGCCGACCCTTCCGTATGTGCAAGCAACTGGCATAGCTGAAATGCACGCCTGAATCCGGGCTGGGTTTTTCCATCCACCAATCTATCTCGCAATTCTTGCTGAGAATCTCTATGGGCACCTATATATAATATGTATGTGAGTGATTAAAGCGATAACACCTATCGTATGTAACTTACTATGCGTCTTCATTGAAGACTACTTCATCAAAGGGATCGATAAGATCGGTCCCCATGATCTCCGCAAGGATATCGTCTCCGCCCATGACTAAAGCATCAAAAGTTAGTATCATATAAAGTCATTCATCCCAATGTGCAAGTATACTTACATGAATCTGCTTGTGCAGCATCTTCAGACAAAATTGGTGATGGTGATGCAAGCTCTGCTTCCGTGAAAAGCAATGTGGATGATGATGATGCCATTGGTAATATAGGTGATAGCGATGCTTCCAATGGCAAAATAGGCGATAATGATGACAATGATGGTATAGGCGATGATGATGATGATGGTATAGGTGATGAGGTTGTTGTTGTTGTCTCTGGCCGTGGAAGCCGTCTTCTTGGGCATGCTATAGGCCTGTACTCATATCCTATGGATGAGGATGTGGATGCGGGTGATGGTGGTGATGATGGTGGCGGTGATATTGATGGTGATGGTGGTGGCCTTGGTGGTGATGGTGGCGGTCTTGGAAGTGGAGGTGGTTGCCTCCTACTTGGTCTCTGCCATCGAAGGCGACTTCTAGGCCTTATGACGGGCCTTCGGAACTGTAACCGTGATCGGTTGTTGTTGTTGCTGCTACCTGTGCTGGATGCAACAGGTATTGCTGATGCCGCTGGTGCTGATGATGATGCTGCTGCGACTACTGCTGCTACTACTACTTCCGGTGTGACCTCCGGATGAATGGTGATGGTTGGCTGTGGCATCACTTGGGTATACAAAATTGGTTGTTGTTGTTGCTGTGGCGGTGGTGATGGTGGTGGTGGCAATGGCAATGGAAAGGATGGCGGCGATGGTAATGGTGATGCCATTGGGATGTCTTCAAGTTCTTGGACTTGTTGCTCTGAGGCATCTGTGCCTTCTATAAAAGTAAAAAAGATGGAATTAATACGATATCACTTCATCTGGTAGTAATCCCAATATCCAATGCACTTACCATCCTCTGCGGTTTCTCGCAATTCAGGAGTATCAGGGATAGCATCTGGTACTTCCGTATCTTGGTCATAGAGATCCAACATGTTGAGAGCTTCACCTATAAAGAAAAACCAGTCAGCATCAATGTATTGCTGAAGAGAAGATCCTTTCATATAGAATACTTACAAAGCTCGTCAATGGATGATGATGATGATGATGATGATGGTGTGGATGATGCGGATGAGGATGCGGATGAGGATGGATGCAGATGATGAAGATGAAGATGATGCCAATGCGGATGAAGATGATGATGCAGATGCTTTTGGTACAGATGAAGATGATGATGATGATGATGATGATGATGATGATGATGATGATGATGATGATGATGATGATGATGATGATGATGATGATGATGATGATGATGATGATGATGATGATGATGCCAATGCGGATGAAGATGCCAATGTGGTTGAAGTAGATGCTGGTGAAGATGTTAATGCTGATGCTGATGCTGTAGTAGTAGTAGAACTTGGTGACGGTAAGCCGTACACATGCTGCATGGCTTTATGCATAGCCATTCCTCGAAGCAACTTTGGTGGTGACCGTGTGCTTGTAACTTGCTTGGATGGTTTGAAAAGATCCACAGCTGATGATGTGTTGATAACAGCATCACCCTCCAAGGCCGACATGTTGCCATGATGACGGGACACTTGTGCTACTGGTCGTGTAGAAAACAACATACCAGGATACTGGCAGGCTTGCGCCTTGCATGGAACCACTGGAGCTACCCAGGGTTGACGATTAGCCAAGACAACAGGGCTAGTAGGCACCTGTGTCGAATCACTTACCTTTTCCCTGGCCGCCCGCAACGGCACGCCGGCCGAGCAGTCAGCATTGTTAGCAATCGGGACGTGAGTCAACCGATTGTTGGGACGCGAAAGCCCCCACCGAACCAAAGGGAAAACGACGCCAAAGAAGAAGCAGAAAGGCATTACCCACATCATGGGCACCTCTGGAATGAAGTGCCACTTGATGAAAGAAACGCAGAGCACAAGAGCGCGGAAGGAAATGCAAGGTTGATCGTTAGAGATAGCCATTGCGGAAGAAGTAGAGATCTATTGCCATGGAAACAAGGTCAACTTTAAACACCCCGCCCACAGAGTGCCATTTCACGCCCTCTCGATCTCACTTTGCAAATGGCGCGTTACCAAGTCAATTTACGTGTAGCATTGTGTGTAGATTAGAGTAAAGTAGTTTATTTGAATAAAAAGTCTGATTGGGGAGGGAACGGATACGTCAAGGTTTCATAGCAACCATAGTGCAGGTTGCCTGTCTTTCTTGATACCTCTTGACACTTGGCGTGTTACGGAGACTTTTTACGTGTCGAATGGTGTATGCGTCTTGAAAATGTACTTTATTATAATAAAGGAGGGCTGTTTGGATGCAAATGGGCGCGTCAAAGCTGAATAGCTACCACACTATATAAAGCAAAATCTGTAGAATTGAGACATGAGACGTGATACGTTCCTAGAAGGTACTTTCAGATGCAGTGATCATATTTGTCCTCACAAAGATGCTATAGTTGTCTATAAAAATTTCGAGTATTGATCCATCTTTCATGCACCAGTGTGCTGTTTTGGCCCGAATAGGAAGTACAACATGGCCTGTGCTCCACACTTTGCACCCCGACATGTAGTGAACCCTTAAAAATGTCCTTGGCTATCGCCATCATTCATCACGAGCAAACAATACTTTTGGTTTAGGTATCATCTCCATCACACACCCAAGTTGAGAAATAAATCATGAAACCGCTCATATCTTGAGGTCTGCATGATCAAGTGAAAGCCTGTATGAAAGAAAAAGAACGATCACAGCGTGCCTGAAAGTACTCATCGACAAAGGCTTAGCCAACAATAGTCAACAAGGAGCTATCAATGCATTATCCAATGTGGCCTTATGATAAGAAGGCGTCATAGACTCGGAACCAGCAGGGTTGACTCACAAACTCCCACTCTCCCAGCTTTGTTATACAAACAAATCCCTCTGCATCTTTGGTTCTAATGTAAGAGAAGCGATTGACAATGAACAAAGGTCACTTTCATATAGCATCACGCTTACAGCATATAAAACATAAAGGCACTTGTATATCCAAACTTTACAATCAGACGTGGGGTCTTTAAGAGAACAAAGTTGCTCGTCGGGGTGGAAAGGATCATGTGGGGAAGTTTCGTGATCGAGGTGGCCAATCCCAGATTTCGCAAATGTCGCCACCAGCCAAGTTGGATCCGGGGGTCGACCTCTTGAATTTTTTTCGACGACGACCAATTTATTTTTTGGCTGGTAGCGACATTGGGTGAATCTGGGAATGGCCACGATGAACTTCATACTTTGACACAAGATCGCTTTGACCCTGACAAGCAACACTGTTCTATTAAAGAACCCACGTTTGATTGTAAAGTTTAGGGATACATGCATCTTTATGTTTTACATATGCTGTAAGCGTGATGCAATACAAAACATGGTCTTTGTTCATTGTCAATCAACTAGACCCTGACAGAGCGGAGATGCAGAGGGACTTCTTTGTGTAACACAGCTCATTGGGTGGTGCTGAAAAGGATCAATGCATGATAATACATACTATGATAATAGTTCATAAAATGCCAGCTAACAGCCCGTTCCTCACAATTCCATCTTTTTTCAAATCCACTGCATGGGAACGATTCTCCTGCTACAGCCCAACATTTCCATCATTCAACTTCCTTGATCCGAGCTGATTTGACTGAGCTACGCCCAAACAGCAAACATGAAAATAAATGAATCGCAGACCCTGCGAATGTCTCCGTCTTTCAAACTTTTGGACGCTCCTATTCCAAATTTTCAAATGAAGCGTGAGGTTTTTACTAGAAAAGAATTGTTCAGCATGCTCGGAGCACCATTCTGACCAATTTTCAAGTTGGAGGTGGGCAACTTCGGGGCGGTGGGCCGTCCGCTCTTTTGTTCGTGTCATCCACCATTTGGACCGCCCCCCGCATTTTAATCTTCACAATGAAGCCTCCGGTTTTCAAATGAATGAAGGTGATCAGCATGTTCCAGCGAACCTCCTGACAAAGTTTCAAGTACGAAATGGGGAATCCCAAAGTAATACATACTATTTCGATAAACCATGAATCGGCGCTGTCCTCCATTTCCGATTTACATAGTAAACCCGCACGACACCCTCCCATTCCAAATTTTCAAATAAAACATGGGATCTTTTTTAGAACAACGTAATCAGCATGTCCAAGAGCACCTTGTGTGAAAGTCTCACGTTCAAGATGGGCAATCTCAAGGTCATGGATCAATTACAGTGTTCATGGATTTATACAAGAGGTGTCCAACAGCTCAGCCTACTTTAATTTCCACTTCTTCCACTCCCACTTTATTTGTCTCTTCCTCCCATTCCCAACTGTTGGTGCATTCAAGTATACAACTACCACCTGAAAACGATTGTCCTGCTTCAACCCATCATGTCAATCCTACGAATGTCTTGATCCGAAAGACTTTGGCCAATTGACAAGCTCATGGCGTGCTGCACCCCACTACAACATACGCGTTTCTTGACACACCACCTCCTCATGTACACTCCTCGACCACGACCAACCGCAACAGCGTTCATTACAGCAGCTACTCTATACGCCATTGTCTCAAAAAGCATTCACAATCTTGTCACGCTACTCCAACACACGCTGTTGTGCACCTCTTTACCACCACCAAACGTAACAGCAGTTGCCATTAGCAAGGCCTTCACTCCACTGTCTCAAACGACGTTGTATACTTGCCGCAACTTGCCTTACAGCCTTACTTCACGTGAACAGCAGATGAACATTGTATAGGAGCAGCTTTATTTACGTGTAGCAACTTCCTTCAATACATACGGATCCCTACGGATGATGGTGCCATATCAGCTATCGAGTACGCCGCGATACAAGCATTCTTCACCTGGTTTGAGTTGCAAGGAAATGACCACGCATGTGATTGACCAACAGCTGGATGGAAAAGGAAGCATATCATCAGCAGCCACAAAGTCTCTTTCTTATTGGACTTCCAATGGTATGATGGATGGATGGATGGAATCAAGTGCAGTGATGAGAAATCCTGGGATGTTGTTTGGTTACTTGGTACGTCGTCAGCGGGAAGGATGGGCTATGTCATGTGGGCACGGCTGAGGATGATGATGGATTGGATGGCATTGACGAAAGGTATCGTATAGCCATGGATGCTATTGGAGCACTCAATTCAAGGCATACAGCGGCTACTTTGCAATCATGGATGAAGGATGATTATGATGGCAGCAACCAAGAATACAATTATCCCTGTTCCCTCTATGTTTTATCAATGCTATTACTTTATCATATTTGCTCGATAAACATCCACACTATCATGTACTATTCTTCGACTTTCTTTGAATGATGGAATTGAATCGAACATACTATCCATAAGGGTACCATACTATCAGCTCATACGTGCACGATGTGGTCGATTGAAAGGGGGAATAGAAATTTGAAGGTTAGGAAGCGAGATTGGATCATTTACATAGTCGTATCAAGATTCTTTCCTTCTTTTGCCGCAACATTGCTACATTCGCTAAAGCTTCCTGGTTCACAAGCTGATAGCCTACGAGTACAAACAGGAATGATGGCGTACGACGAATACGACGATGGCGGCAATGTAGCAAGTAGCTAGATGGAATGAAGCATTTTATTCATTACACGCTCGGACATTACATACTACATATTGCTTCGAAGATGGAATAATAAAGGTGGTCCGGTTATCGGTCATGCAAGTATATGGCTTTTGTGATTGTGGGAAGTGGGATGAGCTTGAGAAGAGAAAAAGTGAAGAGATCCCTCCATTGAGTTTCAGGATGAGTGACTCATTCAATATGTATATGTATCTTTTTACATATACAAATTGGTTTATGCAGCTCGACTTTCTTCTACATGCAAATGTGATGCATACCTTGACACACCTTCATTATTGGATGCTGTTTACTTACGTACCTTCACAAAAGGCAATCATCATCATCATCCATTTGTGTAGCAACCTGTCAAGGACGTG